AAGAGAAGAAATCCCGACGGGAAAACGAAGGAGAGTAAAAAAGAGAGATTAAATTAAACGCGGGAAAGGGAAAACAAAAGTTGCAGAGGATGCAACACGCACAACACGCTCCAAGTATAGAAATGGTGGTGAGAACTCGTCAGACCGTTTCATTCCGCCCGAACACGGAAAGGGGCCATTTGCGTTCAGGTCATCAGAATTGAAATCGATAAAGGAAATCACAGCGTGAATAATTTTCTATCATTGCTGGGGAAGAAAATGAAATTTCATCAAATTAATATTTATCTCATAAAAAATTTTAAGAAATAACATCAAAAATGAATGGGAATTTTTAAACTAGTAAATTTTAAGAATGATTAAACAAATTTTCACTCAGAAAAAATTTCATTCAGTTTTTTGTTTTCCTGACAAATTATTTATAGTTTTTATTACTTTTTTTTGCCTGTTACTTTTCCTCTCCCTCACAAATTTTATTGCCCATACGCAAATTTGGCGTGCACGCAACTCGCGCAACAGTCCCTTTTGCTTTCTTTCTTTCTTTTATGGACTTTCCTCTACATCGAGATATAAAAACCCATAAATATAAAACACAAAATAAAAAACCAGTCCGAAAACGTGAAAACTGCGATAATCGAGAAAATGCGTCCTTCTCATATTCGGTTCCATAAAATTATTTAATACCACCTCGCAGCCGAATTTTCACTCCCCCCACCCCTTTCGTTTTTTTCTCAATGGCGTGAGCGCGAGATAATTTATGAAATTTTTATACCGACTGGGTGCACATTTCGCGATGTCAGCTGCAGATAAAGTGTAAATAACATTCGCCCCGTGTAGAACAAGTCGTCGAATTTTTTACCACCAGCTGCTCGTGGCCTCTGCGTTTCGCGCGACATGGCGTGATACACGGCATTGCTTTTTGCCCATTATGGACCGCCCCGTGCCGCGCTTGCATGCTAATCGCCCCTACACTCAGAACCAGCCGACCGAAATCCCGTCTTGAGTTACAAAGTAATACGGAAAAGATTTAATTGTTGCAGAAAAAAGAATGGAAATAAAATTAATTAAAAATAGCAGATTAATTGCAATCATTGCATTTCAAAATTGGAAGATATTTTTATGTAATTTAATCATTTTTATTTTTTATTAATGAAATTCAAAAAATTTAACAAATATTTGACCTCAAAAATGGATTACTTGTTTCGTAAATGGTAATTTTTTACCAAAATGATCAGCAATTTTTCAAAGTACTGGAATTCATCGTCAGCCATTTATGGTAGTTATTTTTCATTGAAATCTTAAAAAAGTGAGTATGCAACCTGCTTTACATTAGAGTTGCGCCGGTTGCATTTTTAAACAATTCAAATTTCCTAGTAAATTTTAAAAAAATCCAAAACTTTTATTCTAATATGCTCATTTAATTTTTAAAAATCAATTCATTTATTTAATTGGAAAGTAATTTTTAAAAATGTCACTATTTTGTAATAAAAATGAGGATTATAAACTTAATTCAAAGCAAAAATTTACATTATTTAACCCCTGGAAAAATTCACTACTATTTTCCAAAATTCTGTATTATTTTTCTATGTAACCTTTAAATTGTTTTTTTTTTTTTTTTTATCAATCAAATTCTCCAAATAAATAAACGTTAAATTGGCCGGCAGCGATCAATTTCAGCACGCTCGATTTATTTATTTTTTGTATTTTTCATCGGGCGACGCGCAAGATAAATAATCCAGCAGTTTTGACGTGTGTATGTGAGCTTTCGATTTTCGATGCTGTGCCGCTTTTTCCGTCGCTGCGAAATGTGTCAGCGGATGCGAGTGTTTTTATTTTTGTGTGCGGCACCGCGTGCTCTTTTTTCCACGTTTAAAACACTCGGATTCGTATCAGCGAGTGTGTGTGTATCATTTGCCTGCACGTCAAACGCAGAAATCGCATTTCAAAAAATTTCCGACTGGCGTTCCGCGTGCACTGCTGTTAGATACGAACACGGCAGCAGCAACGATAGGCGAGGTAATCCGAGGGCTCCATGGGTGGAAAATTCTCTATCTGGGACGAGGCGGACGCACGCGAGCGGAAGGATGAACTCTGAAACAGATCAATTCAATGGTAAAATGCGCAGTTGAAATTGGAGACTTCAAATATATAATCATTTAAGTTAAAAATTATGTAACATGAAATAATTTGTTAAATTTTTTTAATCTCCGTTTATTTTTATTTTTTAAGACGTAATAAAACAATTTTTAACATTATTAAAATATTTTCTAATGATAAATATATTTTATTTATGTTGACAAAAGATTAAATATTTATGGAAAGATCTTACAGGATTTTGTATCAACAATATAAAAACCCATAAATACAATAAAATTTTCATTTTTAATTTTAATGCTGGGACTTGAATCGTTGAGTCAAGAGAATTAATTAAGAATTATATTATATTGTAGTGGAACGTTTGAGTCAATAAGATTTTATTAAAATATTTAGCAGCACAATTTAAAATTACTATTAAATAATATAAAATGATACAATTTATGAAAATATAGAAACACCTCGGAAGTGTTGTTTGGAGATGTAAAATCTGGATATCGCAATTGATTTGGATTTCAAATATTTGTCTGAAGATGCCTGCAAATATACTGATTATTAAAATTTTCTGTGGAGCTCAAAAGATAAGAGATTAAAAATTAAATGTATCAAATTGGAGGTGTGTTTATCTGGAAAAGAATAGTTTCTGCTTAAAAAAAACCCCAAGTCAGAAAACTTAAGACAGGTTTATAGAAAAATTAACCTTTTTCGGTTTTTTACATGCTTAAAAGTATCAATTTTCATTTTTCACCTGCTCTCCAGGGACTTTTACAATTTTTCTTTAATAAATTTCGCTTGGATGCAATAAATCAGCAACTATTAAAAGGTCACTTATCACCTCTCTTTCTCTCTCTCTCCGTGCAGCTGAAAACTTTTGCTGCTGCAATGATTCAATTAATTCGCCGGATCGGCCGACAAAGTTCTCTCCTCGCGCGGGAGACATTAATTAAATTCCAATCAGCGATTTATCTTTCTTTCCATCTATGAGGCGGAAGCTTCGTTTCCTACCTAGAACGGAACAAAGGAAAAGTCTCGAGACTCGAAATTGAAAATAGTAGTAGTTGTTCTTGTTGGGAAAAAAGAACAAGAAGTTTGGCGCACTCGAGACGCAAATTGAATTTTACAGCCGGACGCTCTGCGGCGATGCAACTTCCAGTTTATTCGCGTCTGCTGCTGTTTTTCCGCGCGCAACGCATATAATTCCAGAACTTTGCGCTTGTCATAATAATTTATTTATTTTCGCTTCTGCAAAGTATTTATGTCCGTCCGTCCTTTCGACTGTGACGACAAATGGCAAAAGTTGCTTTCTTGTTCCGCGTGCGAAACTGCCGTAAATCGGCGCGGTTCTCGAGAGGATGCACCGCAGTCTGCGTCCTTTAACTCGTTTGATGAGACAACTTGCAAAATTAGTTTCCGCAACACAGAGACTTGTTGGTGCGCTTTGAAAATCGCACTTTTAATGAGACGATTAAAGAGAATGCAAGTTGCACAACTTTCAAAGTTAATTGACGAATTCAAATTTGTGTTCTAAATTTTAAATTTAGCAAGATTAAAATGTCATTAAAAAGATACTAAACTTCTTTTAGTTTGAAATTGAGCATGATTTAATTTGAAATATTTTCGATGCACTTGTTTAAGTTAAATTTTGCCAGCATTTAGAATCCAGCTTCAGAATAATTTCAGTTCAATTTTTAATTTTTTAAGAACATAAAAGCCACAAGAAAATTAAGAATTTTCATAATTATACAATTATATGCAAAATTAACTCATTTTTGTTAATCATTATACGCTTTCCCGTAAAATTTTAGCTGTGGGTCCTAGTTAACTCATAGAATTAAAGAACATAATCTTAAAATTATTAATTTATTAATAATTGTTTTCTCTACGTTTCACATATGAAGTCAATTTTCGTGCACCACTACTGAAAGCGTGCATTTATTTATTTTTTAATTTAAATTACATTGGTAGGTTTCTGCAGCCGAATTTAAGAATATTTTAACAAATCATATTTAAATTGAACATGCTATAGAACATACAACTACACGTATATTATTAAAATATTTCAGAAACTTAAAAAAGATACAAAAGAAATAAAATTTTTAAAATGTAGCTATAATAAAATAAACTAATTTTTATACTGTGAATTAATAATTAGCAAGCAATAATGATTAAGTTTTATAGAAATGTTATAAACTAATAATTTTTTTTAAATTTCGATAATTTTTTCTGCTTTTAAAGAAAATTCAACATATTAAAATACCTAAAAATCCGTTGGAACAAAATTTAGCAGCGCTGAAAGTGCTGAAACCATCTGCCCTTTATTTACACGCAGCAGTCCCTTGGAATATTTACTTGGGAAGTGTTTAAGAGGGCACGAAATGAGGAGGCACGCGCTGAAATTTCAGACTAGCACGAGACAAAACGTGCTCCAACTGGAGAGCGCGCGGGAAAAAAACTCAAAAAGTCGCAAGAAAATTTCCACCAGCCCTTATTCAAATTTGAAAATGAGTCAAACAGCTTAAATAAATTATGTTTTGGCAGAGAAATAAAAAAAAAATGCTCAACGCCTGGTGCGCAATTATTTTGGCGTGCGTCGTTTTTTTACGAAAAATTTCCACCTTGGCCTTAATTGGCCCTCGGAACGAACGGCGCTAATTAGTTTGCTCTGCTACGCGCTTGTTTTTCGAGCGAACATGGTAATTAGTTTCGTCACGTGGCTCAGCCGGTTTAATTCGACCGAAAAAAGCGGCCCCAGTTAACTAATGAATCGAGACGAAAAAACTAAAATTAATCAACTCGAGGAAAAACACAAACAAGGCTCGTGTTGTTTCATCAACATTTTGCTCTCGGCGTTTACCTTTGAACAATTTTCGCGATTTTCTCTCTAAAATGAATTAAATTTGTGTTTGCAGGCAAAAGTCCGTTCTTCACTGGCTTGGACGAGAGCGGCGGCGCCTTACTGGACGACGGCGGCCACGGTGGCCTCGGCGGGCTGGGCCTCGGGCCCCACCCGGGCCTCGTCGGCGAGGCCGGCGGCCCCCAGGGAATGCCCAACTCGGCGCAACCCCTGTCGTCGCCGTCGCGCTCGTCGCCACACAGTCAAGGCTCCGAGACTGGCGAGAGGTTCTCGCGCAAGGTGTTCGTCGGCGGTCTGCCTCCCGACATTGACGAAGGTACATATTTAACAATAATACAAAACTCTCGTTACTTCTTTATTCTTACACTTTTCACTTGAAGAAATTGGAATTTAAATAGTGAAAATTGAAGATTTCATGTTATTTCGAAGAAAAATGCAAGATTACATTTTTATAGAAAAAAAAAGAAAAATTTGCTTGAATTTCCCAAACCTGGCTTAATTTTTTTTGTAAAATTTTGAACCAAGCTTTTCCTCGTTAAACTTTTGTATATTTATTATTTATCTTAAAATAAGCTTTATTTTATTTAAAATTTCAATTTGTTTAAGAAGCAGTCTCTTTCACAAGTTCTAAGAAATTACAAATACTTTTGTAGCAGAAGTTCACGATCGAGAGTTGATTCATGGTGATTTTAATTTAAAATTCGGCTATTCCTCGATGGGTTCTTGTGACTTTTTTATTGTTTAAAGAAAAAAAATATCCTGCTCTACATGTTTCGGCTGTGGGCTGCAGCCATAATTCATGAGCTGCGAAAACATTTTGACAAGAATTAGCGCAAAAATCAATCTTTTTTTTCAAAAATTATTATTCGTTTTTGAAATTTCTTGATAAAAGATTTATTTTTTCACTAATTCTTGTCATAATGATTTCACAGCTCATGAATTATGGCTGCAGCCCGCAGCCGAAACATGTAGAGCAGGATATTGTTTATCTTAAACAATAAAAAAACTCCCAAAAAACCATTGAGGAAAAGCCAAATTTTATATTAAAATCACCATAAATTACAAATAATTTACATAAGCAAGCATAAAAAAAAGTTTTTTAATCATTTGCCACGATTTGCTATACAAGTACCTTTGTTCTGCAACAGATTTTTAGTTTTAATTTTATCTTTCAAAAATAGTTATTTTTTTTCTTACTTATTAACAATTGAATTTCATTTTCCGCAGATGAGATCACAGCTAGTTTCCGCCGTTTCGGCCCCCTGGTTGTCGATTGGCCGCACAAAGCCGAGTCCAAGAGCTACTTTCCACCCAAGGGCTACGCTTTCCTCCTCTTCCAGGTAAATCCAAGTTTATTTTCATTGGCAAATATCATTTGATGATTTTCCTTTGCAATCAGGACGAGAGTTCCGTGCAGCAGCTGATCGACGCGTGCATCCAGGACGACGACAAGCTGTACTTGTGCGTCTCGTCGCCCACCATCAAAGACAAGCCGGTGCAGATCCGGCCGTGGCGCCTGTCGGACGCCGACTTTGTGCTGGACGCGTCGATGCCTCTGGACCCGCGAAAAACGGTGTTCGTCGGCGGCGTGCCTCGGCCCCTCAAAGCTGGTCGGCATTCATGTGGCTTTTGATTTCTCTTGAGACTAATATTTTTCGTCCGCAGTGGAACTGGCCATGATCATGGACCGTCTCTACGGAGGAGTCTGCTACGCTGGAATCGACACAGATCCTGAGCTCAAGTATCCAAAAGGCGCGGGTCGAGTAGCATTTAGCAATCAGCAGAGCTATATAGCAGCCATCAGCGCTAGATTTGTCCAACTGCAGCACGGAGACATCGACAAGAGGGTAAACAAATTATTTCTTAGCTTAAAAATTATTTTAAATTTTTTTAACCCTTGGAAATCTGTCTTTTAATTCCTTCTCCAAAACAAATATTAAAAAGTTTTGTTGTTGAAATATTTGACAACATTCCAAAAATAAAAATGAAAATTTGCCCTTGTTCATTAAAAACTCTTGAAACTGATTTTTAAATTTAAATTGGGAACTTAAAAACATCCCCTCATTTTGTACATTTTAGGCCCCAACATCATTCAACCGGAAAATTAAAGATTTAAGTCTTTTGGAGAAACTTTCCTTCTTTTACTAAATCGATTGGGTTTTTTTTTTCAACCAAGCTTGTCCCATGCTCAAGTGTTGTTACCCTTCCGCTTATTATTCATGCAAAGGCAGTTTTTGCATTTTTATGACTTTCCGAGGGGGCTTACGTAGTTAACCTCAAAACCACTTATTGCGATCATGTTTTTGCCTCCCCTCGTTTGCATTGCAAATCCGATTTTGTCTCATTTTTCCCACACTTGACCCCCTGCAAAAGTTGCATATAAATAAATAAAAATATATTTACACATACGAGAGCGCAAAACTGACTTATGGAATTTTCGCAGGTTGAAGTGAAACCTTACGTGCTTGACGACCAAATGTGTGACGAGTGTCAGGGCCAACGCTGTGGAGGAAAGTTTGCCCCATTCTTCTGTGCTAATGTCACATGTCTTCAGGTAATGAAAATTCTTAATTTCAACAAAAAAAAAACTTTGATTGAGATATTTTAATTATTGAAAAATATTTAAAAAAAAAAAAAAAAAAAAACATTTCAAATTCATTTGGTTTTTACAAATTTGGAAGTTTTCTTCGAATGGAATTAAAACACTTTTTTAGACACATTCAAATTTAAAGAAAACTAATTAAAGGGCTACTGTACTAAAATATCAATCAACATTAAAATTTTTTTTTTTAATTAGGCGTAGAACGACCTTTTTATAAAATTCACCAAAACATTTGCATAAATTTTATGGGCCACACTAACTAGATGTCTCATTTTTCAGTACTACTGTGAACACTGCTGGGCCACAATCCACTCAAGACCCGGCCGCGAATTCCACAAGCCACTAGTGAAAGAGGGCGCCGACCGACCCCGCGCGGTGCCGTTCCGCTGGTGTTAACCACGGCAACTCTTAGGCACAGCTTAAATTTTGGGAATTGGGAGTAACTAAGCAAGAAATTTAGCGTCAAGAAAATGTTAATCTATTGACTAAGTAGGTTTCAATTTTGGGGTGGCACTTGGCTGTTTTTATTTGACTTCTCGGTTCGAGGCGGCGCCGCACTCGCGCCGCCCAACACTCGCACTCGCTGCGTTTTAACTCCTTGTTGTCCTTATCTTTTCTGTTTTTAGTCTTCTCTTTTTGGCGGGCGGCGGCCGACGGGCGGCAGCGAAAAATAGTACCTGCACCCATGGCGAACCCCCGCCCAAATTTAGCGAGCGTCACCCCAACTATCTCTCTCTCACACACACACTCTCACTCACACACACACACCCACGGTTTTAATTGATGCTTATATCATGTCTAGGCTAGTGGAATTAATCGTTTTTCAGTTTTATATAAAGCAACTGACCCTTATGTAATCGATACGGAAAAGACACGTTGGCGTCGGTCCGGCGCTCTTTCGGCCGGACGCACACACTTTTCACACTTTTGTCACGCATAGGGGGGTTTTTGGTCAAAAAATTCTCTGCCAAAATTTCTTCACAAAATATCTAGTTAAACAAAACGTGTAAATAATCACACACACACACACACACAGACAGACACACACAAGCGAAAACATGCTCGCAGCGTCATCAGCAGTCGCTCTTTGTACAGCTTTTTCAATGTGATAGCTTTTTTCTCTCAGAAAAAATGACTGTTTTCTATTTGAATAATTAATTAATTAAAAAGAAGAAGCCATTTTTCACAGCTGTATATAATCATAGGATGTAGTTTTTAACTAAAAAAAAGAGAAAACAACACGAAACGGAGATAAAATGTGAGTCGGTCCGCTTCGGACGCGACGCGCGAGTAGTTGCAAATTCTTTTTACTAGTGATGATGAACAGAAAAACGCTGTTTTTATGTGATTTAATAAGTGTAAGCCCTTAACAGAAGATATCCGAAACATAAAAAGTATTATTTACCCTTGCGAGTACCGACAAAACTTGCAAAAGTCGCGATTGGCAGAGATTTTTTGTTTCGACGCACTCGGGAGTTTTTTATTTTCCATACGAGCAGAGAATTCGAAACGAATTTCATGTAACGTATTAGAAAGAAAAAAAAATGTTGAGAATCTCCCATTTGGAAAACTATCGCGGTACAAGTTGTTTGTTGATATGAGAAAGAAAGAAAGAAAGTAATTTCTTTGCTAATTAATTACACTTACTACGCAACTTACACACACACTACCTTTGAAACAACTGGAACCCACACATAATTTTTACTAGATTGCTCAGGCTGTTGAATTTCTGAAGCGAAAATCGAATCGACACACACAAGCGAGTTCGAGACGTACTGGTTTTTTGTTACACACGACGACATGATGAATAGGGTATAATAATCGGTGCGCACACACGCATAATTAGTCGATCAGATAATTGAAAAATTACAATAATTAATTGTCTCTCACATACTTAACGCATTCACACACTCATGTAATAGCAGACAGACAGATGCAGATTTTTGATAAGCGGAATTAAGAGCAGAAGGTGTTTGTCGGTTTTAATTTTTTATTTTAGAAAGTGGTACGTAGCAATTGAATAACGATGCTATTTTCTGCGCATAACAAGACTGGTCCTTTTTGTAGGGAATAACGTGAAAAAAAAAATAACAAACAAACAAATAGAGAATGAGAGAGAAGAAAGGCGGATCACTGTGGTAAAAACGACAAACGAAATCAATCATAACGAATCACACGCATAAAAAACAAACTCTTTCGTTCTTCCCACCTTGGATCATTCACACACACAAACGCGAAAAAGCAAATTGAGAATTAATTTTTAATTGGTCGTTTTGATTTGTAGAATTTTGTTTCCGGCGCCCCACTCGGATTTTGCGTCGTGACCATCGTAGGCCGTCGCACGACTGAATTTTTACAAAACGTAAATTTGTACGAGCTGCTCTGCTTTTGTAGAAAATTGTGATACCCACGCGATGAATGAGAACTTTAGTCACTTTCGTCAGCACCAACTCGACTGACGCGCGCGCGCCTCATTGTTATTTAATTCCTAATTTGAGTCTTTTTTAAATAACTGACGGGTCTTAACTTTTTGTAAATCAAAACGAGTTCTTATACCATATTAAACTATTATTTAATTACACACAGTAGTCAGCAAATCGTTATATATTTATTTTGCAAAGAGAGAAAATAATAAGCAACTTTAGTTCCTATGTCGATTTTATCGTTTACAAATTGAATTTGCAGTCGACTTTTATTATTTGTACATATATGCAAACAAAAATTTGTACATATGTAATAATAACTAATTTTGGACACAATCCGCCAACACATTGTTTTAGTTGTTAAGTTGTCTGTGTAAATAATTTGATTTTTCTTTTAATTGCGAAAATCTCTCGAGGTCTACAAAAGCAAGCAACTCCGAGTGGGCACGACTTATTAGATTATTGTATTACTAGTTTTTAGCCAAAAAAAAAAGAAGTTACCTACAGAAAACAAACACCGTTTTTAAACCGATTGTTTTCGCCATTTTACTCAATTGTATCCGTTGCAAATTACCAAGCAAAGCCTTCTACGAGTAATAATATTAATGATTAATGACGCAATTTAATACATAACCTAATCAGGCACAGAAATTTTTCACACGAAATCACTCGCAAAATTTTTAACTAAAGAAATTCAAATTTCTCTGGAACGGGAACGTCGCGATCTGGTAAAGTGCGGGGAATGAAACGGAAAACTTTTGAGAAGGAAGCAAGTTGAGAAAAAAAATTACAAGGAGAATTCATTAACAACCAACAACCTATTAAATATTTTCAATGTATTTGTGTGATAATAACTTATTATTATATGAAAAAAAACTACAACTCGTCATTACTTGAATGTCTTAACAACTACTATATTAGATGATAATAATAATTAAAAATGCACGATGCTAGTGTTTTTCAAAATAAAATTTTGGATGTTGACGATGAGGAGGAAGAGAGTGCGGGAGAAAACTGATTTTTACACTCGTTGCGAAAAAAGAGGAATTAAACTAACCTTGACGAACTCCTTTGATTTAGATACTGAGCGATGTAGAATGCCAAAATTTAAAAATGGAACATTCTGCTGTAATTTTTTATTCTGCCTCAAAGGTGAAAAAAGAAGGAAAACTCTCGGAAAAATAACTGTTACAAAAAAAAAACTAATTTTAATATCTTGTATGACTTTTCACACTACTATATAAATACTGAGAATAGGAATATGTGATGAATGGTTGGTCATTTTTTCAATGTGCAAAATTGTGCATTGCAAGTTAAGGGAAAAATTCATACAAAACTGGTTTGGAAAAAAATCACACATAAAACTATACACGCTACACTTTCGGGTTTTAAAAACTCCCAAAAAAAAAAAAATTAAACTATGATGTATGGATAAAATATTATTGCATTGAAAAGTTGCCATTTTCACTCAACAAGCCCCAACACACAAAAAAGTCGCGGTTTACGGTTAGTGATTTTACTATACACACAGAAATATGGTGAGGTGCGAAAAATTTCCATTTTTTTACCCGACACTCGCAGCTCTTGACGACGACGATACGATCCTTTTCCAAAATCAAAAAAATTTGTTTCCTCAGCCTTTGTTTTCTGTTATTTGTTCTGATTTATTTTTATTTTTTGAGATGATGTGGAAAACTACTAAGTTATTGAATAAGTTATGATAGAATGTATAATTTTCGTTGTTGCTTCTTGATATAAAAACAAACAAACAAAAATATACTTACCAAGTGAATGTGTTAAATACTTTGTTGTAAAACTGGCGCGCCTTTGTCTGAAACGAATCCCCCCCCCCCCCCCCCCACCGGAAAAATCCTCCGGATATGTTTATTTTTATTTTTCTGTCCCCTCGCAAGGAGAAATCTCACAGTTGGATGATCAGAAAAGGCGCTGCAAGTTGAAGGAAAATTTTGTTATCGGCATATCCTATTGGTATTTTCACATCACACTAGTGTTAATCGAAGAATAGCTGTGTTGTTTTTTGTATAACCAATATCGATAAAAAGTAACTGATAAAAATTAGCGAGAAGTATAAAACCAGAAAAACCAAAAATACTACTTTGTGTATTTTTTAGCCAAATATTTTGTGCTTGTTTAATTCTTTCGAGAGGAATTCAATTAATACGAGAGTGGAACATTTGCAGTTTTATACGAAAAAGTTAAAAAAGGTGAAAAAGCAAGCGAGCTGTTGATTTTGCCTTTATAGCATGGAAATTAATCTTATATAGCAAACAAAAAACTTCTCAATGCAAAGTTGATATTTCGTTTTTATTACTATCATTATTTTTTTCAGTTGATTTCATATATTTTTCTTTGTAGTTTTATAAAAAAATAAAATTGATGATTTGAATTTGCTTTTCGTTTTTATTGTTCTCCTTTTGTTATTCCTTTTGCATGTATACACGGATTTGGAGAAAGGAAGGAAAAACGCTCCTCCTCGCACCCCGGCTTTGATGACGAACAGCAAAATTTCGCAACAATTGAAAAACACACGTACACACACACACCCAATATCAAACTGCCTGTAACTTTAGTCTCTATAGCCTCTCTGGTACAAAATAATTAAGAAGTTTTCAGTTCCGATCTGAAACGTTTGTACATACATGATTGATTAATTACTACGCTAATCAACTGACTAATTAAGGCCACACACAAACAAACAAACAAACTCACTCGCAAATTATTCATATATTAACAAAATATTATATAATATAAAATTAACTACAAAGCTGGTTCCCTACGTAGCAATATGACACTAATTCGTAATTAAATAAGAATTAATAATTTCTGGCCAACTTTACAATTCTTTCGAATCGGGCAAAGAAGAAGTCGGAAAAATCCACACACACACACACACACACAAACACACACTTCGTCACAAACAACGTTGAACAACCAATTGCGATGGCAACTCCTAGGATAACAATACAATTGAGAGTTGATGATTAATTAGCTGATCTTATTCGCACACTCGTGTAACACACTTGAAATTGTAACAATACTCACAAGAAAATAATATTAACAAAGACGAACAAAAAATAAATTAGCGAGACAAACAAAAAAGCCACAGCTGGTGTTATTTTAACTCGGTGTTTATATCAATGGAATTAATTATTATATACCGCGAAAGGATAAGTTTAGCTCTCTGAATAACTACTAAATATTGTAACCGTTCTTCACACACGCTCCGAAAAAAAAATTAAGCAAATCTGTCTCGTTGTAAGGAATATATAGAGTTAATTAATTACATACACTCAAATTATTTTTTCATGTCCCCCACCCGAAGTGAGCATAAAAAGTTATATTATTTGTGCAGCTTCTCGATTTTAACCACACATACACACGAAAAACTAACGCTAACCGTTGTACATTATTAACATAAAGGGCAAGTTACAATTAGAGAGCAGTTTTTGGCCAACCACGAAAATGGATTAATATAATATTCATCGTAGCTGTGAATTTTAACGGTTATTTGAGCGCGAGACGTAGAGGATGTGATTGTTTTTTGTATTGAGCAACGGCATGCGTGATATAATTAAACACCGCGCGAGTATAAATGAGATGTATTTAACCATTTTTAAGAAGAATTCAGCCAACACGACTCAAATCGCAAAAAAAGAAATGGTTCTCTCATGTAAAACATTTCATGTTTAACCTCGGATTTAAGGCAAAAGAAGAAGAAGAAAACAGAAAAGAAATTCATGATACTCTCGTGTAATAATATCTCTGTAATAAGGTGGAAAAATAAACAAATGTCGTCACTTGGAATGACAGTTAAAGAATTTTGGCTCCACTGCATCTGATTTTAAAATGGAACAGAAAAAATGGATACACACAAATGGCTGAATACTTTTTTCAGTTAAAAGCGAGTTTAAAGGACCTCTCTGGTGTTTTATTTTTATTCTTCGTTTTTTACAATCTCAAATTCATTAAACTGCAATCAAGATTGCTATCCAAAAATTCAAATGGCTAAGGAATGAAACAGGAGATAATTTGATGAAAATTACTGAGATCGAACTGAAATGCAAATGATTTTGGTGGGAGATTTTGTGTGTGTTTAATTTTTTTTTTCTAGAATTATAGAATAAAAATAATTACCAAGCAGAGTCTGCCTTTAGTGAAAATTTTTTTAAGAATGAAATAATTGCTATTCAGCCAGCGTTTAACTTCAAATCAAGTGGCCTTATTCTTTAACTCGAAACACACAAAATACAAAATCGGATTTCCGCGAAATTAATCTCTTAAAAAGCTTCATACAGATCGATATGAAAAGATACGCTGCATTTAAAGGACCCTCGTACGCATACTCTCTCTAATATTAATTAATTACTTGTAATCAATCGATCAGCAATACACTGCAGTCAAAATCAATTTCTTATTCCCACGTGCAAATTTCTTTGAGAATGAAATTTAAACAACAAAAAATACTTTTAGATACACTCGTTTGATATTCAAAGAAGGTTTAGTGTGATAGGTGGTGAGGGCTGGTAATTACAATTAATTTTTTTAACTATGATGTACACCCCTTTTGTAACACATTTTTGAGCCGCGCGCGCGTAAACGAGAGCACAATTAATTCAAGACCGAAATACGTATATTTAAAAATTGAGTGGCCCAAGAAACAATTAATGGGGGAGAAATAACGGAGCATCTCAAAATCGCGGCATTTCATTGAAAAAAGAAAGAAAGAAACAGAGGAGAGACCTTTTTACGATTTTGCAATCTCACACTCACTCACTTACACATACAAGTTGTAAACATGATAATAACAATATGGTATTTTGCATATCTTTTTGAGACGCATTCCTCTTTGCATTGTACTATAATAAAACCTAGTGTGTAAAAATCTCGTATTTGTAAAACTTTCTAAGGTGTACCACGCGCGAGATGTGGAGAGGGAATTTTCATTGATCATTATATATTTCCGGAAAAAAAAAACCAAAGAGAGAGATTGATGTAAAATGCAGCCAGAAGTTCTGTCTATTTCTGATAAGTACTCGGACCTACGATTTATATAAGAAGGAACCACTCTCTCACTCTCACATACCTAGGCTTTTCTGACGTGTATAATTAATAAAGTGTAAAATTACGAATCTATTTTCTACATGATGTAAAGCGACGAACGATATTTAATCGGTTGAATTAAAAACTCGCGATTAATTGAGACGCACTCACGTACTGGCTACACGATAGTTGATCCATTAATTCCCATTTTATAAATGAATAAAAATAAATAATTGACAAAAAAAAAATAATAACACGAGTCTCTCTTTCTTAATATTGTGTAATTATTATACACCGCTTGTTAGCAGCCCTCCAAGATACAATACCATACCGATACATATATAGTTTTTACGGTTTACAAAAAAATGGCGCCTCCGATTCCGCGCCACTTTCTTTCCAGCGCTGCCAACCTAACGAAGGCCTCGCTTGCTCTTTTAATTACACAAAATCTATCAACTTTTTCAAAGGCCGGCATTTGAGATTCTGAAGTTTGAATAAACACTCTGCGCGTGCGCGAGCTGTAGGTTCGGCGCATGCGCATTGTTCAGATTTCGAGCGCGAACAGTCGGCCCGTTTTTAGATTTATCTCACTCACAATGATGTTTTAAACTCGTTGCGACACGTGAACAATGCCGCGTAGCTCGTTTGCTGGATTAGTTACGGGTTGTAAACCGAAGAAACATGACAAGAAAAACTGCTGTGCTCTTTTTATACTCGAAATTAACCCATGTGCGAGATGTAAAATGATGTGTCCTTTTCTCAGTTTTCGAGAGAATATTTAAATAGTTTTTCGGTTGTTCGTTTCACGATTCGTTGCGTTTCGGTGGTGCAAAGATGAACCTTCCAAATATAAAAAGTGCAGTTAGTTTACTGCTGTGTATGCGTCCTCTCGATATCAAGGGAGCTAATTAAAAAATAACAAATGGACTAAGGGCGCGCGCGCTTACATACCGAAGACTCGGCCCACACACTTTTTATATCAAATAAAGGGTGCTCACTGAAGTTGACGACTGCTGCTGGGTTTGTAGGTGGTGGGTGAATCCCGACGAGCCAAAGACGGGGGTAACTTAACGTGTCAGTAAGTAAACTCAACAATGCAGGGTGTTAATAAAACGACGACGATTTCCCAGTACATGAATTTTCGGTTTTCGGTAGAAAAGATGTGTAAAAAATTGAAATCTTGGATTCGGCTCTCCTTGGTTGTAACAACAACGCGGTTTTGTACGTATCTGGTCATTTTTAAAGGAAATAACACACGGAAACATAAAAAAAAACACACACACGGGGTCGAAGATTTTATAATGAGATGAATCTGTTTAAAAGTGACGAGAGTTTATAGCTAATTTTGGAGTGACTGCAAGTGGAATAAGTAAAAGTAAAAAAGCGAAAACAAAAATTAATAATTCTGATAAAAGTGAAAAAAAAATTACGACGATGATATGACACGATATAATGTAATGCTTTTATCGTTTTTTAAATAACCTCCACTGGATATTTTTTAATGGATTTTTGTACATTTTCTATTTTTTGTAAGAAGATTTGATGCTCGCTGATAAGAATAATCTCTCAAACCGGTTCACTGTGTAATTTCATACATAAAAATAACATTGCTGATGATATGAAAGGATGCGACGAAATCGACACACGCGAATCCCTTTAAGAATTCGAGCCCCTGGTCCGCGCTTCATTTTTTAAATTGTTCGTTGTAATTAGGATATAAAGATTTAGGATGAAAACGCATTGGCGACCTCACCTCACTGTTATATTCCTTGATAATAGGATAAATTTAATACAATTACAATATTTGTACTATAAAAATTGTATAACCCTCTATTATGGAAATGGATATTTATATCATGCTCTAATGTACACAAACTCACACTCACACACATAAAAAAACGACAAAAAAAACACGCATGAAAAACGGATGTGTAAGCAAAAAAAAAAATGAACACAGCAATGATATTTTTATTTTTTACTGATGTGCTGGCTTTATATAATTGAACATGGGATCGATTGTGTAAAGGCGTTTTCTAATAGATGAAGAAAACACACATGGTCGCGTTTTGTTACCACTGATATGTAATTTACGAGAAAAGAACAAAGACAACGCTGAAGATAGTCATTTTATGTTTTCTATACGACAGAAAAGATGATGAGAAAAAAAACTATAAATGTAACAACCTAATTATTGGTTATTATTCGACATGCGATTTACAGTTAATGTACGTGGATAATTTGAAATACATGTACGTTTCAATATACCAAAAATTAAAAATAAAAAACAACCGTGATTTCATTTCAACATCAGCTACCCTTACACAAAGCATAATTAATAGAATATGATGATGTTTAAAATATTATTTTTGAAAATGTAAATTTATTAAAATTGGAGTCATCAAAATGTTATGAATTTGGTTGAAAAAATGAGAAAAATGATATTATCTTTACTCTGCAACTAAATTTCGGATAAAAAAAAAACATATAAAATACAAAGCAATAAACATAAAAAAAATTTATTTATGAAGCAAAATCAATTCAAGGAAAAAATTTGATTTTTATTACATATTTATTAAAACAAATGTTTTGTGTTTAAAAAAGTTCAAGCAAGCATAATAATTTATCATGCGAAATTATAAGAAAAGTTAGGCAAGGCAGATAAGCTTTGAATTAAGACTGCTTTGAATAAAAAGCTTTCAATTTACTTAATTTCAAAAATAATAACTAAAATGATTTTTCTTAGAGATTGGTTTACCATTTGCTTTAACCCTCTCTGAAAGCATCTAAAAGTTGTTCACAAGTCCAATTTCGTGTGGTTGAAAATAATTGTTCCTGTTTTCAGACTTAAAAAAAGTTACCGGTAATAGCGGCAATAAGACTGAATAAGACATAAATAGAAAGTTAATAAATGGATGTATTATTTTATATTATTGTGTTGCATAATGATTTTTATGATCTTAATATTTCTTTAGGAAAAAGTTCAAAATCTTGCATTACGTTTAATGAGAACTAACGACTAATCATACTTATTAATTTTAGGTGTCAAGTGTATTGAAGAATAAGTACAATTATTCTTGTATTGAATTATTTAACATTCTTTTAATGAATTTTGATCATAATTAAATATTGGGAAAATGGTCTTGTTAGCGGATCTTCAGCCCTGTTTTCTCTGAAATCCAGCCCAAATAACTGGCAACCCTGGTGAACCCGCTTGGACTCTTTATGCACGAAGTAGACGAACCAAAACTGACGAGACCCACTTGCGTGCTTTTTTTGTCCTTCTCTTTGCAGACAAAAGGACCACCACTGTCACCCTTTTTAGATCAAAACGTCAAATTAAAAATTTTGAATTGAATTTAAATACAAAATGACAAAAAAAATAAAATATAATATTCCGTCTTTTTTTTAAACAAAATTTGAAATTAAATTTCATTAAAAAAATAATTACTCACTTGACAAGTGGCCTGCTTGTCAACGTTCTTGATACAGAGCAGCGAAGATATCACAGTTTCTTCCCCATAGAGACTGGCACAGACGGTGTTTTCAACGATCATTCGCTTCAAAAATTTCAAATCGTCGCTTGTGCCTTTATCTGTGTCGATGCATAAATCAATTGTGTGGTACTTTTGATCATTCATTTTTCTACCATCACCGGTTTTTCCCCACCCAGAGATGGTGCACTTTTGTTTTGCAAAATTTTTGGTCGCGTCAGCAGCGGCTGGAAGGCGTACAACTTGGACGAACTTGGCTGCTCAGAAAATTTTTATTCAAAATCAAATTTTTCCAAAATCTGAATAAATAATACAAAGTTCAACTTGCACTGGTAGTTTCAAAAGTGCGATGTCGTTGTTCAGAGTTTGGTCAGAATAATTTTCATGGACGTAACTCTCGGTGGTCGCCACATTAATTCTGCTGGAAACGGAGCCGGAAAGTTTGACCACGCCGAGACTGACGTTGAATCGCACCATTCTGGATAATTTTCAAGATTAATATGAATGTTTATTTGGCATTTTTGCACCCGTAAACGCAATGGGCGGCCGTCAAGATCCACTCAGGATCGATCAAAGACCCTCCGCACATGTACTCCTGGTCGTTTGCGTCGTACAGGTTGATTCTGGCTTGCCAAGGAAATTGGCCCAACCTTGCTTTTTGGCCGCCGACAATTTGACTCTCAATGCTTCCTTCGTCGCTGTCAGTGCTACTTCCAGCGTTCTCTTTGCAAAAACAAATAAATGAGCTTCTTAAAGAAATTAAAATGTAATACATGAACTTGAACGAATAAAAATATATTAGTACAATAAAATGGGGAAAAAAATATTTGTGTATTTTTTACAAGATAATTCTTATAAAAATCAGGCACTTACTAATTATTTTAATTTGCAAAAAACTTTTCATTTTGACGCTTATCTACAAAAAATATGAGCTAGAAAAAGGTTATAATAATTGTATTTATTTGTGTTCCACGAAGCAATCTCTGACCAACAAAAGATATGACCTGGAAGGGGGGAAAATTCCTTCAATATTTGCTTAAAAAAAGAAACAATTACGGTAAAAAAATTAGGTAAAATTTAATTGCTCGTCAAAAAACTGTTTCAAACTGAATATTTGGTAACGCTAACCAAAATATTAATATATTGATCTCAAAAAATAAATAATAAAAAAATTAAATGAAATTGACTTTTCAGAGCTTTCTAGGAAACTGGTAGGAAATTAATTGTTTAGAGGAATGCTCGTTGAAAATTTTCGTCATATTTTCTGAATATATATAATGATATATTCCCTTCAACAATTGTCAATAAAAAAAGTAATTGAAATAGCAGCAAATGATCTGCTCAAAAACTATCCTCGAACAAACATCAAGAGAATCTAATTATTTTACTAAATATTTAATTAACTTAAGTAAATTTTTTCATTAAATTCGCAATGTGAATCCCAATAAAACAGAATAAGTTCGCTCCTTACTGTTTGGCAATTTTTTCCCTTGGGGTTTTTTGTCCAATTTCGGTTTGTTATTTTTTTCGTAGGCCTTGGCATTGAAATTCGGGACGTTTTTCTCCTCGAAGCCACGCGAAATGAAAACTGTAGGCCCCTTCTTTACTGCTGGGGCTGGTGCTGTTGTCCCAGTAGCTTCAGAATAAATCTGGAATTATGTCGTCAACGCTGTATTGTGACGAAATGAAGTGATTCTTACTGTGGTTTCATTTCCCAAGACCGTGGTGAGAGTGAAATTCAAAAAAGCGAGCGGCAGGATCATTTTTTCGTTTCAAGGGCCGCACCAGTTTCTACCTGCGCGGCCGCCACTCTGCAACAATGCCCAGCTCATTGTCAGGCAGATGTTTTTTCCAGTTTTTTAATGCACATATAACACGGACGAGGTTGCTGTAAATCATAGTGATTGTCGTCACAGGCCCTGTGCAAGAGGAAATGCGTATCAATCAAACCGCGGGGCCGAGTGACGGCGCCGCACCAGTGAAAAAATTCGCATCATTTGCACACAGTCTGTGATTGTGATTTTCCCATGTTCATCATCAAATGTGCTGCCTAACGAGACCTTCATTAAAAATAATCGAATGTTAATTGTGCACTTTTGAACACAATTATTATTTTGTCTATTTACAATGTAATTAATGTAGAATTAGTGAAAGGTGGTGTCTATTGAAAAATTGTTTTGAATAATTTATCTTTAAATACAAGTTGCTAAATTATTCTGAAACGTTTTTTGCTTACATTAAAGCGACTTTTTATATTTTTAGAACGCGTTGCTCAGCTTCAACCTTACGAAAAAAAGGTGCTCTAAATACCGGTTTGTCGACAACTGTTGCCCTGCAATTAAAAACTCACATGATCAAAAGTTTTACTTGCCTAATAAAGCATAAGTTCAAGTAAAAAAAGATTGCAGCTATTTTTAAAAGCGACTTGTAATAACCACACAGTCACGTTTTTTCTTAAACAGGAATGATGCAACGGTCAACTTATGAATATATTTTGAACCGCAACACCTTTTTATTTACTCTGTACATGTAAGGTCAAAAATAAATAAATAAATAAACACTAAAATATTAAAAATTATTTCTTGGAAAAAGTTAACAATCACGGTGAAATTTAGAAAATAAATCAAAGCTTTTACTTCCAATTAGTTTCACTTATGTATGTCACTTTTAAGGGTTATAACCTTACTGATAGCGTGCTATTTGTTTTTGATGGTCCACGTATGTAATTTATGATGTCAGTAAGAAACACAAAATCTGCGAGAGTAAATTGATGTCTCCTGCCCTCCGCCCTTTTAGTCTGATTGCAAGAGATGAATAGTCGAGATAAAACGGCAGCACTCCTCCTTGTTTGTCAACGTTTGTTGGTGTCCCAATAAAATTGATCATAAATAAAATTAATGTACCAATCTGCTTATGAAAGTTTGCTGTGAGATTATACAAATATTTATGTATTGTTGTAATTTTGTAGCCAATGATTCCTTGCAGCTAATTTCTCAACACTAATACCTGTAAATAAAAGACCACATCAGTAGAATAAATTTAAATTAAAATTACATTTTAAATATTTTTTTAGTGGATGCGTTTTTGCGATAATGTTAAAGCAACATCCGTCCAACAAAAAGATTTTATAATCCTAATTATTATTCCTATTGTTGCGCATTGATCAAACAATTAAATTCTTCCTAACGGAATTTGTTTAATTTAAATTCCTTTTAAGGTATGACAAAAAAAACTATTTTCGTCTCAATATAATTATAGCCGTTGTGGTGGCGAAATAAATGATAGCACGCATTAGCGGAGCATTGCTCCCTGATAAGAAATTTGATTTGACTTGACGCAGCATTTGCATCTGGACTTTGGTGGCGGAAACATCTTCAAAGAAGGTTCAGTATCGTCTTAATTTGTTTAGAATTTTCTTAAAGCGTAAATCTCATTATTAAATGAAAACGTTTTTGATAGACCTTTATAATTGATAAAAAGCATCTTTAGAAATGGATTTGACCTTCTCAGTGCTGTTTATTCTTCTAATACTCACAGTGCAAACCAGAGCCAAGGAGGATACCAAACCTGACATTGAAAATCTCTTGAGGGTATTATACTTTTCATCTCTACATGAAACTACAATTTATCCATACTGATTTTGCCTATAAACTATTCCACCCACTATCATTCTTTGCTCTCTTATTACATACATTTTTTTAAATAATAGTAGAACTAATTTTAGTCTACAAAAAAATTTAAGATATTAATGACATAATATTACGTGCATACTAATTCAATACTTTTTAATTAATTTTATCTGGCCTCAAAAATTAATTGCTACCTCGTTGTTTTGGTTTCACACGTGCCCTAAATTGCTGATTTTTATCATTATTAATATTATGATTTTTTTAATGAAATATTTTTTCAGGAAGGATACACCGCAACTGATCTGGACACACAAAAACCTGTGGTAATTTTGTTAGGCAACACGGGCACAGGCAAAAGCACCTTCTCCAAATTTCTCCGCCGAGACCCAACTTTAAAAATAGAAAGAAATTCGGGGCGAAGATGGATATTCACAGATGGCGAGGACAAAATCGGCAGCACAAAGAGCCACGTATCAAAAACACTCTTTCCTAACGTGGACGTAGACGAACAAACGGGGACTCAGGTGGTCGACTGCGCGGGATTTCAGGACACGAGGAGTCCTGAATTTGATCTGCTTGCGGGGTTTTTCAACAAGAAAATATTAGACTCGAGCGAGAGGGTGAAAATCGTCATAGTTGAAAATATTTTCAATCTTCAGCAAAACGGGAATCGCGACTCTTTCACGCGGGCGCTGCAGCAAACGGCAGGTCTGATCGGCGCCAACTTTGATTCTTTTGAGGGATCCTTGGGCATTGTTGCAACCAAAGTTTACGGCTCGGACAGTGACGAAGACATTTTATTTGAAATTAAGGCTTTTCTGGACGACACACTGGAACATCTCCGTGAAGAAAATGCCCGTGCGGAAAAAACTGATGACAAGAAAAAACAGCAGGACTGGTTCAGACAATTGCGACTGTTGGAGTATCTTCTAAAAGGAGAAAATGTGCGACTCTTTTGGCGCCCTGAAAATTTCCAAATGGAGTCAATCGAAGAAAACCGGCAACAATTGCGGAAATTTGTGTTTGAAACTTTGACGTTATCAAAGCCATTTGCCCACGAATTTCAAATCACCGTTGCTGCAGAAACAGTTAATTTCATTAACGAAGTGATGCTTAAGAAAAGCGAAGACGCGATGGAAAATGAATTCCAGAATCTACGGTACAGATTGATCAAAAACTTTGACGAAGCGACCGGCGTGAATTTGAGACCAATATCTCTGAAAATGAGGAACATCATTGAATTCTGTCAGAATTATCTCACAACACTGAGCAACGTTAATTCAATGGAGCAAGTTGAGTTGTTCGCGAAAAAAAGAGGCGTTGGAGAAATGAACCTGCTGGAAATTCACTTCCAGGTTGACAAAGCAAAATTCTTTTATCAGGTAGTGGGAAAAGATTTCTTCGATGCAGTTGCGAAAAAGATCATCGTTGATTTGAAATCAACTATTGCTACGAAAGTCAACGCAGAACTTGGCTTCAATTTTTTTCTGGAATACTTGATTAATGATTTCGGCACCTACGAATTTCTCTACGGCAGCACAAAAGTTGATCAAGAAATTGCAAATGTCAATCTTTCAAACTTCAAAGCTTTCGCCGCTAACCTGAGAAAGTGGGGTTTTGGTGAGAAAACGGCTGTATCCGCTTCCAGTTTAAATCCAACCGAAGCCAACGTAGAGGCACTTAAAATTTTGGGCCTTGAAATGAAGCAAGGTGAAGTTGAGGTGACAACAAGAGGCACTATCGTTACATTCAGCGGTCGTTACATCATTTTGAGCAAAATCAAGGAGCAAATTTTAACAAAATTGTCAGCCAGTGAAATTGTTCTAATGGCTAGCGAAAAGTTGTTCGTTGACGGTGACATCAGTCTTCTGAACACGCATCTCAAATTTTTTGCACCTGAAGTAGAAATTATAGGAGTTCCAAGAAAAATGCACCTACGGGGGGAAAGTGGTAAAAGTGTTTTAGGAAAGGCTGCAAGCTGCGTGCGAGGAATATCTGAAGCATCTAATGGTATGAAGGGAAACGCAGGATACAGTTCAGGAACCTTTACTCTTTTTGCCCTCAACATTAAAAACGGACATTTGCTCAGTGTGCAAACGGAAGGTGGAGACGGGGGTGCCGGACAGACTGGAGGTGACGGGTGCGAAGTTAAAATTTACGACTGGCCTTCGTATATTCAAGATAGTATTCCGGACAGCCATTACTTATATATTTGCTGGCCAATGCTCTCAAACAAACATGCAAGCATGTGCAGCACAAGTAAAAGTAACGAAGTGCGTCTAATGCAAGATAACATGCCACCGACAGTCGGAGGGAACGGTGGGATAGGTGGATCTAAAGCATTGCCTGGAGTGCAGCGGTTGCTCATAAGAAGTAAAGAAGCTGTTAAAAGCGTTAAAACAATTGAATTAAATGGAAACGATGGAGCCCCTGGTCAAGGAGGAAAAGCTGGCAGGGTGGGTGCTCAGTGCACTTTCAAAAAATACCAATGTTCGCTTCCTTCAAAGACTTCTGTGAAATGTACATCCGCGGGAAATTATTACGATTGCGAATGGAAATTCACGCCAGTTGCTGACGGCCTCAGAATTGATGGAAATTCTGAAGGACTTCGGCAATACAAGTTTGCGGAAAGCAGATTGTTGGAACAAGCTTTCGAGTTTTATAAATTTATCTCAAAACAAAACCTTGTCTTAGAAGCTGAAAATAATATAGGTCAATTTTTAACTTTCCTTTTCACGTCAGATCAAGCAATTTCTCAATTCACAACTCAAGATTTTCTTAACATGATTGACGCTGCAGAATCAAATGTAAAGAGCGCACAGCATAGTGATTTGAGAGACACGATTCAAAGATTAAAGTTCTTCTACTCTGCGATGCTACAATCAGTGCGCTTGTGGCGAAAAATTCGCGGTGAAAGTGACTCCGTGATGGTGACAGAATTGACCCTGATCAGCTTGCTGGACACTTTGGAGGCTTTTCTGCATGGCAAGCAAGTGGTGCGACTCTCAGCTTTGGTAGACGCGCAGCTTCGCCGACTTACTGACGTTGATAAGGCGATCGAACAAGTCGGTAAGTTCGAGGCGGTTGCCGCCGAAAAGAAATTGCTGTTGTCAAGAATTGCTGATGCAGAAAAACTTATGCAAAATATTTATCAACGAAAAATTGACGAGATCAAAATACAAATAGATACGGAATTTGATGTCTTGCTGCAAAAAACGAAACAATTAGAAGAGCAATACAAAGAAAACGACAAAGTTCTGGTCGAGCACCGGAAAAAAATAGTAGAGCACATGCGGAAGAACGTGGCTATGGGTGTAGTGAGCTCCATTTCCACGCTCACGGGCATTTTTTACCCGTCAGCAGCACTCATTGGCCCCACAGTTACGGGCATCGCTCAAGCTGCAGCATCAGGACCACCGTCATTACAGTATGAGTCACAAGTTCCACGCGCAATTCAGAACGCCAAAGCGTTGTTTGATAAGCTAGAAAGGCAGAAAGCGGCGCAGCAAAAAGATTTGATCGCTTCGGCTCAAGAAATCATCGATGCAGATAAAAATGGGAAATTTTTGAGAGAGGAAAATATTGCGAGCGTTAAAGATCTCATTTTAACAACATCTACAGAAAAAAACTCACTAAACTCAATCGATATAACGTCTCTCTTTATAGCTGTAGATCTCGATTTAAAAGCAAAAATTGCAGAATTGAAAGATTCAAACGGAGACGGCAATGAAATAGCAAAATTGGATTTAATGAAAAAGAGGCTGCAAACTACCAGGTACATTGCAAATTCTGGTCTAGAAGTGGCAAAAACATTCAGTCAATATTCCAACGACCAGTCCGTTCTAGATCAGGTGGATGCGGCAATCAAGCAAAATCAAGAAAACCTAAAAGAAATGGCAGTTTACGAGGAAAATTTGCATAAAACTTTCAAACCACTGGTTGAACAAATGGTTAAAACTTTCGACTCGTTGAAATCAAATTTGAAAACGCAAAACACTTTTGAGCTGCTATTCCAGCAACTTGACCTGAAAAGCTATGCCAGAAAATGTGTTTCAATGGTGCAGAAATTGACGCAAGATTTATTCAGCGAAGACGAGGGATTCGCCACCATCCTGACAGAGCTTCAGGAACTTCTGACTACTCTGATTGACGCCTACGATAAAATCGAGGAGCTCCGTTACAGGGTGCCTTTAGCCGACTTCGCTGGAAAACTCGCCGGCGTCAAATGTCTGAGCACTTCAGATCCAGACGCATGCAACTCTCTGCAAAAAACTGCACAATCGATCAAAACGAATGAACTTGTACGAGAATTTGCATACGTTTTTGCGGCCTACCAACAGGTTTCGTTCCCTTTTGGCGCCAACAGAATGCAGCTTCTCAACACCACCCATTTATCTCTACGCTCGGAAGCCAAAGAAAAAATTGCAGAAATTCTTCGCTCGGTTCTGGAGTCAATTCGCGACGACCTTTCATCCAGTAGCACCTCGATCCAAAATCATCTAGACGCTGACGTCGTGTTGACAGAATTTAGCTCCAGATTTGTGTCAACTCAACCCTTTTTCGTCTGGCCCAATGTGCAGTTTTCGCGGCAGATCGCTGATCTGTTGAATGGAGAGAGGGTGACGCTGATGGCATCGGTGCCAGGGTCAAAAAACGCCGTCAAATTCAACTGGGTGGCTCTAAACATGACTTCAAAGGACGAGGACGCCGCTTGGCAAGTTCACAATTTGCTCAAGCACTTTCGGATCGAGATGGTGCACGGCGGAGAGAGTTATTTCAGGTGCGGCGGCGCCGTCTACGCCATCGGTGGTGCTGACCTCACCTTCACCCTGAGTTTCGAACGTGATGAAAAAGGCAACTTTGTCACGAGAAACAAGGTACAGGAGAAGCTCAGCACGGGAGACGTGCCCCTCAGCCCTTACGTCATGTGGAAATTTAAACTCATCTATGCTGGCAAAGAGGATCCGAAGGTTCTATTCCACAAATTAGGGCTTTTGTCGAAAAAAGTTGACTTGGAACTGGTCGGCGAGGGTAGCTATGTCGCTGAAGGCGCTGCAATTTGCGACTCTGATCTGAGCCGAGCTTACAATTACGTCAACTTGTAACATGTTTTTCCGATTTTGAGCAATCTTGTAGTTTTAATTCATAATGTGGTTTTAAGTGAATTCACTTTTTATTGTTAACAATAAAAATTAATGCATGTTGAAAAATTTGTACAAAAAATATATCTCAACCTTGGTTGAGTTTATTGTGGAACCAAAAATATAAAATTGTCCACTTATAAGTAATAAAGTTTTGGGTAAAAAAGAGTTATTTAAAATTTGTGGGAAATTTTGATTTTCTAAAAAGTAAACGCCATTGAAAAATTTAAATGTTTGTTTTAATTACAAATTACCATACTAAAAGAGAGTCCACCATTTGCCATTTCTCAACTGGAAATTTATTGGCACATATATTATGTTATAGAAATTTATTTAATGAGATGAAAGAATGTGTTGAACATAATAGAAAAAATTTGTAAGTTTATTACAAAATCTAAACCTAGAAAAATGGCACATTACCATGCGCAGTTTATCAGTGTTTTACTGCATTTATATATAATATGTGAGTAACAGTAATATTAAAATACATTTAAATTAGTTACTTACAATAAATATTAATTTGAATGTTAAAAAAACAGAAGATAAGAGATTTAGCAATTTAAGGGAAAAAATTTTGAGAAAAGGCACAGTTTCATGTATGTGCGAACGCGCCACTCCTGATCTTTTCATTATACATTATTGTGGTTTAGTGATCTTTACTAAAAATTTTATCAATTTAATGAAATTTTATGTAATATGATGCAATTTATAATAATAATTGGGTAATTTGATTTCAGTCTCCGTATTTTGGCTTAGAGATTTTCAAATAATATAAATTTTTAATTCAAATTTTTAGTCAAGCCAATTTTAAAAAAATAATTAATTCCCATGAAACTCAGTAATGAATTATTATAGTTCAAGTAGAACAACACAATAATTTTCAAAAGCTGATTAATAATAAAAGATTATTAAATCAAAAAAGTCATATATATGCTGCGGTCATACATTATTTGAGTATAATAAAATGAATAAAAGATTCAAAAACTCTCGCTAAATTTAAATAAGAAGGGAGTAAAATTTATTACACCAGCATTTACCATTATTATATGTGAAAGGAAGAGGCAACTACTGCGGCGTATTTTCGATAACAAGTGCGATGAAAAAAATTCAAGGTTTGCCGGTTTCTAAAAATAGCCTCTCTCTTTGTATTCGCTCTCGGAGACTCAAAGTGCGAATACCAATTTAGATTCGAGTCACGTGAAAAACGATGTGTCTGGTGTCGGTGTACAGCGACAACCGCAACCAATCTTAAGCCAAAAAAGCGTAACTTGAAAAAATTCGGCCCGCCTCCAAGTCACAAAAACGATCCGCGGCCGAATCTGCACGTCAGTCGCCGGCAAAGCGCGGACCGAGAAACTGGAGGTGTATAATATAAAGTAAAGGGGCCAGCCACACTTGACTTGAGCACGTCTGTCTCTGGCGCGCTTTGAAATGGGTCGACTTTCGAATTTGTTCGCGATCCTGCGCTCTCCGTCCGCGGACAGCAACGCCTCCGCGTCGCCGACCGAGCAACAAAAACACAACAACTGCACAAATCGCAGGGTGTTCGGTCGCGGGGTCGGCAACATGAAATGCGTGCTCATCTTTGACCATTTGAACGACCTGATCTACTCGAAATGCGACAAAAGATTCGCTCACCACGTCAAGAAGCTCGCCCGCATCCAGGGTCTCATCCCCGAGACCGAGACAAAGGTGAGAGTTCGTTCCGAGAGCACCTTACCGTCATGTGATGCACGTACTTTAATTTAATATTGTTGCCTGACAGGTTCCTGTCTCTTGGCAAAAATTAGCATGTCTACAGACATAACTTAAACAATTTATATTACGATTCAAGGGACTTAATTCCTTATATTTTATTTAAATTATATCTTTTTAAAAAAACATTTTAATTTATTTTAGTATTGTATGAATATTAAGATTTTAATGTTATTTTTTTTATGATAAAAGACAAAAATTTTTTATTAATAAATTTTAATATTTTCTACCTGTCTTAAATTTTTTGTGAAATTTGTTTATAATGTAAAATTGAGTCTTTGCTGTTGTCCTAAGGTAATAATAACATAATATATAAGTTAAAACTAATTCAATTTTGCAGGATGTTATTTTATTCTATTTTATTGAAGTGAAAATATGTTTAAAGAAAAAATATTTTACTATAAACGTCAACTATAAACTCGTTTTTGGCTTACTTAAAAATTCAAAACAAACATTGAATACATTTCAGATAATCACTAATCAGATAAAACAGTCTGGTTACTAATAATTTTAATTTTGTTTGAAAAGAATTATTGCATCTTGCATCTGATAACAAAACAAGAAGGATTTAATCACAGGGTTAACAATAAAAATAATTTTTGGTGTAAAAGTGTGAAATTTCATATTATGTAATTCAATTTTAGGACGACGAGGAAAAGTTTCTTGGCCTGAGCTCAAACGTGATTATGCAGCTCTTTTCGCCAATTGTCACGTCGCAGAGGATCATGAGCTGCCAGTTTGGTAATTCGTATTCCTCCGTGCAGTGCCAGGACGGAACTTCTATGGTTTTTGATGAGGTAATTACTTAGTCTCAAGGCTAGAAACAACAAAAGTTTGCGTGAATTCACTCATGCAAATCTGCTTGCTCCTTTTACCAAGGCCTAATAGTGATACCATTAAATGTATAAACATAACAGTGTTACTTTTGCAAATTGCATCAAGTAATTTCTGGAGTAACCGGTTTATAGTGGATGGATTCCCTTGCTTTCAGTCATTTTGAATCATATAATTTTCATATTTTTAGGTTAATGCAAAAGTTAAATTAACAAGAAGCAAAAATAATATAGGAATCAGGCAAAATCGTACAATATTTTGTTTATAAATTTATATTATTAGTTTTAATTAATTGTCCGCAAACACTCAAAACATTTTGCCTCTTTTTTATTATGATTTTACCGAACACTGACTGAACGTATTTTATTACTTGAGTTTCTATTTTGTTTGTATTTTTTTTTTTTTAAATTATTACCCACTTCCATATTAACTAACAATAATTTAAATATGGGAAGTTGCAGAGCAATAAAAATAAATTTTCAAAGAACCCTGATTTTAATTTCAATTTATTCTTCTCTTTTTATCCTTGGTTTTGGCAAGAGAACAAATAAAATCTTAAAACAAGCACAAGTAGCACAAAAAAAAATTATTTTTGACACTTTAATTAATTTTCCAGTACCTGGGCTACCTATTTGCCATGATAAGCACTGAGGACGTGGAAATAATGAAGAGAAACTTGTCTACCTGCATCGTTCTGGTCCAGCACGTTTGTGGTCCAGATGTGGCAATGTATTGAGATTTAATTGCAGCCAATTAGCACGGCACTTAAAATGCATTTTCAACTGTGCAGGCTGAAGAGAATTCCATTACGAGCGGAATTGCTGACAAGAATGATCGACGTGTGGGTTTTGCTGCGCGACTCGGAGCAGTCCTTTTTGGTTGAGGCCGTCGAGCAACTGAGTGTCAACCCTGAAATCACAATGGCCACCATGAAGGCCCTTCAGGAGGCGTGCGACCGGCTCAAAGGAGCCACCGACTTCAACCGAATCCACGCCGCCGTTTTTGTGGAAAACAAATTTTTGTCGCTCTACTCCAGGTTTGATTCGCTGATCAAATTTTAATTTTCACTAAGTTTTTCCCCAATTAGCCGAGGAGCCCAAGATCTGACGCCTGCAGACATTTTGTTTCTAACCCTGTTGACTGAGGTTTACCAGCCGGTTTTGAGCAAATCCAAGACGGCAGAGGCCAAGCCACTGCCCCCCGAAGAGGAGGAGGATGAGTTTTTCAGCCCGATGGACAGTCCGAACAATTCTCGGAGAAACTCTGGCAAGGACACCTCGCGACCTCTGCTTCTCCGTTCTCCAAAGAGCAAAGTTTCTCTCAACACCCCTCTATCTGGCAGCAATTTGGCCCTTCTTCTTGGGTCACCCCCTGGTTTCAATCCGCACGTTGTTCATGTGGCCCCGATTTCGGAAAAAGTGGCCCTTGTTCTTGTATTAGAGGTGAATTTTTATTTAAACCCCATTGCATTTAATTAAAATATAAATTACTTTAATTCCTAATAGAATCCCAATTTGGAAGACACTATTTAAGTTCATTAAATCATTTTTTAGACTGGAAGCACCAACATATCAGTCGGTCTGTGGGAGGCCTGCCATGCTTTGAACTCGCTCCAGTCTCTGCAGCTGCAAAAGGACTTGAGTGGCGTGAAGGCCACGACTGAGATTTTGGACGGAGGAGTAAAGAAGATTCTCGAAGGTTTGAAGAAAATTCGCTCATTGGGACCAGACTACGAAAGGTGCCACCGACAGCTTACAGCAAATTGGGACTTCCTTCGAAAGTGAGTAAAATCTACAAATTAATTATAGTTCAAAATAATTAAGTTTGAGATTAAAATATGAAAAATTGTTATAAAAAAAACTTTAATAAAGACCGATTTACATTATAGTTTTTAATGTTTTTATGTTGAGCATGACTGGTAGTAAAATAAACTCGTTAAATTAACAAAAATTCTTTAATTTTTCAACAAGGACTAAAGCTGTTTTTCTTCTTTTTGTAAATAAGTATAATTTTATTTAATTATATTTATTTATTTAATTTGACCTCACCGAAAATTCCACTCTATTCTCTAACTATTATTTAAATGGCCATTGTTCTCATTTTATAAAATAGGCTCTTTCTTATTCCTTACATTCCATTTTTGGCACTCATAATTATTATTTTTTTTTCAAAAGAATTTAAAAATGTTAAATCTGTTTCAGGAAATACGTTGAGCTAATCAAGTCGCAGGACCTTGAGTGCGTTCTGCGGGTCGAGTCTTGTGGCATCAAATTCATGGAGCTCCTGTGCGAAATCTTCCGCCTCGTTTGTCTGGATCAAGCTGCGGTCACGCACTCGGCAGACCCGGCCAAGTCGGTTGCCAAAGCAGTGCGAGCCAGACTTGCCGACTTCATCGGCTTCCTCAAGGTCAAAGCCATGCGGAACTTCACGCTGGGCTCGAGGGCCACTTTGTCCATAAACAAATACCTAGAGGAGTTCCCAGGCTTAGTTCACTTTTTGTACATTGACCGCACAAACCATCGAGTGACGACGCCCAGCCTCGACTTCAGTTCCGAGGAAACCATGTCCCTCACCAAGAGGAAGGTCAGACCAGCAAATAATTTCAAATTGAATAAAAATTTACACATGAATTTGGCAGATTTGGGCCATGGTCGATTTCAGCAGAGCTCACCTGGTTGACGGACACATTTCCCTGATGTGGAAGGACACCACATTCAACTACGCTTACTTCCTGTGGTTCGAAGACTCTTCGGTATATTTAAAATTTTAGAAATTTATAAGTGGAATCTAAAATATTTTCCATTTTTCCACAGGGAGCGCCAATGAGGCCAAAGGTTTTTCCAACCGCTCATTTGAAAAATATGCCTCAGCCCGGAATTTTCTGCGGAGATTTTTATCAGTAAGATTTTTTAATATTTCTAACAAAATTTAACAAAAAATTAAATTATCATTTTTACAAAAACTAGATTTAAATGCCTAACTTGAACATTATGTGTGTTTCTAATAATTTTTAATTTTAGGAGTCTCATTGGCGCATGTTTTCCTAAAATCGCGCCTGGAAAAGTGCAGTGCTTTGAGCTGTTCTGTGTCCACTTGGGTTTGGCCACTTCTTCCTGCGTACTTGAGCACACTCGGCGACTGGCGGCTACAATTTGGGAAGTGACCGGAGTGCACGGGAACCCAGCAGATCTCTTGTAAAATTTTACAAAAGTTTTTAGTCTAGATTCACTAGATTCATGTCTTATTCCATTTAAATGTGATTATTATTGTTGAAATATTTCAGTTGCTTATATAATCAAAACGATATTCTTGTCGAATAAGAAAAAAGTGTTCTCTATTAACTTTGCCATATATTTTCTCAAAGTAATACTTGTTCATTCTAACTCAATGTGTAAAGTAATGTGTTTCTTAATGAAACTGTTCTCAATTCCAAGGAGAGGCGAAAGAAAGCATGCAAATTCTAGTCTTTAAAGCAGCTTTTTAGTGTACAAAAAATATTAATCTAGTTTTACACTGGCCAAATATTTAATCCTCTTCTGATGTGCGGTTTTTTTTATGTTTTCAATGGGTTCAATAAATACGCTCAGCTTTTGAGCCAATTTAAACTTCACCCGGCGTGATTGTTTTGAACAACCTCAAACGAAAATATGTTAGGAAATATATTTATCTTGTGGGCAGAGGGATCAACGTGCAGCACGCGCATTTATTAATTACACACCTGCGTTATCTTTAGTGTGGGTGAAACTGGTTTTATTGTTTGTGCTGTTATCGCTGCCAACGTATTGAGGATTAAAAGGAAGATTTTGATCTACAACCGTCTGTAATTTTATTGGAAGAAACCGTCGTGTTTCTGTTTAATAAACGGGCACTATCTTAATCCATTTCTCGTCGGCTCAAAATTTTTTGCACACACAACTTTCTGACAGTAATTGAGTAAGATGGATTATTTTTGTACCCAAAAGATTAGTGAACTTGTCACAGAGTGCTGTCTGTCATTGTTACTCCAAATGAAAGTCGTAATTTGCAATCTTAAGCTATATGAAAGGTGTTACATTTTTGATTACATCTTTCAGGGAAAGAAGAGATGTTTTTATTATCTCTAAAACATGCCTGTCATGACAATGCTAATTTTCATCTTGAAGAGCGCCTATTAATGTGATTGATTGATTTGGATATTTGCTGATTTTTGCAAAGTCATTAAACAATAGATTTGAAAATCCCGTTTATTGCTGAATTTACATAATTCATAGTAAACCTTTGAAGGTATTTCATTAAAATTTTGTTCTTCGCTTCTTTTCCGGGCCAAAAAGCGCAAAGAATTCTCGTTTCGCTCACTTTAGAGACTGAAATAAAATTTTAAACTATATATCCTGTATGTATTTAAAATTCAGCATTGTTAAAATATTGTAGTTAAATTTCTTTAATCCTTGTTTTTTTAAGAAATTATGCATAGAAAGCACAATAGGCAAAATTTTATTCATATTTATTTTCTGGCACTCAATTTTGAATTCATGCTTAATTGCTATTTTTTATCAAGGAATTTTCCTCAATTTCTGATGATCGATACAACGTTTCTAGCAGCTCTTTATATTAAATTATTATAAATTGACTTTCTGCTCAAAAAACACACAAAAACAGTTTTAAGAGCGCTCCATTGATCCTATTTTTTATTATTTGATAGCGATTAAGGGTTTCTCATGGACGTTCACAGAAAAAAATCTCAAACAAACTGAAATGATAAGCGCGCTCGCTTTTATAGTTTTAGCACAATTCCTCGTAATCAGCATACAACGCAAATGCGAAAGAACGCATGTGTGTTATGAGGTAACGTCATTGCATTTCTTCGAGAAGAGCGCAATCTACTTTTATCTCTAAATAATTTTAGATTTAGTCTAACCTAAATTTTTAAATGGAGAGTTTGGTGGAATGAGAATAAAATTAATTGTGATAAAATGCGTGATAAATAATTTATCTAAAGTTATTGATCCAAGTATCAATTCATATTTTTTTTTCATCTATCAATATAAAAAAATGCATTACTTGAGGATTTCACAAATAAATTCCTGAATCTTTGCAAAATAAAGGTTAGACGTTTAACCATATCAGTTAATACTGTAGAAAATTAAATTACATAATTATTTGAAAAGCTCGTTCAAAATTACATCAGAAGACCTGTCTCTTCAAATAAATTATTTAATTCCAATTCTTAATGTTATAAATTGTGAACTGCAAAAGTTATACAAACTAAACGTAAGTTTAATACAAAAATTTATAGAATTTCAATAATAAAATCAGGAAAAATTTAAAAATTTATTTTTCGTTATTAACTTAATATTGTTAGCTATGATTATAGGTCGCTTTTCAAGCACACATAGATGCATCAGGTGGAAAATTAGCGAGGTGGCTGTGATTCGCACACTCTCTAAAGTTATTTTGTCAAACGGCGGTCGGTGGGTCGGTCAGGTGACGCGGCGTGCAACGCGAACAGCAAATTACGCAAGGCCTTTCGGAGGAGGAGCCGCGCCGCTGATGCTGTTTATGATGGCACTGTAAAAGATGTTAACCAAAAAATACGCACACCAGTCGCACTGTGGGCGCCACGCTAGTCGCACGCCAATTTTAAATCTGCCCATAGCCAATCAGAGATCACTTTTCAGCCAAAGTCAACCAACACATTCACCAAAGGGAAAAATGACTGCGATAAATACCATGGTGAGTAAAATAGTTTTTTCCAATACATATTTTTAAAAAAAAAACCAACATCCAATGTATGTCTCCCTCGAACAATTTTTCTCCAAATTTTGAATATTTATTACAATATGATTTAATTTTAATCGATATAATTAAATGAAATTATAAAAATTAAAAACCGGTTTGTTGCTAATTTTTTGAGGAAAAATAAATATGCAAAAAAGCTACCAGCACAGGTTTTGCTCTTGGCGCGTGGTTTGACCTTGCTTCGTAAGTTATGCTCACAAAATACGTCACTGGCGAACTATATAAAAAGTTTGCATTTCGACTGGAGGCTGGCGCCGCATCGTTGAGAGGCTCGGCCTCTGGATTTTCACTCCGCAGAAAAAAAAATAAAATTTGTTTGATTTTAATCAAGACCAGTGGAGAGTAATATTTAAAATATTTTTAAATATTCTATCCTCAGACAGACAATAAAACACAACGCACAATTGTGTGACCCTCAGAGTGTGGGTATTTTCGACCACACCGGGTCCTTTGCATACTTGGAGCGCGGCCCAGTCGAACGGCCCCGTGCCAAAGTGAAATAGAAAAGAGGCACAAAATACTTTTTCACGTTTTGTCAATGAAACAGGGAAAATTGCTGTTTGCTTTCAGTGAGGAGAGTTACTTTTTTACTCTCATTGAAGCAAATTTACTTTTAAATGAAAATAAAAATTTTAAAAATTAATGTTTTTGCTCAATCGATTTATAAATAAAACCACCTCCTAAATAAGAACAAAATTGATTTTACAAATATTTTTTCTAATTGCATCACTATTTTGAGTATTGATTTTTTCCGCGAAGGTGTGTAATGCGCATTTGGAATTTCACCATCAACCCTCCATGTGTGCGGTATTGATTAGACGGACTCTGATTACATCAGTTTAATTTTGCAATCAAAGAAATTCTTATTGACAAGTACTTTCACAGATGGCACAGTAATCGACTACTTTCGAAGAAATGAATCGACGTGCCGTTCGTCAGATACGCGTTCATTCAAAGAAACCCTTTCTATCCCGATCGAGCTCCTCCACCAACAGGCACGTGCGCATTTCAAGACAAGACGCAGCTTGTTATAAAAAAATAAACAGCAAGGCCTGAAATCTTTGTCTCAGATGAATCTAAAACTAATTAATTTCGCCACTGCTGTCTTATGTAAAAAGAAACTTCTGCCGCTCTTGACAAACGAAAAAGGTTATCAGCGGTGCCAAAAGTTATAGTTGCGTCTGCGATGATAAAAGAGTTGAGAGTTTTTTTCATGCTAATTTATTGTCCACTCAGTTTATGTGGCCTTGGTGGATAAAAATATATCGAAACACTTTTCGAACCCATGATGCTTTTGACCATTGGTGATTGGTGCTTTTTCAAAAAGACTCCGCCATCCGCCGATCCAAAAGTGATTCTATTTTCGTTTCGGCCGGAAGAGTTTCAAATTTGACCTTTATCGACCTTCGTCGGCGGCGTGATTTACAATAAGGCGTGAAGAAAAAAAATATGCAAAATAAATTAGCGTGACTTCAGGAAATCTCCTACACAAAAGAGGAAAAAATTTTTTTTTTATATAATTATTTAGCCAAGAATTGGTGACATTGATTCAAATAATTATCAAGTATATTATTTCTTTGTATCAGAAAGTAAATTTCAAAGAATTATACAAAACAAAAGCAAACTGTACAAGAGGTGTGTGTGTTTGCAAAGAAGGCGCGTGTTATATATTTATTTGCATTGGAAATTATTATACTCTCCATTCTTCCGCCTGGAAGTTCACCTTGCCGCAGGGCAAAATTTAGCACCGCACTGCACAGGTGTGTGGCATTGTCTTTCAATTCTTTCGCTTTGATATAAACGGTGCACGCTTTTTTTGCGGAATGAACTGCGGAAAAAGGCGACATTTATCACTACAACCGCGATCTTCGGATTTGACCTCAGCAGCTACTGATTAAATTCAAAGACCGCAAGGACTAGATTTTTGTTCAGAAATCGCGGCTTCCTCACGAATCAAGTGTTAATTATTGAGAATAGGTTTAATAAAAACGTAAAAATTGATTTTTTTTAAATAAATTTACAATAAAAATATTCAGTGCAGAAAATTTAATTAAACCTGTGAAGCGCAACTAAATAAAATAAATGACATGCACTTAATTTCCAGATAAATCTCTTTTTATTTTTAACTATCCATAGTTGATTCAAGCTTTTTTGCATAATTACATGTGTCACTTTTAATTTGTATGTGACACGAAATGGGATTGGCAGCCGAAAGCGCATAAACGGCGCGCATTGTTTCTTGTTGGGATTCACCAAACCGCCGCGCGACAACGTCTGACCTCACCCATACATTTGTAAATACCAAAGTTTGCAGACTAACTGGTTTTAAAAACCAGTATCGGTAGAATCAGCGCGGAAAATCCAAATGTACCTGGCAATTTCAAAGGTCCATCCTTTGCTTGTTCGCGTGACACGTGGGCAAAAATATAAAAAAAATCCCAGTATTTTAATTGCGATAATTTTTTCATATAAAAAATCGTGCGGCTGCTGCACGCAATATAGGGAGTGGCTTGTGGCTTGCTTTGTCCACTTTTTATCAAAAATTTTCCTCTTGTGTAATTGCTAAGTTTGTTCTCGTCAGGCTGACCGTGAAGTTTAAAAAAAAATGTTGTGTCGGTGCCACCAAGCATTGCACCATATCGACGAGAATCTCCTGCGGCCCCTAGAAATTATGCAACGTTTGACACTATTCCATCATCCCTTAACATTTCATCTACGTAAACGTTTAAAAGTAGCAGCTAAGGTTGAATCGTTGTTCAAGATTCATCTATTTATTTTATAAACTATAAATAAAATAAATAAATATTTAATTCAAATGTTAATAATTTGAGTTTATTTAATATTATTATGAATTTTAATTATTTTACCCAGCATTAATTGAAATGTTGTTGAAAACTAAATTTGCGCGATTAGATTGCTTTGCTATTAAATTCTGTTGTACGCACCGCATCAATAAAATTCAACTTTCTTTTCGTTGTCACCTGGTTGTCACTCAATGCTTTAATTGCACAAATCAAACCTGAATTGCGATAATGTGTTTTTCATCTGTGCCAAAACAAGTGTCAGATAAACTAGGCGTGTTTAGCACAGTGGTACTGGTGCTAGAATAAAAAGTGGTTTTCGCGCCCTTCTTCGTTTTGGTTGTTGGCAAGTGCTGGCGCCAAGCACTTTAATCAGGGACATCAGGGTAATTCTTTTGGTCCCGCGCGGCACAATGAAAATGTGATGAAATTCGAAACCGCCTTGAAATTTAAGCAGGGGGGCGCTTTCCGCGTTTCGCTAGAGTAATTCTTGTCTGCATTTTGAAACTAGCTAGTTTGTTAGAAAGAAAAAAAAAATCCTGCAAAAATTAGGGGTGGTTATTAAAAATTCCATTTTCATTTTCTTATTTTTAAGTTCGCGTTTTTTAAACCTTTTTTAATATATTTATTTTATGATCATAATTCATAAAAGTGATAATTGTAATTTAGAGAATTAAGTTAGAAATTTTTGAAATTTAGCCCAAAAAACTTTTTCACAACCCTGGTTTTCTCGCCGAGTTAAAATTTTTCTGGAAAAATGCTGACATAAATCTAACAATAAAAAAAATCATGTATCCGGCTTTACAAGCTATAAAAAAAAAATGTAAAAATCGTGACTGGACTTGCGCCAATGAATGGAAAGTGTCCGCGCAAATTAGTCGCAATAATGTCGATCATTCGCGAGATCTTTGCACTGGCTGGCAATTAAAGGCTTTCTCATTATCACTGCATATTGACACCAATAAAAATATAAAAGCCACGTTATATTATAGCGACGTTTGTTGTTGGCGGCTGATGTAATGCACCAGCAGGTCAACGTGCACCATTGCTTTGCAAAGGTCACCTTGAAGGACGTCGTTCCCTCCAGCGGCAAACTCGACACACCCCCGAGAACAGGCAACCCCTTCCGCGCCACTTGTATATCGCCGGATCAATACCGGTGACGTCACAAGGTGCATTATTCAGCGTGGCAGAAATTCGCCTCAACCTAAACTAGGCTGTGGAACTGCGACGCGAAATCGACTGATATTACATAATCGGAAACATTGACATTAAATATTAATAAGAATACAATTTTATTTTCTACAAATGTAACCGGAAATTTAATTTTGTTAAATTTGAAACAGGTACACAAAATATATGAAGAGTAATAAAAATATTTCCTTTTTATTAGCAAATTGAATCATTTTTTTCATAACTTTCAATTAAAAAAAGGTAAATCGGAAAATAAATTGCAAAGTTACGATTTAAAAAAACCTTATTTAAACTTGATATTTAAATAAATTTTTTGACAATTAAGTGGTAAATAAAATATGTACAAAATTTCCTTTGCTGTTGAAGATAACAAACAAGGAAAGTGATTTCATTCATCGTCATTGGCTGTACAGCAGAAAAACTTCTACGTGATAGGAAATCCCAAGTGCAGAGAATGAGCAAAGGTGAACTGGATTGTCCTTTTTAATAGCAAAGATCATTTAACAATAAATTTGTGTTGCTTTCTTTTCCAATCAATCGATATTTGATTGATATTCCATAATCAGTAAACCCATCCAATATAAAAAACGGTTGAGGAAAATATTTCTTGAAATTCCAACAGTTCAAAGTTTGATATATGAGAATATGAGTGTTGTTTTGATAAAATTGAATGCATAGAAACTAATATTTTTCTATGCTGTCGCATAGTTTAGTCGTTTTAATTACTTCTAGAGACATTTAAGTTTGTTTATACTACCATGAGCTAGCTTTATGTTTATACGCGGATTAGTCACAAGAAAGGGTTAAAGTCTTGCTTTCGTCGTCGATGTTGTTGCACTTAAAAGTTTTTCTTTGACACAGCAGACGTCCTACTTATTTAATTTGTCTTATCGTTGAGTAAGTTGGAAAGGAATAATGATAATAAATGATAGGTGTTTGCTCTGCTTATCAAAAAGTCTGCGCTTTCACAGGTGCCGGCACATTATTATTTCCTGATATTTCTCGGGCTTACCTAACAAAAAACACCACTAAAACATTATGTAGAAAAGTACACAAAAATTTAAGATTAAAACACAAATTATAAATAATAGCTAAAATGAGTTTAAATCAATTTAACAATTTGAGTATTTTAAAAACACAAATTTTAAATATTTGCTGCAGTTTAAGACTCTAATTTTGCATATAAAAACATATTGGAAAATAATAATAAAAAAAAATGAATAAATTTTAATGATTATTTCTATGAAACTTTTTAAGCAAAAAAATTAAATACTGGTGCGCATCTTTTAATGTGTGCTGGTTATTACGGAGAAATTCATTGACCCCTGTCAAGGGTGCGTTTGCGTGCGCAAGGGGTTGAATGGGGCAGGGTGGGGAGAGGGGGGCCCCGTCGGCCGGAGGCTCGCACCGCACGCCCCGTCGCTGCGCCAATCGCGTTCTCCGAGGCGCTCCTCCATCGGTGGGGGCCGTTGACGTCAGCACAGACACTATTAAGCCAGGCAGGCCAAAGTGAGAATCGCAGCCGCAGTTGGGAAGCATAAGCACGGACAAAGCAGCCCGCGTTGAGTGCACCGGTGCACACGCCGAACCCAAGAACACACACACACTGCAGTCCGCCGCCGCCATGAGGGATTACACCGACGCCAACAACAAGGCGGCCACCGCCAGAAACAAGCGGCCAAAACCCACCGTGAGTACCTAAAGCAAGGGTGCGAAAATAATAAGTCCACCCCCATCTCTTCCGAGAGCGAGAGTAAATTTTTCGCGATTTTTTTTTAATATGTTATTTTATTATTATTGTTATTTTTTTAAATAAGATTCTTTCGGCCTTGGGGTTTATTTTGGGTGTTGGTTGACGTGACAGGGTGGGCTCTTGTAGGGGTTGTTGCCTCGCATCCCTCGTGTAAAGGGCATTGAGGACACACGAAATATCGACTGCGCTCGATTCGGGGGTGTGGAGCGAGAAGCTCTCTGCGGAGAACGCAGCGCGCTTTTCAAACTGCTCCGGCTCCAGTTTTTTGGAATTAAAACGCAAATGACGTCCGCGAAATTAGTTAATTTTTATCAAGCTGGTCGCTCAGTTGTAACTCAATTTTTGAAGAGGAAGAGCAGGACTGAAGGGTTATCAACCCCTCGAGCAATATTTTTATACAGTGTGTGTATTGTCTTCTGGAAAAGAGCAGAAGCTGTAGAGAGGAGCGCGAGAATCGAACTAGGCGGAAGTGGTCGATTTTATTATATTTGATAAAATAAAACAATAATTATATAATATATTTAAAAATTGAATAAAATTGGAAGCGCAAAATCCCTTAAAAGTTATAATATTATTGTCCATGCTAATTCATTAAATTCTCAATTATTTAGTGGAAGCAAAATTGATTGAAATAAGCAAAGGAATTAAACTAGATTAAAATGCTTCAATATTGTTTACACCATAGAACAGAAAAATTAAATATTCCATTTGAGGCACAAACAACAACAATTCTCCCGTTGAGCATTAATTAGTGGTAGTTTTTTAATTGCATAATGTTAAAACTGTTTTACTTGTAGGAATTATATTTAATTTGAACTATGTAGGTTATATTTTTTGCATCTTTTCGATAATTTTATTCCAATGAAAGCTCAATTGTCTGCGGTTAGAGATTTATATAAATTTTTTGTTTTATCTTTTGAAGTAATAATTATTACTCACTTATAAGATAATGATTGGCAGTAAAAGTGAATTTGTATACTTTTACATTTACATTATGTATGTGACTGGCATCACGAGCGCGTGCTATTTCCAGCCGCATGAAATGAAATAAAAGCACCTAGAAAACAGCTTGGTGAGTGTCAAATAAGGCGCACTCGCGGTCAGTTTTCTTTCTCGAGATGAAAGTTTGTGTTTTTCGGTCGGAACGAAGCTGATTTCAACAGTTTTGGGACCGAAAGGTGATTCCAGTTTGCTGCCTCTCGTTCTCGTCACGATAAATAATAGTAAAGCACACAAGGCCTTGACCCCAGCCGCGAGTGTAACAAGGAAAGAGATGCATGTTTTCATGTACATTATATAAACGAGCACATACCATTCATTGATTTTACAAGCTGCGACGTAAAATCTCACAATCAGCAGAATGATTTCTCACTATTAACTCTTCAATTATAATTCAAAATTATCGCGTCACTTTTTTCTGAGGTCGTAGGTGGGTCTGTATTTGTATATAATATTTTTTTTAAACAAAATATTGATTAAATTTGTAGCTCACAACAACAAAATTATTTATCATTTAACTGAAGTAAATGAGAATATGCTCATAATCAATTAAAATTTTAAGAATTCTACAAATGCTATTTATAATTTACAAGAAAGAAAATTTTTTTTTAAAGTTTATTCTAATAATTTAAAAATAAAATTTTAATAAAATACTTTTTATAATTTTATAGTTAAATTTACACACCAAATGGGTGATTATAAATTAAAATTTTTATTTTTAGATAAAAATTGCATTTATTACTTATGGATAATGGTGTTCAAATTATTCAGATTTTATTTTTTATAAAAAATTTCAATTTGTATGATTTATTCAAAATTTATTTGTTTATGTTGTTGTTTTCTTACTTTGGGTCAATCTCTGGACATGGAGCCAAATAAAAATAAAAAAAAACATGCACTTTCTGGCTGACCTACATAATTTCTAAAATTGCACTGGGCTGTTAGCGCAATATGTCTGCCGCTGCAGCTGGTTTTCCATAACATTTCACCACGTTCACCACTGCGATCACTGAAAACGTATATTATGCGCTTTTGCCTTCAACCGCTGTTTTTTGTTGCGTCTGATTTGCCTAAACGCGAGTCTAAAAAAAGATTCTTTCAATGTCGACAGCGAACGCTATGCGTGATCAAGATCCGTCCGGAAGTGGGCCAGAAACGTCCCCACACTGACGTTTTTAGAAGATAATTACATGAAATCATTTTATTTATTTATTTTCCTTTTAGTTAAAAGACATTAAATTATCCAGGCTGGGCATTTAAATAAAAATTGTGGAAATTAAATATTTCAAGGCCAAATATTTTACAAGTCATTTAATTTCGCATTCCGTTTTCCTGTCTGGTTGTTTGACTGATCGGTTCGTGAAAGTCCTTGTTGGTGTCGGCAGCACTCCACTGTCACCGGAGCGTGTTTTTATATTTTATAGCAGAGGGACAAATTAGCGGTGCGGCGCCTATAGCTCGAGGAAGTGAAATTATGCAACTGACCAATGTTCTTCCACTTTCCTGCGGTCATATTCAACGTTATAATTTTTATGGCAGCAGAACCAGTTTAAAACAATTTAAAGCCAAGAATAAATAATATAAAAATTGTTTCGACCGCAACATGTTGCGATTGACGGCTGGGTGCCATTGAACTGATTAATATTTTCAAGGCGAAAATATATCATGATCGATTAAATACGTTGCGATTTGCCGGAACACAAATCACTTTCAATGACTTTGAGCTCTCAATTATTATTTAACAAAAAACGAAAGAAGCTGATTAGCAGGAAATTAAAAAATTATAATGAAAGCGCATAATAAAGTCTCTTTTAACTTTGATTTTTTAAATGTTAAACAGGTCAGTTTTTTCATATTTTTATTTAAAATTACATGAACTTTTGTTTCAATTTTCATTCTTATGTATTATCAAAGATTTAAATACTTGAAAGGCATTTTAAAATTTTTATAAATTATATTTTTAATATCATTATATAAATTAAAATTACAATTTATAAGACGATATTAAAATATTTAGTTTATTTCTAAATTTTTTATATGAAACTGTTGCTTTTTGTGAACAATACATTTTATATAATTTAAACAATCAAAATTTAAGTTAATTTCTTTACATTGTTTTACCCAGTTGTACCGATACGCAAACCCATTGTTAAAATTACCCAGTTTTTAGCAACTTTTGCAAAATTTCCATTTCCAAATGAGCGCCACGCCTTTGACAATGAGTCACATTTTACACCGACGGCGAGTCGTTTTCGCCGCCAAGGAGAGCAAAACGAGTTTGTTCGTCGCCAAAGTAGACGCTCAACAGAAACAAAACTGCCTCTTTTAACTTGACGAAATTTGTTCTGTTCTCAGGTTAAGGAGCGTTTGCAAGACCTGGTATTGAGCACAGAACAGGTGCTCGAGATCAAGAGCAAATTGAATCACGAGATCGAGCGAGGCCTCGGCAAGGACACGCACGCTTCCTCCTCTGTCAAGTGCTTCATCACCTATGTTCAGGACCTGCCCAATAGCAAAGGTATGCACATTTTTTCAAAAAGATAATTTCAGCATGAAACTAAAATGAAATGAACAACTTTTAACTGGCCACATAAAAAAAAAATTAAAAGACTAATTTAAAAAATTTGTTTTAATTAGAGAGAGGAAAGTTTCTCGCCCTTGACTTGGGAGGCACCAACTTCCGAGTGCTTCTCATCACCCTGGCCGAGGGCTCGCACTTTCACATGGACTCCAAAATCTACGCTGTGCCCAAGGACATCATGCTCGGACCTGGCACTGGGGTAAATAAATTTTTTCTTAAACATTGTGCTCAGTTTTGAATTATAAATTTTCGCAGCTGTTTGATCACATTGCCGAGTGCTTAGCCGATTTCATGAAGGAGTACGACGTGTACAAAGAGAAGTTGCCCCTGGGCTTCACCTTCAGCTTCCCCTGCGTGCAGGAGGGACTCACCAAGGCCCGTTTGTCCACCTGGACCAAAGGCTTCAAGTGCGAGGGAGTTGAGGGCAATGATGTGGTCCAGTTGCTCAAGGACGCCATTGCTAGGCGCGGGGTGAGTCACTGATTTTTATTTTTTTTCAATAATATTTTTATTAAATCTTAGATTATTTTTTAAATATTTGGTGAAAACCGAATTTAAGAAGGATATTATTTTAAACTTTCTTTAGCCAGAATTTGAATTTTCAAAAAATTGCTATTTATCTTACAGGGCTGCAGAGATTTCTATTTTAACTCAATTTTTAAGTGTGTCTTTTGGTCTTTGTTTATATAAACGCAGGACGTGCAAATCGACGTGATGGCAGTTTTGAACGACACAACAGGCACCCTTATGTCGTGCGCCTACAAAAAACACAACTGCCGAGTCGGGCTGATAGTCGGTAAGGCCCACAGGCCTCGCGCGCATTTCATATTTTTTGGAGCAAACCGCCCTGCCTGCGCTTTATAATTATTTTCAGCCTGTTGGATCGCTCGCTGCATGGCCAGTTTTGGTTGCGGGTCATTTATCATTTTCATATAATAGAGGCGACGGAGTTTCTGCATATTAATTATCAATCAGGAGAGGAAGAATGCATGCTGAATGTATATCAATTTTAATATAAGTCTCATTTCCATTTCAAAAATTAATTTTGGGCCATAGGTAAAACTTTTAATATTTATTTAAAGTCCCTCTCCAGAAGCTATTTTTTGTTTGCAGGGACACAAAAATTTAAATAATATAGAATCAAAATCATAAAAAATTCATCCTCCTTAAAATGCAACTTTTTTGTTATCGCGATTCGATTTCAGTTGAGAAATTTGGCCTAGTTTATGAATTCTAGAAAAATTAATTAATGGAGAGGCTCTTTAAATTCCGAATTAGCTTTCCTATATCAGCTTCCCCACAACCCAGGCGAGGTCTATTGTTATTTTCGTAACTTTTACTCTCTGCGTGGTTGAAAACTATCTTTGCAAGTTTTACTTTGGCATTTTGTTTACCTCTTTATATGTTTTGCAAAGTCATTTTTTCGCCAGGAATTTGTACTTTCATTGTAATTATTATTAAACAGCGAGCTTGCTAGAGTTTACGATTCGAATTTCGCTGCCGCCGCATGTTGACCATGTTGACGCACACGTTTTATTTGACTCCTTCCAGTCTCGTCGCCGTCTACGTTCCTCATTATTTATTTACTTTCTGCCTTCACACTCTTCAGTGTCACTTTAAAATTTTACTTATTGTCAGTACCATATTATTCTTCCGTTTTTACGCAAATCTCTTATTTACTAGTCACGTAATTTATTTCGTCAATTTCTTTTTTTACGTTAAATTCTCTTTTACCTATAAACATTTTCTCACGATCCACGCTGTTTTGTAGGATGTTGCAATAGATGTGTGTGCCGTGCTAAACGACACCACGGGCACTCTTATGTCCTGTGCTTGGTGCAGGAATAACTGCAGACTTGGTCTCATTGTTGGTATGTTTTTTCGCATCCCCGAAAGTATTATTTTATTAATTTAAAATTGTCAAATAGTTCATTATGCATATATATTTAAATAAAGGTGCCCGTGCTAAAATAATTCGCTTCATACATCACTTTTAAATTTGCATGAAGTGCATGCTCGGTTCCAAATTAAACCTGTAGAGCTCCTTGCATTATTTAAAAAAAAAATGCGCCACTGATGAGCCGACGGAATTTTTTTCTAATTTGGTTCTTGTACTAAAGGCACTGGCAGCAACGCCTGCTACTTTGAAAAACTGGAGAACGTGCAATTGTGGGACGGACCGACTGAAGGTGTCCCTGACCAGGTCATCATCAACACCGAGTGGGGCGCGTTCGGTGACAACGGCGTCTTGGAGAACATTTTCACGGAGTACGACAGGACCATTGACAAAGAGTCCATCAACCCCGGAAAACAGCTGTGAGTTGTTTTTTTCCAAGAGAAAAGTTTTTCAAATTTTAAATTTGATAATTTTTCAGCTTTGAGAAAATGATCTCGGGCATGTACATGGGCGAGCTGGTTCGCCTGGTCCTCGTGAAACTGACCCAGGAAGGTCTTCTCTTCGGAGGAAAGTGCTCAGATGTGCTCCTTGAAAAGGGCAGCTTTTACACAAAATATGTCTCGGAAATTGAAAGGTGAGAAGAGATTTTGAAAACAATTAAAAATTAGATTTATTGATAATGGAAACCAGTGTTAATCTCGATGAAAAATAAATTTAAAAAGTAAGTCCCATACTGTTTGCAATTTGAAGCAAACTAAATCTTTTTTTAGATTATTAAAAATCTAGTTTTTATCTGCATGAATATTGATTTTATATTATATTAAACATCCATAAAACCATATATATACCCTTTTTTTAGAGAAAGTTTGTTAAAAAGAAATTACGAACTATATTTAATGAAAAATATAAGAAACTTATGATAAAAAGTTTTTGCTTATGGCTTGAAAGGAAAAAATGCAGATTTTTAACTTTTTACTATCATTTCAGTGATAAACAGGGAGAGTACCACAGCTGCACGCAGGTGCTTGAGGAGCTGGGTCTGGCCGGCGTGGCCAGCGATACCGACCTGGCCAACGTAAGGATAGTCTGCGAGCTTGTCTCTCGGCGGGCCGCTCATTTGACCTCTGCCGGAGTGGCCTGTCTGCTTGACCGAATGGGCGAGAAGGACGTGACAGTGGCTGTTGACGGCTCCGTCTACCGATTCCACCCTCACTTCCACCACCTCATGATGGACAAAATCGCAGAGCTCATTGACCCCTCCATCAAGGTACATTCCAACTTTTATAACCAATTCAACCACTTGAAGTCATTTAAAAACTTAATTAATTAAAAAAAAAAATTCCCACGGTTTTTATAATATTTAATACGATATAAAATCAATATGCACTTATTTGGTGTCAATTTAAAATTTTTAAGAGTTAATTAATATTAAAAGTATCTTAGTAACTCCAGGAAATTAAAATCAATCTATTAAATTTTACCGTAATTGAAACATTTGCATTCAAAAATAGAGAAACCATAATTATATATTAATAATTTAAATATTAATTTAGTAGAATTTTGATTTTGTGACAAGTTACTTTTTAAAATTCAATTTATTAACTTGTGTGTTTATATTGCATTTTATCAAAGTCCAATCTTTTTAGGCTAGTAGAGCATAATAAAAATTTAAATTTGGCCTAATTTTTTTGTTTTCATTATTTAATTATCATTTAAGTTAATTTTTATTTTATGCGTATCTAATTTAATAATTAAATGCGTGCATATTATTGTAATTAAGTGATTATTCCAACATCAATATATAATTTTTTGCAAAAAATGTGTTTTTAGTTTGACCTGATGCTGTCTGAAGACGGTAGTGGGCGAGGGGCCGCCCTGGTGGCGGCCGTGGCTTGCAGAGATCGGTGAATTGGCCGCCGGCCGGCATTCTGTACATATAGAGACATCGCAGATAGCAAGAATAAAAAAACGTTGTGTACACATGGCACAGCACAGCCAACATAGACTGATTTACAGAAAAAAGCAGCAGGAGAGAATAATAACTTTGCCGTACTTATGCAGGAAAGAAAATAATCACAACACTGAAATATCAAATCTGATTTTAAAACATTATTACTTGTGGGGATCTTTGTGTACTTAAACGCGAGCAATAATTGCGAGGCGGGTGTTCTCATTTAGGCCTATGTACACAATGACTCGAGGGAGGAAAAAGAAGCAGTGTGCGAAGAAAAAACTGTCGCGAAACTCTTTGCTGTGCCATTTTTGTTAGAGTCGTAAGTCCGAGTGCAGAGAAAAGTCCTCATTCCATTTCAAAAAAGAAATGTCAAAAAAGCAAGTTTAAACTTATTGTTAATGTTTTGAAATGAAGTTATAATATTTATAGTGCAAGGCTCTGGTAGTTTTTGCACGCGATCTTCACAGAGAAAGGAGAGTGGCCTCTTGATTCATCCCTCTCCTTTCTTGCAGAAGTTGAAATTGTAACATTTTTTGTCTAGAGATGAGTTAAACAATATTTAAAAGCAAGCTTGCCTGCAATCAAGTTGAAACTTAGGGGCTTAGGGGTGATTTTTTCATATATTGGTTAATTTTAACAGCAGGATTTTTAACAAATGGAGATGAGAATAATTTTGTGTCATTTTTAACAATGTGATAAAATTTTAATTGGTTGATATTTTGCTTCTGTATGAGATGATGATTTTATAGCACGTCTTAAACGTGGTTGATTTTTTTTCAATTTCTATGTATTTTCAAAATTTGGCCAAAATATATTTGTTCAATATTTTCTATCATTTTGAAAAATTATTAGTGCTTCAGAGTGATAAACTTATACTTATTGTAAAAACTAGAAGCACATTTTGAATAGAAAAATATAGTCGAATTAAAAAAAATGTTATGGGAAAAAGAACTAAAATTGTGTTAAAGTATTTACACGTGAGGGAGCACACACATCATGCAGTTGTTATCAAATCATAAAAATAATCAGGAGACCTATAATTTAAATCAGTTTGCTATTTTTTTTGCATTCGAAATTTTCAAAATATAATTAATTAAAATGGGAAAATTCAGATATGTTTCATAAATATTGAAAAAAGTAGCAGATGCCATTGTCTTCAAATCATTTAAAATGTGAATATATTTTTTTATGTAGTTGATACGTCATTTTCACGCAATCAATCTTGATTATTTAATTTGATCAATATAAGCAACAACATCAACAAAAACTACGCGTGTACAGACATGGAATGAGATGCATCACCTCTTGAGATCTGTAAAAATTCTCTTTGTTTTGTACTTATGGGAAACAGTTAATACAAAAGTTACATGAATAAAAGTGCATTGAAGACAAAATTATTTGCAGTTTCCGTATTTTCCATTCCATAAACCAATGTTTCAATAAATCATGTCTTTTCTTTGGCAAATAAATTATTTTTTCATTGAAAAATTTCTCAAACTAAACTACAAAACTGCGATAATAAAAAATCATCATGTACATACCTTTCATAGGCTGTTATTTGCGTTGGGGTGTTCTGAAAATCTCCACACGCACACAAAAATTGTAAAAACTCTTCTTAAAAAATTTCCCAACTTGAACCTCGAACGGACACTCAAAGAAGGCAAACATTGAACACTTCGACCAAGGATCCTTGCGACTTCAACACTGATTGAACACGCACAGCTTGGGTGTAAATTGCATTAATTTAGCGTAGCGCGCGCTGCTCCAAAGAGGCAAACTTTTTCTGCCACGCCCCCTTTATTCACGAATGTAAATAAACCGAAAACTGCGCATTTCATGGCAACTTTAATCCAGTGATTCACTTAAATTTCCTCTGCACATCGATGGTCCGCTGCTGACGGAAAGGAGATGAATCGAAGGGCCGTTTTGGCCGCCGTGGCCGGTGCCAGTTCGGCCGCTGTCTACTTTGGCCTTCAGCGAACAGGCGACAAGAATTTCGTCCGCGAAGAAATTGACGTTCCGATGGTTGCCTGCGCCACGGCTGATGACCGAAACGAGCTGAAATTTGCTGAAAGTTACGAATCGAAACTGAACTTTGCCAAGGTAAAAGCGAGAGACCTGTTACTCAGGGTCAAGGACGAAGTCGGCGCACCAGGAGTTGTGGTTGGGGTCAGCGTTGACGGGAAAGTTGTTTGGAGAGAAGGTTAGGAGATTTAATTTCATGAGCAGTTTCAATCAATTGTTTTTTTTTCTTTTTTATTGAAGAATGTAAAGTGTAAAATAAGAAATTGAAATGTTATGTAGTTTTCACTTTAATATCAAGGGTTAATTTTTCTTTTCTGCAAAATTCTAATTAGGTTTTGGATTTGCAAACGTGGAAACCAGAACTCGTTGCCATGAAGAGACTGTGATGAGGATTGCCAGCATTAGTAAAAGCATGACGATGGCCATGGTTGGAAAATTGTGGCAGGATGGAAAACTGGACCTCGACAAACCTGTTCAGGAGTACGTGCCAAAATTTCCCATGAAGACGTTCGACGAGAAAGAGGTCAATTTCATGTTTTTTTTCCAATAAAAATTTGTATACAGTTAATTATTCCGCAGGTGGAAATTACAACAAGAATGATCTTGAGCCACATTGGAGGCATCAGGCACTATGTGAAAAAGGGGGAGAAAGCAGAGAGTGAATTGTCTGAACCAAACAGCAAGAAGGGCAAAGAAAAGGAAAAGGCAGAGAAGAGTACCAGAGAGAAAGAAGTCTACAACAAGGAGAAATACGACTCGATTGAGAAAGCGTTGACTATGTTTCAAAACGACGAACTGATGTTTCAACCAGGAACCGACTACCTTTACACCACCCATGGCTGGACATTGGTAATTTTATTTTTCATACTGTTGAAAGAACCTAAATGAAAATTATTTACAGGTCAGTGCTGTAGTCGAAGGAGCAGGCAAAGAAGAATTCACAAAGCAGGCCAAGAAATTCTTTTCTCAGCTAGGACTTCACTACACCAAATTGGACGAGTCTGAACCAATAATTTACAACAGAGCAAAGTATAATTGAATAGCAAAATTATAAATTTAAACTAATAATATAAATCAGTTATTACTTGACAAAGAAAAACGGACGGCTGGCCAATGTTCCTTTCTCCGACAACTCTTACAAATGGGCCGGAGGTGGTTTTGTATCGACTGTTGGAGATTTGCTTAAATTTGGCAATGCCATGCTTTACTCGTACCAGTGGAAACCAAAGATGACCTTGGTCGATGGAAAACTAGTCACACAGTATGTATCGGAACAGCCAATTCATCCCATCAAAGATCTCCCTCCAGGATTTTTGAAACCGGAAACTGTTTGGGAAATGTGGACGGTGGTTCCGCAGACAAAAGGAAAATCACATAGTTTAAGGTATAAATTTTATTGCGTTCAGCACTTTCTTAATTTGCTTGTGAATTCTCAGGTATAGGGAGAATGGATATGGTCTTGGTTGGCAAGTGATTCCGTATGTGGCCGAGTTCGGAACCACGGGTGGAGGAGACGTCCAGTCCTTCCACGCCTTCCACACCGGTGCTGCTGTCGGTGCCAGTAGTGCTTTACTCATAAAACCCGCGGAGGACAAAAGTGATTCCCAACAGCCACCGCCGAAAGGAATATGCGTTGCAATTTTAATGAATATGCAAAATGTGGGTTTGGCAGCAGTCGCTGATGATATTGCTCAAATCTTCCAAAGAACTTTTTGTGATTGATAAAATTAACTTGTTTTATGTGTCAAGACGGATAAATAAAATTTGGATTATTTTCCTAAATGAAATATGATACAATTTGTAATAATTCAAATTAGGAATAAGAACTGGATTTTGAGCATGAGCATACCAACAAAATTATGTGTTTTTTCCTTTTTCCCTTTGTTCTTAAATTTAATATAGTAAAAAAATAAGTAGTCCCTTCAAACCAGACGGTCATATTTGTCTTGTTTAAACTTTGTAAATAAAAATTTTTAAAAAACCAACAAAAAAATTTAGAAAATTTCACCAAAATCCTGTTGGGTGATTTTCGCGCTTTGTTCTGGAGGTGGAATCCGCTTGGTGCGCCCTCAACGCATGACAGGTGGAAGCTCAGCGATAAACATGGCAGACATATGGACTGATAAGAAATTTTTGCTCTTTCTCTCTGGAGCAGTTTTGCAAGCGTCCGCGTTTGTTGCACTTTATCTGAAGAAACAGAGGAACGGCGCCAACGTCGACGAGGGTTTTGAAGATGTTTCTCGGGTACGTGCTTTTCCACGATGTTCCAAAAACCTGTTCACTTCTTCCCTCCCTCATGGTTGCAGTGCCGGGTTTAATGCACAAAGCATCTTCTATGAAATATTTTCGTCTCTTTTCCCTAAAATTGGATTAATCTAAATTTAATTTAGAAAAATCTTGATTTATATTGAATTAATTAGCTGATTTAAGACAAGAATCAATCAATTTCTTTGCAGATCGAAGACGAAGGTCCGGAACCTGAGAAGAAGATTCTGGTTTTGGGCCTTGAAAGCTCCGGCAAAAGTTCCATCCTAGCCCAGTTCACTGCTCCACACGTCCGTACGCAGGCCACAAACTCGGCTATTGCAAATGTAACCCCGACCGAAGGTTTCAACGCTGTGAACCTTATCAACGATGGAGTTAGCCTTAAAATTTATGAACGTAAATGATTTTTTTTTATTATTAACGTAAGACAATTTGCTATTTACATAATTCTGCTTGATTAGTTGGAGGTGGACCAAAAGTGAGACAGTACTGGGATAATTATCTTCAGGACACCGACGTGCTGATCTTTGTTGTTGACTCGACTCAGTCGATGACAACAGCAGCAACAGAGTTGAAAAGACTACTGGGAGATGAGAGACTGAACCATTGCCCTGTCCTAATTTTTGCCAACAAACAGGTGATTAATGATTTAAATTAATTACTATGGCATAAAAGTATTGTGGAATTAAGAAAAATATAATAATTTAAACATGAGAAATTTTATACTATTTTGCCTTGTTTTAGGACAAGCCTGGCGCTCTTACACCTGAGCAAGTTGCGGACGCACTAGATCTGAATAGCATAGCTCCCAGCAAGCACCAGATCAAGGTTTTCGGCACTCAGTGCACTCCTAAGGAGACATTGGTACACCCCTCGATTTTGCATGCTAAGTCTGAAGTTTTCCGTCTTGCCTCAAATTAAATGACATTTCAGCACTCTTTTACTGACTAATCAGCAGGGAACATTTGAATGAATCTTAACTTTTAAATCAGTTCGTTTTGTAAAAATTTCAACAAGCATTTTGAGTTTATAATGTCAAATTTGTATGTACCTTGTATTTATTTTAAGGAAGACTTGAGTTTAAATTTTAAGTGCCCTAGCAAGTATTTTTCAATTTAATCATTTGCACACTTGCTACCAAGTTTGCCATTCCACAAAACCAACTATGTGCAAGAAAAATATGATTTGAAATGTTTTGCCAATTTAACGCTTCTGAGCATAATTGCAAAATAAATATTAAACAAGACAAATTTGAAAATTTGATTTAGGAGTTTTAATTAAAAAGCATTACATCAAAACCTTAATGATAGTTAGTCGGAATCTTCCATTTCTTCCACTACAATGCTCCTGTCCGGTGGATCCATATCTCTTGATTTCCAATACTCGTCCCACTGCTCCTTGCACTCCATAAATTTTTTTATTTGGGCTCTCAGTTGTTTCCAAGTGTGTTGATCAAAGTTCATTCTGTCTCTCGTCATTGCCTGCGTGAATTAATTGCGTCAATACAAGTACGTAATTAGTAGAGATTGACTAAAAATACCTTATAGTCATTTCCAAATTTCTCAATGAAGTAAGCTAGTTTGTCCACTTGCATGGTGGACAGGCGTAGAGACTTTCTCTTCCTTTCTTTAGATTCTCTTTCTAATTGCTCCGCCACAGCCAATTTTGGAAATTCTTCAATCTTGGGGGTTTCCTTCTGTTTCAAACTTTTTTTTGTCTCTTTCATCAACCTGACAGAGGCAAGTGCTTCCTGAAAATTACATTATTACATAAGCCAAAAAAGTTGCAATTGTAGTAATAGAATATAATACTTGTCTGCGCTCAGCGCTCGCGCTCTAGTTTTCAAAAATTGTGCGCTTGCGCTCATTAATAATTATTTTATTTTATTTTTTTATTGATAAATGCATACCTACTAATTTTTTTAATACTCAATTCTTATCAATCACATTTAGAGTGCAATAAATTTTTATATGACTGTATAATAATATGTATTTTTCTTTTACCAAATGCTCAACAAAACTATGAAATGAATTTTACAATTTATTTTTAAAGAATTATGCAAGCGTCAAGAGATTCTAAACTCAGATAAAAAAGTCTGCTACCTCGCCGTTAACAAACAATAAGAAACCTGCTTCCAGCACAAAATAATGCTCTTTCCAAAGTACCATTCAAAGGTACCGAGTGTTTATAACTTAAAGACTTTAAGATCTTTTTAGCTTTTCAAGTATATGCGGATCGGACGTATAGTTGCGAATCAACTAACTTAAGTTTAATAGGTGTGTACCTATTAAAATATGCATATTAAAAAAACTTAATGAAAACTACCAAAACTACAAAAAGTTTGGGAATAGAAAAATACACAAAAAAGTTTCTGAAAAACGCTTTTCGAAAGAAAGAAAAAAAAATGGTTAAATTTACACATTTTCGTGGAAATCTCTAATTTTAAAACAAAATTTGTTTAATTTATAATACATCCTTGAGCTCAAGTTGAGCGCATTAATGAGCGCCGCGCTCACGCCATTTGCGCTCGAGCTCATGCACTCACAAATTTTGCGCTCGCGCTCTTGACAAGTACATAAATGCAAAATATTATGCAAACCTTAGCCCTTGGAACGCCTAGGGTAACATTTGGATCTGTCGATAGACCCATTTGGTTCATGTTGACGTTCGCAGAACTTTTGTCGTCCCACACTTCTTTGATAGCAGTGCTGGAAATCAATATGGTTTAAAGAAAAGAATTATTAAATTAAATGATGATGAATTTAATAAAAATTAAGACTGTAAAAATCACCATGAAATGGCAGGCATCCTCTTCTTCCTTTTGTTCACCTTTTTCCTGTTCACAACGTGACGGAACTTCTTCCTCCGTGCTACTTTCCTGACTTTCGGCATGTCTTTTAATATAAAAAATGAGAGAAGTCCTAATTTAAAGAGAAATTAAGCGACGAAACCGAGCTTCAAAATTCGAATTAAAAGATTCAGTGAATTCAGTCACATAAAACACGTGTTTGTGTTGTGCTTCATTTGTGTACTGTAACACGACAAAAGTGGGAGGGGAAATGCTGATCGATGACTCCAATTTTTGTGATTGGCTAGTTCCATTCATAAGATTTAAAAAGTGCCGCGTAAGATGAATTATATCTCTCACGTCAAATAAACTTTATGTCTGAAAGTGCAATGATAACTGATAAAAAAAAACTTTTACACAATTTTATCAAGTCACGCAGGGCAATACATACAAATTAAAATTCATGTTGTCTAATTTTCTAGATTTTTAATTTTTAACTAACCCACAAAAAGTCATGACGATATATCAGGCACATAGATAAGACGTCACACAAAGATTCATCCAACAAGATTCATCTGTGAGTAGAATGGAAAAAACGCAGAATTTATTGACCCAATGTGTCAAAAATTAAAAAGGCTATGCACCTCTAGCTAGCACCATAAATTTTGTGTTTTCTAAATTAGAACATTTTAATCATCAAGATTCATAGAGTATATTTAAAATGTTGAACATAACAATGTTTTTTTAAATATTGGAAACAAGTACAATAACTATCAGAAATGCCAATGATCACAATTATTTTTTATATTTTAAGATATATTTACATAACATTATTAAAAATATTTCGGAACAAAACTAATTATTAGATTCAAAATATTCAAAGATGAATATATGCAAATATGATTTAAAAACAAATTTAAATTAATCAACTTTTGCGTGAACAAATTAATTTGGCAAATTTTTCGCAATCTTTCATTGATTTCCTAGCTTTGAAAATTGGCTTCATTGCTAGAGAACGGATGGCGGAAATATTTGTTTCTAACGGAACAACAGATCGAATTTTGTAGTTCATTTGGTGCTCCATTTCATAGTAGCCATCCATGAGTTTTGAGATGTAACGGGCGTACTGGGCGTCAAAGCAGTCCGTTGTGTCCGCAGAGCTGTTCACCCTTATGGCAGCAGCATAGTTAGGAGTTAAGACGGGGATGATATAATCCACCTGTTATATAAAATTTATAAAAATATTTTCAAAAAAAGTTCCGATTGATGTCATACCTGATCAAAAACTCCTTCGATGAATTCATTGCCACCTGCGTTGACAAAATGTTGCTGCTCCTCAAGAATCACAACTCCGACAGGCTCTCCTCGTTCATTGACTGTGGAGCGCAAAACTTTTGCCAGTTCAAAGGCGGTTGCCCTGCCGTCACCAACAAAGGTCAGAAGAACGGTCACGTCAAAGTTGGCACTCTTTTCGCCAGCATCCAAATTTTCTAACTTTGATGGAGCAGCGTCGTTTTCGTAGCCTTCATCAGGTGCTTCAATCAGAAAGTTGTGTTCCATAACTTCACCAATCTCGGAACACTTTCTTATTGTAGCCGAATTTTCTTGGACTCCACTTTTAAATGCAGAATATATGAGACGAAAATTTAAATCTTCAACGCTGCGAAGTGCACATGGTATGTTAATTTTGAAGCTTGGCTGGATGACAACAGAACTCTCTGTTAAAATGGAAATTTCATTAGAATCAGGTAAATTAATTTTAACCAATTTTACCTTCTGAATAGCCACTATCGCCAGTTACCATGTTGTCCGAATTTTCCCGGGTGATATTTTTGCAGAGTTCGGAGAGAGGTTTGCTGATTCGATTCAAAATATCAAGCCTGTTCATTTTCTTCAAAGCCTCTATTAGCCTGTCAAGGGTTGCGTCTTCCCTTTGGCCAAAAGCAAGCAAAGTGTTTGTGACCGGATCCTCTAGGCCAAATTTAAAATTTTCTATGGTCTGTGGAAATGATGCTTTAGTATAAAAATTTCGTAAAAAAATTGTATAAAAAATCTTAAAAACCTTGATTTCTTCACGACCCATGCCGAGGTAGCTGGCAAAAGCCTGCCAGTCGCTCTTCATATTCAATGCATTTTGGCTTGTGCTACCAAACATTAACATCAAGTGTTTCCAAACAACACAGCCGCCGGAAGTTTTGTCGAAGATGAAGTTTATGTGCACCTGCCGTGCTAATTTAGTCAAGGGTTTGATGATCAGGTCAAGGTCGGGCGGAGCACCATCCTGGAGCAGAGCTAGTTTTGCCGTCTCCGTTGGAAGATTTGATCTTGAATAATAGAAAAAATTAATTATGTTCACAAAATTCTTAAGATTCCAATTCGTAAGTGAAATAACCTACCTTTTACTGCGAGTACCCATCATTATTGTGGATATTGAGATTTTAGGATGATTTTCACAAAATATATTACAATAATTATTTCCACCTCAACAGCTCATCCATTTTCAAGGAAATTCTGCTCGAAATCAAAGCAGAAACTAACAAGAAACGAAGTCGATCCAAAGATGAGCTTCTTGACGCTTGACACACTGCGTCAATTATCAAAATACCACCACGAAACGTCAATGCGGGCGGATTTGGCTTTGGGCAAAGGCTTTGGGCTCCGATTGTTGTTGTTGTTGTTGTTGTTGTTGTATTTTGATTTAATTGGCTATAGTTAATACCATTTAGCCAGGTCTTATTTATGTTGGTTTAATTTTTACTAGTTGTATTTACATTTAGGAAAGATGACCTGGGCTCCGATTTTCCTCAACTCTTTCCTCATGGGCGTACCCAACAAATTGTACCACGTGACATGGAGGTGAAAAAAAATGCAAAACATGCGGACTGCAAACATCAACAGATGATGGCGGGAAGAGGAGAGTAAACATCTGGTCCTTTTCTGTCCCCTAGAAAAATTAAGTGACAAATGTTTTGATTTGTCGCACGGACAGCAAAGCTAAAGGTATTTATTTTTGTATCATATATGATAAATGCGTGTTAATTTAATTCATTTCTATAACACAGAATGGCAGACCGGATTCTCCGCAAGAAAATCTCTTCGTCCTTCAAACTGCACGGATTCACTCTCAGAGCGTAAATTGATAATTAAAATTATTAATTGTTTAATCTAGTAAATTATTGAAATTCAGTGACAGCTGCACGTACCTGGTTGAGCAATTTGAACCCCTTGATGAGGGAGAATTTGAGCTGTGGTTGGAGAAACTCATCGACCACATCCAGAACCAACGTTTGTCCACAAATGTTGTCGAGCTGAAGGCTGTCGAACTTGCCGTTCGAGTACTAATATTTTAATTTTTATTAAATTTGCGCGGTTTTTAAAACGGAAAAATCCACAGGATTGTGCCAGCGAGCAGCAGCAAGCAGGTGAAGACGTGTTTTGTGTCATCAGTGCCTTCGACGTGCCGAGATTCAATTTCAATCCAGACATAAAAAAATACGAGCCAGCTCCCAAGAAGGAGCACTCGTTATTTGACAATGCTGACGCAAAGGCCCAACTGTTTCGCGACAGGTTTGTAATCTCTGATGATTTTGCATTGTATTTAATGAGATGAAATTGCAGATTTTCTCTCATCAAACAACTCACTGAACGGCATCCCTTGTTTAAACCTTCGGCTGACGATTCTCAAGAGAAGTTCAAAATTTATCCCATCGAGCACCTTCTGAGTAGTGCCAGGAAACTAACAAAAATTATCACCATGGGTCTCTTCTCTCAACTCAAGGTTGGGATGTTCCATCTTGAAGACCCAACAGGAATTATTCAGCTGGACCTATCGGAAACAATATCCTTTTCATATAAAATACTAAAAACTGCAATAATTGTAAAAATTACTTCATACAGTAAAATATTAAGGGTGGTTTTCCTTAATGAACAATCCACAGTTACCACGTAGGCCTTCACGCAGAAAACTGCATCGTTTTAGCTGAGGGCTGGTACGAAGACAAAATTTTCCACGCCAAGGCCATTGGTTTTCCTCCAGCAGAGACTGCAGATGTCAGCAGAGCGTATTTGGGTTCGCTGAACATGTTCGGAGGTGACTCGAGAATGGCAAACAAATCAAATAAGGCTCTGCAGAAAACTTTGCGCGAAAACAAAGACAGAATTATGGTCTTCCTCTCTGACCTTTGGCTGGATCAGGATAAAGTAAAGATATAATTTTTTTATATCTGCTGTATTTTAACTAACCTATGGATTACTTCGTTAGGTGCTGCGTAAACTGCAGGTGTTGTTTGAAGGCCTTTCGTCATATCCGCCCATTGCGTTTATTTTCATGGGCAACTTTTTATCAACAAAGCCAGAAAGTAACCAAGCTGAGCAGCTCAAATTCCACCTCCGTTCTTTAGCCGACCTCATCTCTTCCTATCCAAACCTGCTCAAATTCAGCAAGTTTGTTTTTGTACCTGGACTTGCTGACCCGGCATGCCCTAATATCCTGCCTAGGTATACAAATTATGAAATAATTAAAATTAGTTTCTATCTTTTTGTTATTTAGACCACCACTGCCTAAAGCTGTGACTGAGGATTTTGAACTACGAGTCTCAAACGCTATTTTCACCACTAACCCATGTCGAATTAGATACTGCACTCAAGAGATTATTGTGATGAGAGAGGACATTATGTCTAAACTTTGCAGAAACACAGTTCACTACCCTACAACAGGAAACATATATGAGCATGTGAGATTCTTTAATTTTTGTATTTTTATAAAGAAAATTGCATTATGAATTTTCTTCTTGCTACAGTTTGCCAAAACTTTACTCAGCCAAGCAAATCTGTGTCCTTTGCCACTGTCTGTGCGCCCTATCTACTGGAGTTTTGCACATGCCATGCAAATCCACCCAGCCCCAGATTTGATCGTTGTAGGTGATACTCTGAGCACTTTCAAAACTTCACATGCGGAGTGCCAAGTGGCTAATCCAGTAAGTTACATTATTTTTATTCAAAATTGCAATGATGTGATATCTATCTCAATTCTAGGGATCATTCGCAAAAAACAACTTCATGTTTGTTGCCTACTGCCCTGGCACAAAGCAGGTCGACGAGAGTGAAATTACTGATTAGATTTTGTACATTGGTATTTTAAGTAATAAAAACAGTACATAAGTAAGTTATTGATGAAAGTATTACTTTAATAACAGCAAACTAAACAGACTTCAATTTAGTTTAATTTGACGATTAATTTACAAAATGAGCTATAATTCAGCTCCGATGAGAATCACATGTCCAATAAAGCAAATTTCCCAGCTTCTGTGGCACAAATCTGGCCCCGCATTATGAGAAATAAAAGACAGCAACTTAACCAAAATCAAAGACTTCTTGAATGTCGGCCGGTGAATTGTGCAGGAGTCGTAATTGGGGGATCATATAACTTGTTTGCGAGTAGTTTCATGCTGCTTATGTTAAAAAACGTAATGGCAACAGCTTACAATAATGGGGCGAAAGTCTATATTTATTATGATACATGATGATTACCAAAGGTTGAATGGGTGTAACGATACAGTTCATGGTATGCTGCAGCTTCGCTTCTGATTTGCAAAACCACAAAGGCCAATTTCTTGTATGTCAAATCTTTTTGCCTAATTTTAGAGATTCAAAAACCAACTAGCAGAGTCGACTGCTTAAACCCTTCAAGGGCAATTCAAAAGAAAAATATGCTTAATTTTAATACCAACAATTCTTGATTTGATTAAAAAAATAATTGTGTACCATTCACAGTGCCACGAAGTATTCAATTTTTCTCTTGTTGACATACCCCTCCAATATATATCACAAACCAATTCTCAGTCAACAAAGCTGCATTCCTATGTGGCTAACACATGCACCGACTTATTACACAAAATTCTTGTAATATAAAACAACGACCACCCTGCCGTACAAAAAACTGTTAATTATATAAGTCAGCGTTCAGAGCGCAGCAAGGCATTATGAGACGACATTCGTCGCAGTTCAGTTGTTGCTGAAGGTCACGCACCCTGGAACAAGGCCAAGGAACAAAGTTGGGTCAGTGGGCCCGGCAGGACGATTGGCGCAGCGCCTCGGCGTCGCCAGCAAAGACGTTGCGCTGGCGCCTTTTCGGGGGCGTCGACATGCCAGAAGGCGCGTGCGGCCGCTTCAAGGCAGGTGGCGCAGAGCTGCAAGAGGTGCTCGGGTGAGTGCTTGCACTGCCTTCAACAATGTCTTACAATGCTAGATGCTCTAGAGGGACGTGCGGGTCACACACGTCCGCCCCGAAAAGTGACTTACTTTCTTTCTTGTATCTCCGGCACGCCTCCTCTCTTTCCTGGGCATCAAAGTACCACAAGGTGATTGCGTATCTGCAAAGGGAGTTGTTCATAAGCAAACGGGGATATTATCGCTCATCACAAAAAATTAATAGACACTAATTTTTTGTAAAGTAGATTTTTTCTTTATGCCTTGAGCCTTTTTGTTATATGAATTGCCAAGAAGCTGAAGATAATGAAAATTTAATTGTTAACTTAGGCATCCTGTTTTGCACAACAGAGGAGCGTGTTGCATACTTTTATGGCATATACGTTTTATTTCTCTTATCAGCGAATATTCTAATCTAAAATAATCTAATAAAAAAATTCTGACCTCCTCAAACAGAGAAAGTGATTCTGCACGATATTTACCTAGTTCGAAAGGAAGGTTGAACTTCGTGAGGATTTCTTCTGTCTGACCAAAAGAATAAAATCCTATCAAAGAGCGGCTCGATGTCCGCAACCTGGTCGCTCCACTCTGGGAATATCCTCAGCAAGCCTCCATCTTTCTGCAATTATTAAAAAAAAAAATGTTAAATAGCCGTTAATTATAGCGGAAAAGCACTACCTTAATGTTCCAGTCTTGATTGAGGTAGTAAATTGCAGTGATGCATCGGCCGTCCCTGTTCGGATTGTCCACGTGCTTCACGTACTGGGTGCCATGGCCAGGGTAACACGCCACCATTGCCTGAGAACACACAAATGCACAAACGTTGTCATTGCCATTGAATCTGCGATCTTGAGCACGAAACTGCCTGGTCTAGTTTTTACGACGCTGTGAGCAATAAAAGGCAAACACAAAAATTTATTGTCTCACGTAGGCATCCCTATGCTACAATGCTTAACTTCTGCTAACAATTTAAATTTTCACAGATAAATTGTATAAAAAAAATTTCTTCAAAATTTGTTTAAATTTACTTTTGTATCCATGAAACAAATAAGTAGTGCTGAGAATGACAAAATTGAAATTTAAACAAACTTTAATTTGATTAAAAACAACAAGAATTTTCAATAAACATAAAATCTATTTTGTAGATGGGCAGTGGTTAAAAAAATAGGTGCCGGCATAAATTCCAGCTTTTACGCGAGTCATAAAACGGCCTATAAGGTGCAAAATAAAGCTTTCCTATTAGATTGCTAGGTATCCGCAAGCTAAATTTGCATTGGCGCAGGCAGAAAACCGGTCCAGCTTGCGGACTTTAGTGAGCGGCTCTCGCCCTATTGCAATCAGTGTATCGAAGGTTTTTGCTTAGTAAGCCCGCTTTCTCGTGCAGTTGCATCTTCCTAATCATTAAGTAAGATATTCCTTATTTACTCACTTCATTAGACTGTCTACTTTGCGAGTCACTATGCGACAATTACCACAGTAAATTCAAGCCAGATTGATTCTTGTTGTGAGACCATTTAGTTGAAATTTGGCACAGACTCAAATTACAAACTTGTCTTCATCCAAAACATTTGAAAGCAGGAGTATTTTTTTACTACACAAAACGACAAAACGCTTCAAAATAAAATCTGAATAAAGGAGAACTTGAAAAACCTTATTGGTTTTAAGGTTACTTTGATAACATTTTAATGCAATTGGGAAAAAATATAACTGCCTCTTAAAATTTTATTATAATTATGTAATGAAATTTGAAGCAAAAGAACTAAAACAAAGGCAATTAATATAGTGTGAAACTTATTGCAATATAATAGTTCTAATTGCCCTTAACAAATTTCAAATAATTAGGGAAGTGTGCCATTTTTTTTTTTTTTTTTTTTTTTTTTTTTAATATGATCAGTTTTTGTGCGGCTTAATTCTTTAAGGGGAAAAAATATAACTGCCTCTTAAAATTTTATTATAATTATGTAATGAAATTTGAAGCAAAAGAACTAAAACAAAGGCAATTAATATAGTGTGAAACTTATTGCAATATAATAGTTCTAATTGCCCTTAACAAATTTCAAATAATTAGGGAAGTGTGCCATTTTTTTTTTTTTTTTTTTTTTTTTTTTTTTAATATTATCAGTTTTTGTGCGGCTTAATTCTTTAAGGCTGAAATAGAATGGTAAATTCCTCTTACAGAATTACGGGGCCCTGATGAAAAGTTTTATACTGTAATTAAAAACAATTTAAAGTAAAAAAGAATGCAATGCTTTCCACGCTTTATGCATTGGGTGTTTTAATGACCGCCTGATTCACTCTTCGGTGCTGCACATGCGCTTCTAAATAGGAGAGAGCGCTGTGCGGTTTTGTGTGTACGTGACTTCTCGCACTTGTTCGCACGGCACTTCTGTTCCGAATCAATCGTGCACTAATTATAATGGACTCAAAACCGGCCACCTTTTGCACCGACAATACACGGCGGAAAGGGTTTTAGAAGGCAACACGTATTCCCACTCGATGCAGGGGAGGTCGTTATCCTCGCCAAGCGTTCAAAAGAGCAGTGCAATAAACTGCAATAAACTAGGGCCCGGAGAGAATTGAGTAATTCGCGGATGCGTGGAATTGCTGAGGTTATTTATGCGCACAACGAGGAACCGGCCGGCGCACTCCAAGTAGTAAAACCCAAGGCCTGATATTTTTTAACAGGAATAACTTGCGATTGCTTCATTTGCATCTTTTAGTGATGCTCTGATGAAATTGGTCAATTTATAATCCAAGGCCATAGATTTTATCGGAATTTTACTAATTCAATTTAATCTAAAAAAAATCCTTATTGCTATTTTTCCACTCTCTTTCGATTCATAGCAAACAAATGCTGATAGTTTTTGTTTTAAATTTCTAAAATTTATTTATTTATTGAGTGAGAAAAAAGAAATAAAATTATCTTAAAATCAATCTAAAGTCAATTAACTTTTTCAAAACGTTTTTATACAAAATTCATCAAGAAAAGTGGTCCTGGATGAAGAAAAAAAAATGATTTGCGTTGCTTTTTGCAATCCGAAAACAAAATTGTTTTAAAAATTAATGACTTTATATCGCAATAGGCGGCTCTGCTTAATGTTTATCTAAAATTTCTCTCAGCTTATTTGTAATGCACCCAAAAAATCGAATCATACTCGCTAATCTTGATTGCAATTGCTCCGATCTAAAATTCTTTGGCACGAAAATTATTTTGATAAGATTGAGAGCATGAATTGGTGAAAAACTTTCATAGGATTTGCCAATGGTGCAAAATTAACATGCGAATATCCTCCATTTTGTTTCCTGGAATAAAACTTCGGCCTCTCATTATTTTTTCCAGAAAATTTTGAACCAAACGTAAGCCACTTTTTGAGCTTATTTCTTACGTAACAGTTTAATTCCAACTGACGATAACTGGCGATTAACATTGCTCTCAATTTGGAATTGCGCCAATATTCCTTTATCACTCTACCCACTCTTTCTCACGTAGCTTGACGTGTGTATAGACTTATCAGATTTTTATTACACATGAGTTCATCTGCCTCACGCAAGTGACCAGCGTTGTATTTGACAATAAACATGTCTATCATCGCTTTTGTTTGTAAAATAATAATAAAGGGCTATGCGAGCTAAGGGGCACCTTTACAAACGCACGTACACCAGCTCGGCGCTTCTCCTCAACGCCGGCTCAATAAAAAAGCGCACGTAAAATGCGAGAGTGGTTGATGTAGTTATGCCGATGTCCCTCTGTCGTTAAATGAACGAGAGAATTTTAAATAATAATCACATGGAAAATCCCACTAGGGCGAAATTGAGATTTGTGTCAATGTGCGTAACGAGTATGAGGGGAATTGCAGTTAGTCCTATTAGCACATACACACCGAAAAAATAAGAAACAGCCTTCTCATGATGGGTGCTAAACAAACAAGATTAAACTAACTAAGTTGTAAATCTGACGGCACACAAGAAATGATATCATCAGGCCTTTGAAGATAAATAAAAGAGCATCCTATCGTTGTTTTCAATTTTTAAAGTTCCGTGTTTGAAAAGGTCTGAAATTCTGATGAAGGAGAAAGTAAAAAAATTTAAGTGAGCAAAAGAGATAAAAACTATGAATTTGTCTATACTACATGATATTATGATTACTATATTATAGTAATCATAGTTTTTTTTATAATGTATTTAATTGCATTCATATGCTTCCAACTTTGATTAATTGTATTAATTAATTTGCATCATTAAAATGAATTTATGGCTTCAATGAGGGCGCTGCTTCACAATGACGGACACCGTCGGGCCCTCGCCCGCCAAGCAAATCAACCAATCGTTCGTAAACTTGCCTCTGCAATTAGCCGGTCGAACCGTCCGCCTCTGACATTATTAATGGCTCTATTAACTTGTGATAAACTACACACCAAGCGAATTGTCTCTTTATTTTGCATTTTAATCAATTCCACTTTTGACCTTAGGCGGACGTGCCCGGAATCTTTCAATAATAACATATAAAAAAAACGTCGAGTTTTGGCGACAAGTCGTGTTATTATTATTTTGTTACGGCACCGAGTTGAGAGTGTGTGGCCCGCCACACGTAGGCCTCTCCTAATTTCATTGATGCAGCCGAAATGCACTCGGCCCCATTGGCTGCAGCTGCACCGGGCTTTGGACACGGTGCATCGCGGCACGTAGGCCACCAAGCCGGGGCCAAATGCAGTCAATACTGCTGCACGCGCGCGCTTTTTGCTGGCTCGCCGAGCGCATCCTTTGCCTGCCGCACTCAATTTCTCGCGACTCGGACCATTGCCAAAATATATGCAAGATGAATAAATCTGAATCATGAATAAATCAGTAAATTTCAAAAAATGATTTAAAAAAGTTTTAAATTAAATGCTACAAAATTTAAAGCTGGATGGAAAAGACCATAATGAAATTCTGAAAATTACAATCTTTAAAACGAAATAATAGATAAATAAAGAAAAAAATTAGTCTCCAATTTTAATACTAACTAAAAATTCTCTCAAAACTCCAACACACTATAATGCATTATAGAAGTTAGATAGAAAAAAATAAAGCTCTAATTGAGCAAAAATACTCTAATACTTTTTGTCAACAGAATGAACTTCAAAATTAAAGTTAAAAATTGGATTTTCCTTATTTTACCACAGTTTTCTACAAAACAATTCATCAATTAAGAACCAGCTTTAATTCTGTGAATCAATTTTTTTTTTAAGGAATACAAATTCTTTATAATCAAAACTAAAAAGTCAGGGCAAAAGACTTATTTGAAAAACTTAAAGCAAGTTCAGTGTTTACTATACAAATAATAAAATATTCTACATCTAACAATAATTTAAACGCCTTGTTTGTTCTTCGCTTCACAAGGTAAGCAAATATTGAAACGACTTTTTACCGACTTATGCATCACCAATTATACAAATTATTGCAATGCGCGGCTGGAAGTTGTCCTTAGCAATTTTGTATTGAAATTCTGTCAATTAGCGTCGAAGCATACGTGACTGCAAAGCACCGAAGCGGTTTGGCGAGCGCAATTAAATCGAGCCATAAAAACGTAGAGGGCGGCTTACGTGCTCTTCGGAGAGTAAAATAACAATTTCCTCACCTTGGTTCTGCCAGTGATGGCATGTTTGCCGAGTTTGCCGTGGGCGGACATCTGATTGGCTCTGAGAATGACCGCGTCCACCCGGCTGATGAGGTGTCCGATGTTCTTGCAGGACGCCTCCTTGCCGTCGATCCAGGCGATTTGGTCGCTTCGGATGGTCTTCAGGTCGTTCCTGGTCAGCCGAGTGCTGACCAACTGCCCGTCCTTGAAAACCCCCTTCTCGTGCATTTCCAGCACTTCGTGCAGCACCTCACAGCCCTTGTCCAGCCCTAGGAAATTGTCCACGACACAGATGCCGTACGCGTCCATGTCCTTTATCACAGTCTTGCAGACTTCGTCAATGATGCCCTTCTGCTCGCGGCTGTTCCGGTGCAGGAACGGTGGCTGCGCGTCCGACTCGGCCACCTTCCCCATCATGTCCACGTACGGCATGTCTTGGTGATCGTTGTCCGAAAGAAACTGTCCGGTCAGACTCTCGATGAACTCGGGACTGAGCACTTCGGCCACGGCGTTCAGAATTTCTATTTCGGAACTTCCCTCGCAAGGTAAAGAATTCAGGGTCTGATTACTAAGTCGGAGCTCCTCGATGTTTGGATCCAGAGACGTCAACGAAGTTGCGGGCGCTGAAAGTTAGAAATAAAATTTAATAAGAAGTGTCAACTTTAACTTTTTGGTTTAGAGGGAAATATTTGACTTAATTTTCCAATCTTCTGGATTATGTAATAATAGATAAAAAAAATTCATTAATATTCTGGACCAATTCAGGGTTTCACCAAAAATAAATTTGCTTAAATAGAGGCGGAATTTCTCCGCTTTTGACGGAAAATAAACAGATTTATTATTAATTGTTTGCTTTGTGGGACACCGCGCTGCGTGGTGTCGCAAAATAATGTGCCGGCTGACGATTGAGGGTGATATTGTCAAGCAGGAAGTCGAGCACCCAGAAGTGAAAAATCCGACGAACGACAACCCCCAGGAGAGGCGGCAGGGGTGATAAAAAAATTCGAAATACACGTTGACAGTGACAAGCATGCTAAGTCACCTTCAGGGGTCGGACCGGGGACATTGGACCGCTGGACGCAGGCACGTTTGTGCTTCTTCCAGTGCGCCTTTTGGTGATCCTTGCAGCAGTACCACACTTGTCGACACCGAGAGCACCTTAATAGATTCTCACGAGATCCGCAGAGCTCGCAGGCTGCGACGGGATTCATCCTTTTTTCACGGGAATCAGGGTTTTTGGTGTTCGTGTTTGCATGCGAGCAGCTGCGACAAACGGCGGTGGGGAGGCCGGGGGCGGAGCCTCTCGAACTCACCGAGTCAATGCAGCCTCTACCTTGCCTCGCCGGAGGCTGCGTGATGGACAGAAAAAGTCAATTTGCGGCATCTTGGATGAAAAAAGCTTTTTTACGTTTATTGAACTTGTTTCGATAAGTTGTCGTCTTTGAATGCTCCTCATTAAAATACTCGGCAATTTTATTCATACGGTGGTGGTTTTTTTTGAAAATTAATGGCGCGAAAATTCACTTGTGGAATGGGGGCACGTCAAAATCAAAACGAGATTAAATTTTAAATTTATTGCCTGTCAATATTGATGCGAAAGTTTTACGATTTAACTTGTTTAATCTGAATATTATTATTTAAAAGATAGAGAGAAGACAGAGATGCTCCAATCTTTAATCTTATCTTAATTATCTAGAAAATTTTCTACGTGCCATATGTGTCCCATTAAAAGCGTTAAAAGCAGAAACGCACATTATTTTTTTAATTCAAGTACATCTAAGAGTAGTAAAATCTCATTGGATTTTCATTAAATAATGTCACTATATATGCTAAGAGGTAATTTAAACCTCCAAATTTTCCAGCAAAAAAAATTTCTGAACTGAAAAAAAATTGAATTGATCAATTAACCAAGTATAATATTATAAGGTTTATAATTTATTTTACTTAACTTAATTCTTAAATAGATACAAACATATAATATAATATGCTGAGCCAAAATATTTTATTGAAGATTTGTTTGCTATAGCTATATTAATTAAATTTTGAGATATTTGTTAAAAAATATAAATATTAATTAATTAAATTGTTACTGTTTCAAATGAATATATCTTTATTTTTTAATCGGTATGATGTAGCAAAATTAATTGCAAAGTAAAACATGTTTTCTCCTTTTAGAATTTTAATATTTGTCTATTGTTTCAACCCAAGTACAAAACATAAAACTAAAGATGATTATTTTTAATTTTTACGCTTTGTGATCAACATTAATAACTCCTTCCAAACAGGGTGTAGTACTTGGGCTTATTTTTACAAGATGGGTAGATGCATTTGTCAGCTGGAGTGATCTCAGCAGGCTGATCGAAAGGAATGCAGAGACCTTTAGCACCCATAGCTGGTGCTCCAGGTTCGGCGCCTTCGCCCTCCTCCCTGGCACTGTCCTTCTTAATCACCTCCTCGCAGGGAATTTCCCCGCAGAACGGAGACAGCATGATGTTCTTTCCCTCAAGTTGTTTGCAGAAATCGTCCCAGTCCTTGCATAACTTTGTGTGGTCCTTCAAGTCCTTTGTGGCCTTGTCGAGCATGCTCTGATGAATGGTGTCCAGCAACTTCTTCAAATCCTCAACAGCAGTAGCCCTTTGGATGGTTATCTTCTCTCCAGTGTCCCTCCGAACAGCCACCAGTTGGCCTTGCTTTAGGTCTTTTGGCCCAAGCTCAACGCGAATGGGAACTCCCTTCAGCTCCCAGTGGTTGAACTTCCAGCCTGGAGAGTAGTTGTCCCGATAGTCACCTTTGACCTTCACCTCAGTTTCAACCAGACTCTTTTCCAGCTGCTGACAGGAGTCAATCAAAGTTTTGCGGTTTTCGTCCTTCATATTAGCCGTGATTCCACAGGGTACAATGACGATCTGTAATTAAATAAAATATTAATGGAAATAAAACTCTTAAAAATGTTGAATTAAAAATTACCTGGACACAAGCCACTCTGGGTGGAAGGACAAGACCTTGATTATCAGCATGGACCATGACCATGACACCTGAATAATTTCCATTAAAAAAAAGAACGGATATTTGTTAATTTAAACTTGCCGATAGTTCTGGTTGTGATGCCCCAAGAGTTCTGGTACACAAATTTCTTCTCCTGTGTTTCTGGGTCCTCAAAGACAATGTCAAACATTTTTGAGAAGTTCTGCCCAAGATGGTGAGATGTTCCTCCCTGAAATATGTTTTAAATAAAATTCTATTTCAATATTCGTAACAAAAAATTGGGTACTTTAAAATATTTTAAATTTCCTACACACACCTGGATACCTCTGCCACTGGCCGAAACAAAAGCTTCGACAGTAGTGGTGAAGTCCCCGCCAGCAAACTTTTCCTTTTCTGTTTTCCTTCCCTTAACAACAGGAATGGCCATAAGACCTTGGTAAACCTCAGCGTAGAGATTGAGAATTTGGTAAACTTCCTCGGTGGCTTCTTTCTGGTAAGCATGAGCTGTGTGTCCTTCTTGCCACAAGAACTCACGGGTTCGGAGGAATGGTTGAGGGTGCTTGAACTCCCACCTCTATAAAATTATCATTGTTAATGTTCTGAGTCTCGCACAAACAATTGAAACATACCACAACATTGTTCCACTGATTCAGCTTGATCGGTAAGTCGCGGTAGGACTGCACCCATTTGGCGTAAGCAGGGTACATGACAGTCTCACTAGTCGGTCTCACAGCAATCGGCTCCGCCAGATCAGTATCACCAGATTTGGTAACCCATGCAACCTGAGGAATGTTTAGGCAGAAATAGTAACAAATCCATGTTTTATAATAAAAATAAAATACCTCTGGGGCAAAATCGGCAATGTGGGTCTTTTCTTTCTCAAGTACACTTCGAGAAACAAAAATCGGGAAGTAGCTGTTTTGCACACCCATCTTCTTGATTTCTGCATCAAACCATCTTTGCACGGCCTCCCAGACGGCATATGACCAAGGACGAAGAATGTAGCAGCCACTGACGTCGTAGTATTCGATCATCTCTCCCTTCGTGATTACTTGCGAGTACCAGTCTGAGAGATTTTCCTCCTTCTTAGCCTCCAGTCCAAGTCTTGTTTGCTTTTTCAAGCCACCTTGGCCATCATCAGCCTGGAAATTTATTATTAATATAAAAAATTTAATTCAAATCAGAAATAAAAACACAAGCATGCTGTTGAAGACACTTGCAAGTCAAAATTAGGCAAATACAAATTTATGTTATTGAACACAAGTTGCACACATTGTCGACGAAAACAAAAAAGATACTTACTGATTCAAGTTGAACATTTTTCAGTAAATATATATGAAATGGCATTTAAAGAAAATTGTGTTGAATTAAAAACTTTTATTTTGTAACAGAACTTGAACCACTTAGAAAATTCTTTTGACTGCTTGCAAATATCTTCTTTTCGCCCTCATCAACCTCTCACACGGCATTTTAGTTTACCTCGGCCGGTTTCTCTTTAGGAGCCTGCTTCTTGGGTGCCTGCTTTGGCTTGTTTTCTTTGCTCTTGCCCCCTTGCCTTGGAGCATTAGCAGGCTGGAAGTCTTGCCCAGTTGCTGCCTTGTACTGAGCTTTCAGGTCGAGCAGCGCTTTAACCTCTTTTTCTACTTCGTCCTGAATTTATATACATAATATTATGTTATGTCAAAATAATCATATTCTCTACCTTTGGAACAGACTTGGATTTGAGCTCCCTGACTCTGTCCCCTTGTTTGGTGATCTGTTCAGCCAAACCAGTTCCGCTGTCTGCCATCGTAGGTACCTCTGGTGCTTTAGCTTTGGGTTCAGCTTTTGGTGGGGCTGCTCCTGGCTTCCAGTCCTGGCCTGTAGCCTCTTTGTACTTCGCTTTGAGCCCAAGCAAAGTTTTGACTTCTTCGTCGATGACGTTCTTGGCAGCTTTGTCTGATTTCAGCTGGCGGATCTTGTCACCTTGTGCTGCAATGTCTGCTAGAATAGAATCCACCGACTTGTTGTCTGGTGCGGCTTGAGCAGGAGGAGCAGCAGCTGCTGGAACTTGCACTCCTGGTTTCCAGTCGGTACCAGCAACGTTCTTGAAGTTGCTCTTCAACTCCAAAAGTGTCTTTACTGCCGAGTCGATGACGTCCTACATTTAAAATGAATTTTTTTGTAACTTTGTTGTTAATTTAAACTATAACATTATGTAATACCTTTGCTGCCTTTTGACTTTTCAGGTCTCGGACCTTGTTGCCTTGCTCAATGATTTGAGCGTTGATGTCTGCTGCACTTGCTCCAGACCTTGTTTCCTGCTTAGCTGGGGGAGGTGCTGGAGTAGCGGCTGGAGCTGCAGGACTTGCGCCTGGTTTCCAATCCGAGCCGGTGGCAGCCTTGTACTCTGCTTTCAGAGCCAGAAGGACTTTCACCGCTGCGTCAACCTGATCCTTCGGTGCTTTTTCTCCCTTGAGCTTTCGGACTTTCTCTCCCTGTTCAGTGATTTTGGTGTTGATGTCTGCAGCACTTGCACCACCAGCTGGAGAAGGATCGGCTGACGGAAGTTTGATGTCAGGCTTCCAATCAAGGCCTTAAAATAAATAAATAATGATACATAAATAATTAATTAATTTGTGTTTTTCTGTACCTGTAGCTGCCTTGAATTGGACCTTAAGATCAAGAAGCTTTTTAACCTCCTCTCCCACTACTTCCTGCAAAAGAATCAAAGCTGCGTTTTTTTTTTTAATAAATAAAAGAGAATGTGTGTTACCTTTGAAGCCTTCTCTGACTTAATTTGTCGGACTCGATCTCCTTGCTGTTTTATAGCAGCATCAAGTCTTGAGGCCTCGTTGCCACCACCTGGGGTAGGTTTCTGCTCTTCTTGAGGTGACTTTTCAGCTGATTTGCCCTTTGCCGATTGCAGCTTCTGAAAAATCCAAAATAATTCAAGTAACGATGAATGAGAAATATTTCATCGTAATATCATTTCTTTCTGTGTATGCATGTATGCCAAAAATGGCAACAAAATACCATGGTAGATTATTTAAAGATAAGATAAAATTTTATGATGCAACGTTAAGAAAACATGTTAACATACATATTCGGCACCTTTTGAAATGAAAAGAAAAAATATTTTCAGAGAGAGCTGCTCTGTTCCATATGTAAACCACACTATCCACACCACATGCCAACTGGCCTGTCTGGTTAGGTAGGTCAGGGTGGGGGAAAACTCAGGTGCTGTCATCTTGCGACTTTAAAAGCTAATGTAAAAATCTTTCTTCCTTTTTGGATAAAAAAAAACCACACAGCTTATTTTAAGGGCATTCAGGGAGCATGATCTGTGCAGGCCAGGATTTCTTAAATTGTTAAGAAAAAAGCTCACCTCTTTCTCACTGATTTCCTGAGGTTTCTTGGGTGGTCCAGCAGTGGGCATGGCTTTAGTGTGGCCGTCGGGAATGGAAAACAGCACAATGGGACTGTCTTTTGCAGAATAAATGCTGAAAAAAATTTTCTTCAATTTTTAGTTAAATGAAATTCAAATTTACCTTGTAGGCTCATATGGCCTGTCACACACAAAGAAGCCTCTTCTCTGGAGCTGGATGATGTCTCCCTTCTTGACGTTAACCAACTCAGGGTCTCCCAGCATCATCACATCAGTCTGAAAAATTCTCAATGAAGGACGAAATATTTATTTTAAAATATCTCACTCTTGTCTCATGTCCAATATAATTTTTAAAGTCCTCGTCCTTTCCTAAAACGGCTTTGCTAATAATATGATCAAAGTAGACGCAAGCACATGGGATGGTTTTTCCCTTGGCAGTGTCTGCAAGCCAGGTAATTTTAAGGGTCTTTTTGTAGTCCTTGTTGTCAAGGTTGGGCTCCGCGTCTATTGAGGTGATTTTTCCATTTGCTCTGTGAGATCAACGATTCAGATTTTGATCAAACATTTATTTATTGAATTCAAACCTATTAATTTTCTTAATGAGGATGTTTCCCCAGTTAATGAATGTGGTATTTTCACCCTCCTTCAAGATGTCAGCATCCGCCCTGTCAATCAAAATTTTGGGTCCGACCCACACAGTTTTTGTCCCCACAGCTGGGTCTTTTGGATGCTTGGCCACAGTCAAAGCCTCCTCCTTGACATTCTTCACATTGACAATGACTGGGTCAGATTGCTCTAAAGCAGTGAACCGAGGAGCAATAGGATCGATGACTTTCTTGTTAAAAGCCCAGATTTTATCCCACTCCATCATGGTGACGGCGCGAGACGAGCCTTGGCTAATAATAAACTGCTTAAGACCCTCCACGGTCATTCCTCTGCGAAGAACTCCTCTGACAGTTGGAAATCGTGGATCATCCCTATGCATTTTTAAATCTTTATACCTTTGATTAAATAAATATTTGGCAAATTTACCAGCCATCTACATAGCCTTCCTCGACAAACCAGGTGAGTTTGCGCTTAGACAAAACGGTGTTGGTCATGTTGAGCCTGCTGTACTCCCAAATGTACGGCTTTCTCAATCCAAGGGCATCGATGAACCAGTAAAACTGATCATCCCGATCATGATACTCCAGAGTTCGGAGGGCATGAGTAACACCCTCAATGCTGTCCACAATTGGACAGGCAAAGTCATAGGTAGGATAGACTCTGTAAAATAAATAAAAATTATAAATTTACATCAAAGTCTTGCGCTTGATTAATTACTTGTATTTTGTGCCTGTACGTGGATGGGGCTCATTCTTGCAGCGATAAATGGTAGGGTCTCTCATGCACCCATTGGCCGACTGCATGTCAATCTTGGCTCGAACACAACATTTCTGGCCAAGCTCGGAGCCTTTTTTCATCTCTTCCCACATTTTGAAATTCTGCTCCGTGCTGTTGGTTCGATTTTTTGATGCAACGCGCTGCTCTCGCTCCGATTTCATGGTTTCCGGATCAGTGTCATCAACATACGCCTTTCCCTCGGCCATCATTTTCTCGCACAACTCCAACATCAAATCAAAGTAGCTCGAGGTGTGCGTGAATTCGTCAGGCTTGACTTGGAGCAACTCCAGGTCCTCCAGAATCACCTGAGAAAAAAATTGAATTACTTTTTCTTGGGAATAAAAAGTAATTTAATTACCTTCTCAAAATCAACTTTTTCCTTAGCAGGATTGGTATCATCAAAACGCATAATGAGCTTTCCCTTAAACGCCTCTTGGTAGTACTGATTCAACAGAGCAGCCTTGGCATGACCAATGTGCAGATACCTGATTTAAAAAATTTTAATTAATTCTCTGTAAAACTTTAAAGCGTTGCTCCAACTTACCCACTAGCCTCTGGTGGGAAACGAACAACCACCTTGCCCATTTCAGCACCAGGAAGGTCAACGAATTTGCCCTCCTCTTTCCTGCCAACCGGTTTCTCCGAACCAGCCCTCGACACTCGACCCTTATCTGGCAGAGTGGAGAGAACGTCTTTCAGCTCCTTCAAAGATTTGACCAGTTGGTACCATCGAGCTACGTTCTGAGGAGCTTTGGTCTCATCAAAGCTTCGGTTGTCTAAAATTGGGTGGTTATTATAAATTTAAACCTTCAAAAATTAATAATCACAGTAAAGAGAGCCCCAGACGCAAAGGTCAGCAATTGTGATGGCATATCCAACAAGGTAGGTGCTTAGAGCTAAAGTGTCATTGAGATCCTTCAGGGCACTGTCGTAGTCTCCAAACGTCAGGTCCTGACTGAAAGTCAACCAGTGATCGACCTAAAGTAAAATTACATAATAAGGATCTTTCCGAAATTAATGTTTTTTTCTACCTCCGATCTTTCAATGGGGCTGTTGCCGTACAGGTTGCACCCAGGGGTGATTCTGGCCAAGTACCTGCTGATGGTGGCACTTGTGTCCAAGACAAAACCGTCCGGAAGCTGGAAGCTTGTCTCTCCACCCCATTCCACTTGGACCTCAAGGGTGTTTTTCACGAAACTCGCAGTCAGAATTCCACCTAGATTTATTAATTGAATATTGTATATTTTTTATCATAACATCAATTACATAAAATGATGTTCATAGATCTTAAAATTGCATCATTCTACCGACAAAAATAAAAAAATCCATGTGGTGTATGAAATTTATTACATATTTTTCCACAGTTGACTCGATTCAAAAGGCAAAATAAAAAAAACTGAAAAACGAAAACTTACCAAGTGGCGGATCTGACGAGTTCGCTTTCAATATCAGCGTTTTAGCTGGCATTTTCAATAAAAATCTCTCAGATTTCGTTTGTCGTGCGAATTCCTCGTGTTGCTGTCAATAAAGGGGCGTGTGCCGTGTGTCGTGGGAGGAAATTTAAAGTAAAATAGCGGCAAAGTTAAAAATTAATATTTTTTTTTTTCATATTATTCTTGACCATCAACCGAAAATTCAATTAAAAAATTTGTGATTCATCAGAATATTTGTAATAGAATTATTTATAAATTTATTTTAATTGCGATTTCTGAGCTTGTTTGTCTTCAACTTTTGGTCGTTTTGGTCTTCACAAATTATACATGAATGAAGAAGATCTAACGCATGATTGGCTACCAATACTCGCTCTTCACGCTGATTGGCCACCTGTACGTGTTGCCGCCAGTGTTGACTTGAACTGCGTTGGAGTTGGAAAACAAAAATGTACTTAACAAATTTCCGCAAGAACGTTTTGAAGTTTATAATTCATTCTACTAGGCACAATTTCTAGAATCCGATACATTTGATTGAGCAAATTTCGGAATTGTACATCAAATTGCAACTCCAATAGAGCGGAAAAACGTCGCTCGGGTTGGTGTACCTGGGCCGTACCTGTGGCCAGCGAGAAATGAGCAGACCGCCGCCCACTTGTTCCTCGGCAGGTACAAGACAGGTGTTTTCCATTGTTGTTGTTCCTGCCTGGCTACTGACTGATGTTCAGGAAAGGTAATTTGAGCCACTTTACCGGCAAAAAGCTGTGCATTTATCGATCAAGACCAGCCGCCGCGACCGTCGGTCGTGCACAAATAAATGAGCTGCATACCTGAGCCGGATTATCTGGCTGTGCATACATTTACCGAGCTCAATTGAATTACACATATGCGAGCGAGATAAAGATAGGTGTGTCCCCGCAAAATTCCTGCAAACGTCGCAATTTGCGTTGGCTAATTTTTTATTTTGGCAATTTCGGTCGAGCGAAACAGGTGCATTCCACCTGCCGGATTTGGTCCTTGCATGGACCACTTTATTAATCCGCATTGCCATTGACAACCAAACACACAGGTTTACCACGCCCTTAAGTAAATTCAATTATATTTTATTACTCCACTTTTTCTCTTTGCGCTCTCACCATATACGAGCTGGTATAAAAAGTTATAGAAATTAATTGTTGCAGATGAGCACCGCTCCGAAAAGTGAAACTCCATCCAAAGGTTGGGTGAAGTTTGAGGATGAGGAGGCGGGCGGCGACAAGTCTGCTGCATCTACCCAACAACAGGACGAGGAAAGTGCAGCCAAAGCAGAAGTAAGTCTCCTTGGGTTTGACCTTTTTGATCTGATTAAAATTAATTTTTAGATAATCCATTTTGAAAATCCAAAATTTGCTAACGTAGAAGTAAGTCCCTGTGAATTATACTAACCTGGGGGATTATGAGGGGATCAGAGTTTAAATTCAATCAAAAGCTAATGTTAAATTTGTTATCTTTAGTACAATGGTGCGGTGATCACGGCAGAGACCTCGCAAGTGGGTCTCGATCTGAGCAGAAGTTCTGAAGTTGCCATCACTATTCCGAAGCCAGAAAAGGCTACAATTTCAACCACCCTGAGCACCATAGACCTCAGCGCCGATGGCCACCTCACAAACGGCGCCGGAGTCTCTTCAATATCGAACGCAGCAACTATAAGACAGGGATTTGGTAATCAATTTTTAAGTTTGTGTAATTTTTAAAATTCTAAATAATTTTTTAGTAAATGGAGACATCATTGTAACTCTTCTCCCCATCAACACAAAGTGGCCCTGGATTACGCCAGCCAAATTCCGTCCTGAACTAGTCCCCGAGGAGCTGATGGCTCAAGGGCTCACTGTTAGTTTCAATTTGAAATGCAAAGACGTTTATTATTATTTTTTCTCCTTTTCTAGTTAACTGTGGAGGATTACGTACAAATCATGGAGCTGCTGACCAACGACTTCCGTTTCACAATGTACAACATTTGCTACAAGAGAGTTCTCTCCCTGTGGGTCCTGCTGGCCTTTTCAATTCTGCTGGTGCTCTTGTTTTCCGGTGTCACAGGCCTCACTCTTTTTGGTCTGGGAGTCTTCTGGATTTTCGTCAACGCTTTTGCTGTTGTATTCTGCATTTGGATAAAAATCAAGGCAATTTTTTCAGTATAGCAAAAATAATTTTTAATAACATTTTTAACCAAACAGCTCAACCACAATTTGGAGTACTGTTTAGCATCTGTGAACAGACACCTGTTGCGGCACAAAATCCTGCTGGGCCTGGACGACAGAGGGAAGCTGTCCTGCCACAAAGTGAATCTCTGCTTCATCTACTTTGACACCACCGAGTGTGTTGTAAGTTAAAACTAGATTTTGTATTATAATTTTTGCTAATATATACTATTTTTCTACAGAAAAAGTTGCAAGAGGTGATTGATAGTGAGGAGAGGGTGGGTCGAGTTGTCGGAAGGGAAGAAACAGCGGACGAGCGGAGGAAGAGGATCCAGTTGCAGGAGCGAATGGACATTGATGACAGTGACATTATCATCCAGGGCGCTAGCACCACTCGACTATCAAGGAAACAGGTAGGGTTTTTTACTCCAAACTCTGGGTTTTCTTGAGCATGTTGCAGGATTTGAATTCTTTTTTTTTTTGCACAATGTTTTTATTCCAAATTTTGAAATAAAGGATGTGGTTTTGAATTATAAATTAATCTTGATTTATGCAAACAAGTGCACCAAGCAAGGCAAATTTTTTTTATAAAAAAAAGCTCTTCCTTGAATTTGAAAAATTACTTTTCTTTCAAAGCCACAGCCTTGAAAATAGTGTAGGGTTTTGAATTAACGTGTGCAAATCCAGGCCAGGGGTGAGCGCGTGATGCTGCGCTACCTGCAGCGCTGGGCCAAAGACTATTTGCGCCGGCGCCTCGACTGGACGCTGGACGAGTCAGGTGGCAACCCGTCAAGCCCGCGGCACCTGAGTCGCGCCCTTTGTCCCTGCCAGTACATGGAAGAGTACTTGCGAAACAAACCCACGGCCGCGGCGCACCACAGTCACGCGTTTTGTCCTTGCTGTTCGCTTTGGTGCGCCAAGCAGGGCATCGACTGACCTGCCCTATATCCTAAAAAAGACTCGGCCGTTGCCATATTAATCGAACGCACGCACATTGTGTACTGGATTGTTTGTCAAAATGCACAGTTGTATTTTATAACTAGCAATAATTTTTTTTTAGTGTTTAATAATTAACGTGTCAAAAAGGTCCTGCATGCTTTTTGTGTAGTTTGTCTTCTGCTTCTGTGTTTGCTTTTGCAGCACTTCATTGCAAATAGGATGTTAATATTATTGTTGTTTATTTATTCTTAATTTTAATGCAAATAAATGTATGGATTGATTTTTAATGAAGGACAAACGGATAATATTACCTTAAATCATTTGCAGCTAACTCTACAAAAGAAAAAAATGTACTCTTTACCTAATTTTATTTGTACTATTATTGTTACTAATACAATAAAAAATATGATTATAAATTAGGATATTTTTAAAATTTAGAGCGAGCCTTCAAATTTAAATTAAAATTTTAGAGCTATCTTATATCCTATCAATCATAAAAATTTTAATTAAAAAGTCTTTTATACCAACATTCTGATTAAGTCAATTTATATAAATTGATGATATTCACAATTAATGTTATACAAGCTTTTAATTCATAATTTCCAGCCTTTTATTTTAACGTTGTGCTCTGCTCAAGTAAAAAAATTAAATAATATTGGATTAAAAAAAAATTAATTTTTTTCGTTAAATTTTACTAAACACCTTAACTGTTGAACTTTTCTTTATTTTTCAAATTTTCTTCCACATTTCACGTTATTATGGACTAAATTTCTGCATGCTTTTCCGCACCTTGGGCGCATTCGGTGAAACTGACCGTGTCTTGTATCTGTGGTGGCAGGGCCGGGCTGAGATGCTGCTGCTGCGGTACTCGCAACGCTGGGTCAAACTGCTGACCAGGCAGATGCTGCCCCTGGCCGGCGAGGGTGTGGACAGCGTGGCCCCGAGACACTGTCTGCAGGCGCGGTGTCCCTGCCAGTTCATTGAGGAGCATCTCAAGTACAAGCCGGCAGGCAAGTTGACCGCCAAAAAAGTTTTCTCCTTGCCTGACTTCAGCTGAAACTCTCAACTAACTCACACTGTGGTGGAGGCCAAAATCTTTGTTTTTGGGATTTTCATGTTTTCTCTCTCACTTCTCTTAATTGTTTTTTGTTTTTACAAGTAGTGCTGTTAATAACGCAGGGCCATTAGTTAAACGAGTTGTGTCATTTTATCCGAAAGTCTTATTTGAACATTTAAAAATGCGTGCAAATCAATCGAATTTTTCCCACCATATTACTTTAGAATAGAGATTGTTAAAGTTTCAATAAATTTTCTGCATAATCCTAAATTGTAGGGTGCAATCAGTATTTTCCACAAAAACAATTTTTACTCTTAAAAGACCAAATTTTGTGATAAATCAGCCTCTAAAAGTATTTGCCAGATTATTGTGTAAAGTGATCCTTTTATTTGCTAACTTGTCCGTCCTTTGAGATCTGCTGAAGATTTTTACGAAGTATTGTGTCATTATTTTTGTTCGTTCAAAGCTAGGTTTAAATTTTAGACAAATAAGGTTCACACACTGCATTTAGTGCGCGTTGGCATTTTGCAGTGCCTTGGTATATGTTTTAGGTCATGAATATGTCATTTTGTAATAATTATATTGAAGGAAGCTACTATTGGCATATCTTACGAATTGTCCATATTTTGTAAAAATGAATAAATATATTTTCACCATATTACAAAATAATCTCTGTAACACACAACAACACAATGTTTCCTTTCTCACAAAACCTGGTATAATAATATCTCATTATGGTGCTTGTTCTGTTGAGGCCGTCCTATACCTTCTGGAAGTTTCTTTCTTGAACTCAAAACACTTTCATAATTGTCACATCTAAAAAGTTTACTTAGAAATAATTCATTTTAGGCCACTGTTGCGACCTCTTCGGGGATCCACATATGATGCAGGTGTACTTTTAAATGTGACGAATTTACCATCTTCGCAATTATTCTTTGTAGAGCCAATTATAGTGTCTTGTTTCAAAACTTTGTTATAATATATTGAAATACATTGTTTAATTCCTCTTTGTTTGCAATTTTTATGTGATTCAATTTTAAAATTCAAGTTGGTGTGTGCTGAAAGTTTAAATAGAAATAAAATTTGCCATTTTCTGTATTTTATACGCTACATTTTTCTGTTCTCATTCTTTTTACGGCGTAGAAGAAAAATATGAAAGTTGCTTAATGCTTCAGGAAAACTTGCGAGAAAAACCGACCCACTTTCTTTTTTTGTGCAAAAAGCAGAGTAGATAATACTCATTAGCGTGTTCGCATTTCCAAGTTTCAAAATCTCACTATAAAAGGAGAATTCGCTGACAAAATGTTACCATTCACATTCTACGTTTGACCGAATTAATTAAGCCGACTGCTGGAAAAAAGCAAAAGATGCATTTCTGCTGGGGAAACTTCTTTCTGCCACTGGTAAAATCCTAATTGAATTTTATTCCTAAATTTTAATTTTTTAATATCACGAATCGTATACAAATATTTCTAATTTTTAAAAGGTCCTTCTGTTGACCAATAGGGCGAGCAAAGGTAGATCCTTTTTTATTAAAGTGATTAAAATTAAAACAACTATTTTGAAGGGATCAATGCACGCCATATGCAGCCAATGAGCCGAGCTGTGATTGATTGCAGTTGGCAGAATTTTAAAGTTATTTCCTTAAATACACCCTCTATGAAAATCACATTTTGGATTTCTTCAGACCCACAATTTAAACTGCTGCTTAATTCCTGGTATGGACCTCTTTACTGAGCAGCAGCTTGCCGAATGCAGCGCACCATATGATAAAAATACAATCAAATGGGCTAACAACTACATGCTCAACAAATTGCAAGTTTTTAGAAATGGAAACAACATCGAACTGGGGGACTGGAAAATTTGTAAGTTAATATGAAAAATTTGAATTTTATTTTCGTAAAGCGCGCAATTTTTCTCAAGCGTTAAAGACATGCAACGCGGCTGTAAGTGAAATTTTTTGAAAATTTCATTTTTATAAATCAATCTAAATTTACCTTAGAACTTTTTGAATTGCGTCTATGAAAAAAATGGCTTGTTGCTTGCGGACGGAAGCGTCAACATGGATTCCTTCGTGACTCTTTTTAACCAAACTCAAGATGAAGAATTTTGGAGGACGGCTATTTCCTTAGCTCTTCCACGTTTTGACACACTTGTCAATACTTGTAAAGAATTTTGTTTTTATATTCAACTCGGAAAAACGTTTTTTTTCTAGTAATGCCAGATTCAGTCAAGATCCTCAGCTGTCCAGGAGAAAATAAAAACGTATCTGCCATTCCACTTGTGTGGACGCAGATCGTCAACGGCGCCTTCATCACAGTAAAATATTCATTCAAAATTTAAATTCAAAAATTAATTTACTATTTTGATTTTTTAGCAGTGCCCGATTTCAATTCCATGTAATATAATAATATAAACTCTTGTTACAGGGAAATCATGGTTATTATTAATTTTAGCTGGCAACTGCAAACAAATGTCTGTAAGTTTTAACTCCTGCGTTCAGAAAGTTGAGAACTTCATTCTTGGCCAGCAAGGATCACGAAGGAGTGCTTCAAGAGAAAATCACATCAATTTCTATGAACAGAAATATTATAATAAAACTTCATAATAAAGAGGTTACATTTTTTTTGTAATATTTTAAAGCTAAAGTGATACTTCAAGAATATATAGTCTGTGATGATGTTTATCTCATTGATAAAAATTGTTTCAATAAAACATGCGATCAAAAAATAAATATTTTTGCTGTAAATTTATATTTTACTGTATTTCATTTGAAAGACGCAATGAACAACAACATAAATTTGCCTTTTTATAAAGGTTTTTACAATTAGTAAAATATAAAGAAATTAAATAGAAGACCTCTTTTCTCAACTATATTATTATTCCATTTTTATTTTAAATTTAGGTCACAATATTTGTGCTATGTTTTGGGGAAAAGAGTAATAAAACCACTGACGGCAGTCCCCTTTTCCTGCGCGCAATCCAAAAGAATCAGGGGAGATAAAAATAATTAGCGCGAGCTGCAAAAAATTATTTTTCATTTCAAAGTGTGCATTCGTTTCAGTCTACTTTTTCGTAAAAGCATGAAAATTATGCGTTCGTGGTTGCCCTACTCCATAATTCTGGTAAAAATGTAACTACAATAAAGAACACAAAATTCTTAACAAATAATATTACAGTTATTCGTCTCGTCCTGCGTTACTAGTAAAGGTTTGCTTTAGTTTGATAATTTTATAAAATTTAATATAATTTTTTACTTGTTAAATTTCATTTTTAAGTTCGTCAGAAGCGGCAGGATCAACGACTTGCAATTGACTGCAGCAAACAAAATTTCAAAGTTCATATTTTAATTTATTTTTTTGTTTTACCTAATTAAAAAATAATCAGTCGCATGACACAAAATGCTGCACCAATTCAGGAAGGAACCTTTTTACTGATGATCAACTCTCAGCTTGTAATTCAATGAACGACAAAACACTTGTCAAGTGGGCTAACAATTACATGCTCAATAGCCTGCAAGCTGGCAGAAATGGGAACAGCATCGAACTAAATGACTGGAAAATTTGTAAGTTCATTGCCGAAAAATGAGTAAACCGATATTAATTTTGAAAAAATTCACTAAGCGCTGAAAATTTGCGCCGCGGCTGTAAGGAAATAATCAAAAATTTTGTACCAAGTTAATTAAACAGTTATTTTAGGACTTTCTGAATTGTGTGTTCAACTCAAATGGGCTTTTGTTTTCAAATGGAAGTGTCGACATGCAATCCTCAATTGCAACTTTCAACGAAACACAAAACGACGACTTTTGGAAGAGCACAATTAGCAACGGCGTCCCAAAATTTAATGTTCTGGTCAAAGATAGTGAATTAATATTATTTTACTACCATCTTTTGTTAACATATGAACTGAAACTTTGCAGTAATGCCTGAAACGATCAAGTCCATCTCTTGTCCAGGAGAAGTGCAAAATGAACCAATGAGAACTGTGTCAGCCATTCCATTCTTGTGGACGCAAATTGTAAACGGCGCCTTTATAACGGTATTAAGTTAAAATAAAAATGTTTTTTTTTTTTCATAATATTGTTTTTTAATTAGCATTGTCCGAATCAAATAACTAGTAAGTTTTGTAATATTTGTATTTTTTAGTTTTATTTTATTAATTTTTTATGCTAAAAATACGTTAATTTGTAAATCTGGAAATTACAGAGGGTGGAGGATGCAGAAAAATGATCAAAAACTTCAATTTCTGCATTACCAAAGTGGAAGATTTTCTACTTGGGCAGCAAACAGCTCGAATTGCAGCTATCAAGACAAAAAACATATTTAATTTTCAGAATTGAAACATCAGAAATTATTTGTTAACAACATTTAAAGATGGTTGTACAAACAAGATTTGGAATAAAATTTGAAAAAAACGGAAAAAAAATTAATTTTATTTCCCTACAAAACTTGAAACAAAAAATTGTATATGTGGGGGATGGGAAAAATATCTTGGGCTAATATTTCGGGAGCGCGACATGATTTTGGGCAATTCAATTAAGCATAAATATATCAGTTGAAATTTTAAGGTGACTTTTAAAATTGCTATAAAATTTAGGTTTTCTCAAAAAAATTAGAATAAAATGTTATTTAACCCGTTAATCATGCGCTTAACTGGAGTTCATTTGACCTCATAGGTTTATAATTTAATGTCCCGACGAAATACTTTTAACAGCAGTCCTTTTTTTGTTCACACTGCACGAGTTAATTTTTTTTTCATCGTTAACATTTTTAAATCTTTGCTACGAGAGGTATTAAAATAGTTTTCTTATACCATATCTAATAAAAACATTAAAAGGTAATAGAACTGGTATTTTTTTCCATTTACTTCCCAATTAAAAAAAAAAATCCTAAAATTTTCATGTTATAAAATAGATTTTTGTGACAAAATGTAATTTCATATATTATATAGAAATATATCAGGCAATCGCTGCCCTACTTAGGTGGCATCGACCCTTCGGCGCGGAAAACGCTGTGTATCACTGATGCCGCCTGATCAGTATACTTCCTGACGCACACAGAACCGGGAAACCCGATGAGAGCGATGCTGCCACTATTCATTACTTTAACAATAATACTAATTGTATTCGAATAAGCTCATTTCTACCAAAATAACAATATAAAGGAATATATTTCAATTAGCAATCAACAAGCAGTCAAGATGCCTTTGGCGATCAGCAAGAGTCGATTTCGGAGGTCGAGGTCACTGATCACGAGGCCATGGAGGACCACGGGCAGTTGATGATGATGATGCACGACCAAGCGCACGGAGACGACTCGTCAATGGAGATGATGGGCACCGCTTCAATGAAATTGAGTTGAGATAAAAAGCAATTATTTTTTCCTGAAAATTGATGGGAATATTTTAAACAGGGCCGTCGGCGGTGCCAATTAATCAACACGAATCGGCCGGAATGATGTCCAGCAAGGAGCAATTCTGCTTGAATCAGATGACGCAGTGCTTGGCCAACCCAATGCCCTTCAACGAGCATCTCACGCAACCTAACGTGGGTGCGTCCGAGACGCAGGAATATGTTGTTGATGCGCCAACGGATGGCGGTTCCGGCGGCTCCTTTGAACCTTTTGCCTCTGGAGTTAACAAGGGCACGATCAATCGAGTGAAGAAGAAAAAGCCGCAAAGCGCAAATCTCATGAATATGGACGAAGAGACCCAAGAATCTATCCGATGCAATGGACAAAATTTCATTGTAAAATCAAAATATTTATGGGATTACTGTTATTTAAAAAAAATTTAAATTATCTTTTTATAATTTTTTAGAGAATGTCAGAGTGTTGCTCAAATACGCCAGGAGACTTTTTCACCGGAGCAATTCTTTTCGCGTGCTCGGATGTTTTCCCGATAAACCCAGGCATCGTTCTTAAAGAGTACAATCTGAACATGGGGCTGCTCCAAGACAACTCTTTGGACTTGTCGCGATCAGATACAAGTAGATGGTTTTTTTATTGCAATAATGACTAAGATAAATTGTTTTACGTCTTTAGTGTCTGGAGAAGTCCTTGGCAATGGCGTTGTAAGTTTTAAATACAATAATATATTGTAAATCATTTATGTTGAATTTTATTGAATTTATTTTACAGTGCTTCATAGACTGCATTTTTAGAAAGAGATCTCTTGTGCGACTTTCTTCGATTTTTAAAGACAAATAATAATAATTTCAATAATAGATTTCGGAGGACGGAGCCATAGACTACACGATGGTGGCCCATCATTTTATGTCCTCAGTAATGGACAGAGCCTGGCACCCTGTAGTGATGCAATCGATCAGAAACTGTTCCCAAGTCATGCATAGTATTTATTTTTGGAACTAAAAAACCAGCATTGTATTTTTTACTCTGTTTAACAGAATTCCCGCAACAAATGATGAATCCTGACTTCAGCTATCAAAAGTTCTGCTTCACTCACCCCTACTTGTTTCAACAATGCGTAATGAAATCATTGCGGATGGTAAAAGCTCAATATTTTGGTTAAAAAAATATCTCTAAAAATTTTTAATTAATAGGTTTGTCCTCTGCCTAATCACAGAACAAACTGTACGAGAAATTGGAGAGAATATAATTCTGAATTTATTTTCATAATTTTCTTCTATTTCAGCTCCCGAATGTGTTGAAAAGCGTCGCTTCCTGCAGCGGTGTGACATTTTTCAAAAAAGATTCACAGTTCCAAGACATTAAAAATTTCAGTTATAATGAAATTCTGTGTTTTCTTATTCCAAAGCATCAGTATTAAAAACGCAAAAAAATATGAAATGAAAATAATGCATGTCTGTGCAAACTATGCAACCGGCGCTACTCATCAGTCGTGCGGGCAGCCGAACTCTGACAACTGCAGGCTGATCGTATATCAAGCAACATGCAATTTTGTACTTGAAATAATCAATGCACACATTTTTGTACAGCACACTGAGATTGCTAAATTTAAAAAATAAATAAATTAATTAAAACAATTACTCTATGAAATATTTTTTGTCAAACAAACCTCAAGTGAAAATATAAATTATTTGAATAAATTGCAAAATAGATACATGGATCGACGGCAATTTTGTAAACTTTGGAAATCGAATGGCGGACGGAAATGAAAAAGAGGATCGTCGCTCGCCTCAATAGTAGGTGCTGAGCGATGCGCTTCAAAATGTCGACGCACTGAAATCACAGTTAAAGGCTCCAAAATGAATCAAATGCAAATCTTCAGCTTAGTTTTAATTTTATACTGTCAAAACGTAAGTATAATATTTTTTTAGATTTACTTTTTGAAAGTCGAATTTTTGTTTGTTTCTGGAATAGATTTTTCACGCTTGGGGACAGCAAAGTATGCTGCTTGTAAAAAGAAAGGGCAAATGTAAGGATGGAAATTTTCAGCTCCTGCTGGTGACAGCAAACGAAAGGCGAGCGAGTACTTCTGCGTGGCGCAATGTTTGGGGCTTTTGGGCACTGATCGACCGGGACAAGCGTGTTACGAGGAGAGTGCGAAAATGACGATGAAAAACAACAAACAGTGTGAGGATCAATCTTATGAGGTAAATCTAAAAGCTCAAAATTTGCCAGAAAAAAAAATACAAATATTTAATTATTGAAAAGAAGAATGAATCTTTCCTCATTGGAGCAATTTACTGAGAGAGAAAAACCCATGAAAAGATTAGGCTACTGTTTGCAGCCCTTTTCTATGAGACAGCAAATAATAATATAATATGTAAACATAATATTTTATCGCACCTAACTAGTTCTGATTGCTATTTATTGAAATGAGAAGCCAAAACCATTTCTCAATAGTAAAATAAAAATACTGCAACGAAGAAAAGCTTCTTCATTCAAAAAATCGCCTGAATTGGAAAATTCTTTTATCAAATAATTAATTTTTGTGTTAAAATCAGAAAGTGCCCGATTGCTGCAAAGACGTTCCGGCAGAGTTGCTGCAGTTGCCACCTGGAGATGACGAGTGTCCGAAAATCTCAAAGTCGGTGGGAAGTTCCATGGCTCTGTTTTTGAGCACCTACGTCCTCACAGGACCAACCAATATGGCAGGAAGACTCGACTTTTCCGGCGCAGAATGTGAATTAAAGTACTTTTCAATTCAAATATTTTGAGCAGTTTTTTTCGACAGTATCTAAACGGCATGGAGGAAAGTTGGTATCTAGTAAAATTATGAATTTAAAAATTGGAATAATTTAATTGCATCCCAGGCGTATATGGACTGTCTTTTTGTCAAACGGAAACTTGTATAAATAATTTTTTATCTGAGCTTATTTAAATATTTCAATATTTTCCAGATTAAAGATGGTGCGATTGATTTTTTAGCAGCCAAAAACGATTTTGAGACCAACGTTACAAATTCAACGTGGAGAAACGTTGTGTCCAACGCATACATTTCATGTCAATACCTCTTGGCTGGTATTTTTAATTTTCCTTTTTTTCAGACAACAATAAATTATTTTAAACAGGAAACTCGAATATTCCAAAAACAATAAGCGTGCAAATCGATGGTGTTACAAAAGATTGGAGAACGACGGCGGGACTTCTGTACCAATGCATACGTCGTGAAATGATTGAGGTATTTTTTGTAACTATTTATTGAAACTTCAGAGCTAAAATTAAATTTAATAATTTTAGAACTGTCCATTTAAAAGTTTGACTTGTAAGTAGTTTGTTACTTACTTATTGCAATTTATTTGTCATTGTAAATTTATCTTTTTCAGCAAGCGCTTGTAAGGACATTGATAATAATGTTTACATGTGTAATCCATTTAAGTAGCAGAGGATTTAAAGTTTTAATGAAATTTGAAATAAATATTTGAAAAATTTAAGTTTGTGATTTTGATTTAGAAAATTTGAAACCAGATTAAAAATTACTGTCCATTTGTAAGCCTTAGCTTGACAGTTGTGACATTCATATTTTGCACTTTATATTGTTATGAAACGCCACCATTTCTTGCTATGTTAATTTGGATCGCAATATTTGACAATAATTTTTGTATTTTAACCTTGGTTGAAGGATAAATGTATAGTTGACGACGCAGACAGGCCTAACGTGGCCATTGTATTAAAAAACGTCATTTGTGTTAGTCAGAGATAAAATCAGGTTACTGACGTCCTTTCGAATTGACGTAGATTCAGCTGATTGGCGGTTTGGTCTCTCGAACATGCTTTTGGTAGAGTCTTTGAACTGAAATGAGGTTAAATTTTACTGGAGCGTGAAAAATATCTAGTCCACGATCACAATTATATGTCGACAAAAATTTTGTTCAAACGCAGATCAGATGCGAGTTGGATGTGTCAGATGTGATCTGTCATCAGATTAGGTTATTTAAATTTGTGTTAAATTTTTGGGTTCTTAATTTTTTTTTTAACTGAACACAAGAGAAACATTTAGTTTTTCAGCATCATCGGTGAAAACGGTTAGAAAGTTCCCGACAAGGAAAATCAATCTGCTGGAAATTTTGCATTTTCAACGCTGCCTGCTTTTCCGCACTTCCGTTGCCAGCAAATAGGTAGGCTCGGTGGCCTTGCAGCGCTGGCAATTCGTGACGGGTCCGAGTGAGTTGGTGCGGCGGGCAGCACCTCGATTGCTCACTTTCAGAATGGAAGCGCTCAAAGTCGCTCTTCTGGCGGTCCTTGCCCTTGCAATTTTCGTGGTGAGTAACTGAATATTTTTCAGGATAAAGCTCTTCATATATAATTTTTTTATAATTAATTACGTGCTTTCAAAATATTTATTGTAATTGAATTTAAAATTTTCATGTCATTTTCTAATAAAAATCTTTACATTCCAAGGAATTCACTTCAGCCGGCGTTATAAATCTTAAGGGAAACGCAACCGAAGAAGGTTGTAGTTTTAATATTTTGAATTTACATGATCAAAAATATTACGAAAACTTAAGAGATTCATTCGCGATGGAGGAGAGAGCCAAGAATTACAAAAGGAGCATCAAAATCCATCTCGCCAAAGCAAGCAAAATTGTCAAAGCCGAGGATTGAAAAAACCTGCATGACAAAGTCCCTTGAAGTACTTCTGAAATGTGCTTAGTTAACAATACCACAACTTTATTTTAATTTTCAGGTAGCACAAAGCTGCTGCTTTATGCCATTGATAGCGTCGAGGAATGCTCAAGGGAGGTGTCTAAAAAAGCATGGCATAAACGGCAAGGAAATGGAAGGGCTGTTCCACACTGCCAGGGCACACATAGTTACAAACTACGAATCAGGCAAATTTAAAATACCCAGAGACGACTTCGCCACTATGTCTGGTAAGTTTTAAAAATTGCACAAGTTTGCGTTTATTTTATTTTGCAAAATTAGAACATGTGCTTGGTGACCAAGTGGTAAAAATTGATTATTTCTTTTTAAAGGAATTTTATTTTTGTAATTGATTAAATTTTCCTCAGTGCTTTGTGGAATGTGTTCTAAAGGATATTAAACTGGTAAAAAAAATTTTGATGCGCCGATTTTTTTTTTTTTTTGTTAATAGCGATGTATCATCTGTAACGTAGATTGACGACAATGGTCGGCCAATGGAAACCGCATTTGAAATGGCTTTTTCGTCCAAACTGAAGTCCAAAATTTACAATTCAAATTGGGACAGCACGATCAAGACCGCGGTCAGAGAATGCGTTGCAGAAAGTGACAGTAAGCAAAAAATTATTAAAATTAATAACATTAAGTATTATCAAAATATATTTGATTCTTATTCCACTTATTTTTTTTTTAGACTTGCCAGTGCCGCAGATGAAAAATTCCAAGGGCCAAATGTGCAGCACCACGCCATTCACTTACATGTTTTGCTTGCGCAAAAAGTTTACTTTGGTGAGAAGCCTAATTTGACTTTGACTATTTAAAAAAAAAATCATTTTTCTCAGAATTGCCCTGATCTTCACCCTGGTAAATATTGAAATAAAATAATCCTGTCCAAATGAAAAAATATAAAAAATTATTCATAGCTCCTGGTTGCCAGAAGAAAGCCAAAGCCGACTTAGAAGCATGCAATCAAAAAGAAGTCTGGCAGGCTATCAGTCAAGGTGGTCCGTACCCAGGATCCAAGATGAATAATATGCCAAGCGGTGGTGGCATGAACGGAATCGACACGCCACAAGGTCAAATGCCTCAGCCCGGTCAAATGCCGAACGATCAAATGCCGCAGGGCGAAAGTGGCATGGACCCGCCTCCAATGGAAGATCCACCATCTCAGCCTGAAGAACCAGCAGCGGAAGGAGGAGGTGAAGAAGCACAACCGGAGCCAGCAGCCGAACCAGAGATGCCTGCAGAGGAGCCCCCTGCCGAAGAGCCCCAGGCAGCTTCAGAAGACGAGGCTCCACCTCCAGAGGAACCGCCAGCAGAGGAACCTCCGGCCGAAGAGCCCCCAGCAGAGGAGGAATAAAATGTTTGACAAGCACTTTAAATATATTATATAATGATTGTAGAAGTGTCTGAAATTGCTCAAATTTTTAATTCTTTATAATTCCTCTGTTTTAATCAAATTTAGTGCAAACTGTTGTGATAAGAATAACAGGTTAATAATAAACTATTATTTTTATTTTATAAAAAACGCTGATTTTTTTTAATTCACTATAGACTCGAATAGATTTATAACAAAATTATAAGAAAAGTGGTTCTTACTTTGAGATGATCAGGGATTTCTCAACCACAACGTGCAATTCTTCAAGTTCAGCCACTTCTCCTTCCTTGATGCCGAGCTTCGTAACTTCCTTCACAAAATGTTTCACGTCCTGCTGTATCTGCAGTCTGATTTTGTCATCGTCTGAAACACTCTGCCCCACAGACACTGAGGATTGGCCTGAGGTCGAAGACTTGTCTCTGATTTGCTTCAGTTTTCTTAACGAGTCTTCGGTCTTCTGAACCGACGTTAATAATTCTTTAACTGCGACCACATACCTAAATAAAAGTTCTTGCAAAATTAGTTTATTGTTTACAAAGAGAACATTTTATGTTTTATACTTACACGTTGGCAATGTTCTTGACCATTTGCAGGACAATCGTCTTTTTCTCCTGTTCACTAAATTTTGACTTGAAGACAGCAGAGCTGTTTGTTTCATTTACATTTCGTAAAAATTTATCCATGTACACTCCTGCTGAGGAAGGGACGCCTCGATTGGTTCTGTACAATACAAAAAAATTTAATTATGATTTACGGTGATAAGTAATTCAAATCAAAATTACCTTCTATAAATTCTTGGAATGTCTGTTACCGACTTTGTAATTTCCTCATTCACGCTGCTTGAGTCAATTATCTTGGAAACGATTTTCCTCAAAACAGAGCTGATTGTTTGTCTGCATTCTACCAAGTTTTCTAGAGAAAAGAAATTGTGTGCCAGTGCGCTTAAAAGTTAAAGTAACAATCAATCATACTTTCTAATGCGGATGTCAACTTTGACGTCAAAGGATGGATTGCGTCAACAATTTTAGGAATATCACTTGTTTTGCTTGACAAAAGCTGCAAATCAGCATGGAGGATGGACAAAAACTCGATTTTGTTATTTTTTTCAATGGTGTCTTCAGCCCATCCACCAATTCTTGAAAGAAGTTGTAAGGCGAGTTTCCAGAACCTAACCATAAATCATAATTTGTTTTCAACTACCAAAATAAATTAAAAAATACTTGTGCAAGAGTTGCGATAAGTAAACACCAGGCGAAAAGCACTGATTGATGCAATTCCAAGCAACGTTGATTGGGTTAAGCTCAAACGGAGCACCAGTTTCGGAATTGTTGAATTGTTTGCTGTCCACAAGAGCTTTCTCCAAGGCACCAGCAATCTCTTGAAATCTGGCCCGGAAAATAATGTGATAAAACTTTTCCTCAATTACTTTCTTTTTACCTGATTTGATAATACACAATAAGGTTCCATTTTTTGTTAAACTTGGTATAGTCCTCTCTAGCTCGAAACTCTTCGACCCTCTTTTTTGTGAGAAGCTGTGATTCTATTTTGACTAGAAATTTCTGGGACTCTGTAAATTTCTGGAAAAAAAACCCTCAAATATTAACAGTTTCTTGATTCTCACCACAGCATACCAGGTAAAATTCATTTGGGTGTCCAGGTGAAAATAAGTTATTCAACCCGAGCAGTCCGCTGCAAACTTCTGGCCAGAAAGTGTTCATCAAGAAATCAAATTTTCTGATCTCTTTAAACTCGCTGTAAAAAATCAGTTTCAGATTATTCAATTTCAAGCTGATATTAAATTACCTAGTCAGCCCAATCAAAAGGTTCAATGCTGAACTTCTCTCGCTCAAAATTATCAATAGCTTGTTGAATAAATCAGAAGCAGACCGAGCCGACTGCTCGGTAAGAACGGGCCTCAAAACAGGCACCAGGATTTGATTTCTGACGAGTTCTTCCACATGACGATATTGGCCAAGACTTGCATAAATTTTCAGGCAATCTCGAGTTGCTATTCTGTGGTCCTTGTCAACTCCCAATTTGTCACTGATGAGCAACTTTAAAAGAAAATCATCAAAAAGCTTGTAGATTTCCATCTCAAGGTGTTTGTGTCTCTGTGAAAAGAAAATTTTCTCGAATAAATATAAAAATTTTGATTCAATTTTTTTACCTGCAAGAGCTCCTTACTAAGAATGCTGCAGTTATTTTTGCAAACTTCAGACTGGGCCAGCTGGTCAGAAATTCTAACCAAATTGTTGGCTGTGAAAGGAAAAATATTGAAATTAAATAAAAAAAATTTAAAATGTATAAAAAAAACCATCAGATTTTCTGAGAAGTAATTCCATCTTATCCATCAAGTCCAGCAAAGTCCTCAAATTCTTCAGGGACTCTTTTGATTTCATCAGTTCCTCCCTGGTGTCCAGTTGCTGCGTCAGTTCGTCAATGCCTTCGTCTAGACTGCACTTTACTTGCTGTGAAAATTTGTTTGTTTTTTTAACAACTAACAAGGAGGAGTGTTAAAAATGAATACCAAAATCTCTTCCTTGAACTGACACAGAGGAATCCTTAGCTTCAAAATCGACTTGTCCAACCCAATTAAGTTGCTCGAGAGGTTGACAAAGTCAGAGTAATCCTGGTTGATCAGCTCGATCATGGCTGAGCGAAGATCTTTCAGGTATTGGCCCAAATCATCGCGGAGAATTTCAAAATTCGTGCCTCTGCTGTCCAAAAAGTTATCCACAGTGAAGTCATCCTGGCAATTATACATACAATAAATTAACTGGGGTGCCTTAAAATTTTTAGCAAACCTTTTCAAAATCAGCTTTGTCGAAGCACAGTTCTTGGTTGTCAGGAAAGGCCATGATGCAGGAATATAGCAGAAAATATTTAGTTTCAAATTGATCAAAAACTGCATAAATCAGTGCATTTCAAGAAATATTCAAATTGCTGATGCGGCACAGTTGCCACAGTTGTCAGAAAAATATAAACACGGCGGCCACGACCCTTTTCGTCTTTTGTGAACGGAGCTGCCACGATTGTTGGCGGTGGCCGTTTCGGGAACTACTTGATGGCCGCTTAAGATTTTAGTCCTAGCCTTATTCCGACCGTGCACTGCTCGCGCCAGCAGAGATGCTGCATGTGTTTTGATCAGCACGCGTCGAGCCCGAGAACGCCGGGAACACAACGATTCTCAACTGTCCCGAGTGCCCCGTTCTCTTAAAGCAGCCGGCGAATAGGAGTCCCGAAACCTCACAGTTCCAGCCCTTTATCCGTGCGTCGTTGAGAAACGGCCGCGGTCCTCTTCGGCCTGCAGACGAGCATGGACATCGCTTGTTATTGAGGTAAACAACCTGTTTTCTTGATCTTGAGGATATTCGGCAAGTTGCCTCCTTTTCCTGCGCACTGATGCGTTTTATAGCATTAAAATTCAAGCAAAAAATCAGACTATTTCAATTTCATGTAACATATTATGCACACAATAATTATATTGTTTAAAACAATTTTATTTAAAACTTGAATGAAAATTATAAAAAAAAAAATTAACCATAATACATAACTGATTGTTTTTTATTTTTATTTTGCATTTTAATAGCAAATCAAAGCAAACTATAATAGAAATTTAAAATTGTAACTTGTATGTATCTATTGAAAGCAATTGAATTAAAATGGATTCTTTGACTGGTTTTATGCAAAAAATTTGTGGATTTCATAAAAAGAAATTTGGATAACTGTTCATTTTACTCAAGTCATTTTCATGTACAGGTGAAAATATTTTTATTGGTGAAACAAATTAAAAATAAATGATAATAATAAAATGAAATAATAAAATCTCCAGCTCTTTTTACAGGGTTCTTCTGCTAAAAAAATGAACCTGATTTATTTAATTTAGATGATTTTTCGTAGATAATCCAGATAAGATTATACAAATTTAGGATAAATTTCGATAACTGAAGTTACTGAAGTGAAGTTTAAAAAATAAATATTACATATTCATAAGCATCAAATTTCTCCAAAATAATCTTTAACTCAAAATCCACCTAATTAACATTGATCAAAAATATTTTTAAGGAGGTTTTTACGCGCTTTTACTGAAACTGTGCAAAGAAAAACTTGGCTTTAAAGAATGGAATACAAACCAAAATTTTGACTTTTAATTGAGAAAATAATTCTTAAATGATTCAAAATTTATTCTGTTTGTGTCACAAATAAATGAAAAACTCAATCCATCCTTTAAAGCCAAGTTTTATAGCATAGTTTCAGTAAAACCACGTAATAACCCCTTAAAAATTAAGCCCTGTAACTGCTTTAAACTTTACAACACAAACAAAGACATAATACTCTACACTAATTAGGAAAAATCACGCGCACACTAACAACTATGTGAAGAAATGATTTTTTATTGAATCAACGTCATATCATCTCAATTAAAGTTGAAAATTTTTTATTTTGAGTGGGTAATTTGATCTTCAAATTTACATTAAGCTAACATAAGTGGAATAATTTTTTAAATTAAGCTTCCAGGTGGAAATATAACTATCAATTTCTTCATTATTTCCCAAGAGAATTAAACTTTTGCATTATCGAAAGTCTAAATTTGGTAGCAAAATAAACATAAGAAGTTGTTCACTTAACAAAATAAACATAACTCAGACAAAGTTACATAAAAACACAACCACTGGAAGGCTAAAAAACTGAAAAAAAACGTAAACCTCAATGATTGCTAACCATAACCAGCATTTTTAACGATTGCATGAATTGATTTATCATAGGGAGCGTTTCAAACAAATTTGCTCCTTGAAAATGCTTTGTTTGGAAATTTCTGCTGATTAATTTAAACATCAATAGCAAATTTTACTGCGATTGCAATATAAATTTCAGTATAAATATTAAGCTGCAAAAAGAAAATTAACAAATTGATAAACTTAACGATTATTTTCTTATGCATAGCTTTTGAATCAAGTTACCGAATCTTTTATTTCTTTTTGTAAATATTTTTATTTTATGATTGTATTGAAAATGTACTTTTCAGTTCTGTGAAAAAATTTTTCCAGATGCATAATCAACAAAATGCTGCTTATAAATTGTTTTTTCTGCTTGTCTTTTTGAGCCATACAAATTCAAATCTACACAATGTTGTCATTTATTTTTCTCTGTCAAATAAATCCTTGTAGGAAAATTTTAAATTTTTCGGTAACTATTCTATTTTATTGCTTGAAAAACCTGCCATTTCTATATTTAAAAAATACCAAAAAAGATTTAAACTCTTAAACATTAAACCAAATACTGCAATTTGAATCCCTTAAAATTTGAATTGCCCTTGTTAATCTTTAGAAGTTTCCATAATTTGAGCAATATCACTCTCTTCTCTGTATCTTATCAGTTAGCCTGTTATCGCGGTCGTGCTGTTGACAAATTAGTAAGGAGTTTGGTGGGGGAAATTGTATTCGTATCTAGCAGAGTTAGCAGACCTAAATGAGCTCTCCTTAATTTATTTACAAGAATTTTGTTTTATTAATTTCAGTCTTTAAAGGTATTGAAAGCATAATAATGAAATCACTGGACGCTTCATTCAGTGATTAGAATACAGGCCAAACGAATGAATCTTATATTATTTTTTTGTATGTCAGCGCGCTCAACTTTCACGTCGCGAGTTTCACATTTACACACTCGTCCTCGCTCTCTTTTCACAACGGTGAAGTACAGTCGCTACAAAATTTTTGTCCACACGTTCGGAGGGGATGCTTGAACAAGCGAGTTCAGTAATGGCTGCCGGGAAACTTTTTGAGGGTGGGAGAGGGAGGGAGTTGGGGTTGGCATCGACGGAGCGCTTTATTGATCAACAAAGTTAGAAACTACCCATCCACCCCTCTACCGAACCAAAAGCACTAAAAAAATATACATATAGCACTCTCATGAATAAAGTTCCTGAATGGTGAAGTATGACGCAGTTGGAAACTTTTGAAGTCTCAATAGTGTGCTAATCTTGTTAAGTTAAACAGTAAAAGTTGTAGCTTGTAGCATTGCCATGTTTGCGAAATTTGGAGAGGAGTAAAGAGCATTAACTAATGTAACAGTTCAGTTGAAACAACATTAAAGTAATTGTATGGGTACCATCATAATGTCCTAAAGAAAATGTCCTAAATTGAGGTTAAAGACAATGTCCTAACAGAGAATGTCCTAAAGAAAATATCCTAAAGATAATGTCCTAAAAGCTATGATCGCACATTGTCCTAAAGATTTTGTCCTAATTGAATTTAAAGAAAATGTCCTAAATTTCGGAAAATTGGTTGATATATTATAAAAGTTTAGTTTTTTCAACAGGGACTAACATGAACTTCATTCCTTATCAAATGAATTCACTTATGCAGAAAGAATATGATGCTAATTGTCGAGCTTCTCTGTCACATTTCTAACGAAAGTTGATCATATAATTCAAAATATTAAAGTGTATATAAGTTTGAAACAATCATATTATATTCCACAAATACAAATAATTTTTAAAAATAATATTATTACTATAACGTATATTGAAAATAAATTTAACGAATATTTTCAATTAGAATTTTTCAAATTTTTTGTCTTGAAAAAAATTCGAATGATATTTCTAAGTAAACTTTTTCATAGGAAACAAAAATACATTTTCCTGAAGATTTTTACGAAATTCTTTGAAACTATTGTATGGAAGAAAGATTAATAGTTATATTTCTCAACTACCTGTAGAAAAAGCGAAGAAAAAAATATTTAAAAAAAAAATATTACAGTCATTACAAAAGCCTAAAATTACTAAAATTAGTTCAAAAGTCTATAATATATATGTAATTATTATATATTTTCTGATAAAGACTATATATGAAACGTAAAATAATATTTTGAATCAGGATAAATTTTAACACAAAATTACTTGAAAGGATAAATTAAATTTTTTTTGCACATGACACATGACTTGTCATAATTTTCAGGCGTTAGGATATTTTCTGTTAGGACATTTTCAATTCTCACTTTTAGGGCATTTTCTTTGGGATATTTTCTGTAGGACATTTTCTTTAGGATATTTTCCGTTAGGACATTTTCTGTTAGGACATTGTCTTTAGGACATTGTGAGGCACCCCAATTGTATTAGCAATAAAGTTACAAATCCATTTTTGAAGGTTATGGAAAATGAGTTTTATTTGCTTTTTAAACTAAATTTATATTCTCACTTTTGCTACCAAATAAATTTGGCTTTCCTTCATATGAGATATAACAAATTCTCATTCCCTTTTTCAAATATTAACATGCGACTCTGATTAGCTTAGGAAAGTATTTGGATAATAATTCTGATTCCATTGTAAATGAACGTAGACATATTATAGAAAATCTTTAATATCGGTCATCATAATTGAATAATATGTTCTGAAAATTTTCTGAATGTCAATTTATGTTTGTGCGCAACGCCTCAGCCCGTTTATAAGACGTGTCTGCATCTCAAATCTAAAAAAATGATCAGAGACCTTGAACCATCTGGCAGGGCTACGCCTACAGTATTAAATTCATTCCAGTCACCCTTGTGTGTATACTTCAACTTCACTAAAAATAGTTTTTCAGTAATATTTGAGAAACCTCTTTGCACTATCTTGTACATTGTGTAATTCAGGCAAGGTCTACTGTTAACATTAGTTTGCAATTAATACATATTTTTGCTAGGTACATGTTGTCACAATCGCCTAGCAATAAGAGGAATGGCTATTTTTCTTATCTTTAAATAATCAAGTGCTTGTGATTTGAATATTTTAATCTGTATAAAACTACGCAAATGGTAGGTTATTGATAATCAGAAACTGTCAGAAACGTATTTAATTTATCAAAGTCAATTTCAATAATCTGAATCATAAATGGTTGTGATTAACTTAAATGGTAATCTTGAAAAATTTAAACTGTGCTAACTTCAATAATGACTTGTTTGCTTTAACTTAGGAATCCTCAAGATTTCTTAATATCAAGAAGTATAATAATATTTAACTTTCTTATTTGTTACAACATCCGCTGACCGCAAAACTATCAAAGAACGTAGAGTTAACAAAAGGCTAATTTAGCAAAGCTTACTTAATGAAAACTAATTTGAATAAGCATTCTATTTTACGCTCCTTATACATCATCTGTACGTGGCAGTTGAAATTCATAACCGTAGTCCTGTTATCTTTTGATAACGCTACATTATTCGAGAAAGGTCGCGTAATAATTCCACGGTAAAAGAACTTGGAATATAAAACTTGACAGCAGAAGAAAGTAGTGGTGTAGGATATATAGGAGATAGGAGAGCGAGCGTTGGCAGGCTTCACCGCGAGACCTTTCAGTATTGTTATTGTGTGGCAGTGGCAGGAGGGGAATGGAGAAAATTATAATGCGCCGCTTGCCGCTTCGTAGATAATGAGAATCCCGCTGGTTTGAAAGGGCCTTGGCTCGAGTCGGCAGCTGCGGCCCGTGGCTGAATGCGGGCAGGGAGTAGGGAGGCATGCTTTGAAATGTGGCATCTAAAATAGGAGTCGCGGCCAATGGGACTGGCGGCCCAGTCGTTCGTGCCAAACAGGTTGCTATGGCAACCGTGCCAGTTAACACGCCAGGGGCGCCTTGCTTGGCTTGGGTTCGAGCTGAGGTTCCGAGGAGAGGAAAATTCAATTCAAACGTATATATTTATTATGTGTGTTTGTGGAGTGTACTGCGCGCTTGTGCAAACAAATTATAAGCCCTACGCGATACCTTTAATCAACATTTAACATTTTTCGCCTCTCCCCTCCGCGAAACTGAAATGTCATAGCATTTAAGTTATTAGTAGATTGTGTATAGAAAATAACCATAATTCAATTCCTGTATTTTCCCTTAACAAGTCAAAACAATCAATTGTAAAATTACATCATAATCATAATAAAAGCAAAGTGCTATAATTAGATTGATACTTTGATATATAATTAATTCAGTGTTTAAAATCGCATTATTTCGGTTATCTTATCGTACGGACCATATCACTACACTTGATCATTTTCCTCTTTTAGGTTAGCTTTATCTAAGTGTTGCGCATTTTGAGGATAATTATTATTGTTATTAGTAATTAGCAAAGTCTTTTCCTAGATCATAGATAGATTAAGTGCTGCGGTTTCAACCGGCTAGATCTCTTGATGTATTGATAAGCTTAAATAATTCCTACGAAATAAGCTTAATAACCTAGCTGCATATTTGTGCAGAACTAACATGTTGTATGAAAGTAATTTCAACAATTTTTATTATAACTGGTGTATAATTTTGAAAGTAAGGATAAAACATTCGTTTCTCATAACACGAAGTCATTAAAATTCTCAATGCACGAATTCGAGTTTCTCCCGACTCGACAAAACCAAGTCGTGCTGAGCAAGTCCAATTCACTCGAGGGAAACGAGGCAGCAAAGTTCGTCGGCTGCCGACGGGGGGAACGTGGGGAGAGCTAGCGGTAGTGGATCGACCGGGCCGCGCTCGCTCTCTCTTTCTTTTTTCTCCGTTGCCGGAATTTGGAGGGGAGCGCAGTTGCTATGGACATTAATTTCAGTCTCGGCGCCAGCGGGAGGGGGAAGGCTTGGAATGAAAAAAATTTATTCCCCGCTCACGGTGAGTCAACACCGCCTGGCTGAGCAAGTAAACTGTCGGCTAAAGTACAGCTGCGGGGTAAAACATTCAACCACACCTAAACGATCGCTATAACCTCGTCGCTTCGTTAGGAGCGCTGTTTGTGTTGCTAGGCGCGTGGAAACGATTTTGATTGGTTGGCCGATGCCCTCGCCCGGATGCCGACTAACGGAAGGGGTGGGGATTTCCAAGGCCTTTGCTAATTTTATCTGGTTTCACGATCTACGTAGTTGACGTCCGCTTCAACCTTCCACTAGTCGTCCTAACGATACGACGCAATTTTTAGGACGTGGCAGTTTATTTAGTTCGCAGTAGTTGTCTTTGTATATTTGTCTAACACACTGCCACGTGGTCGTGGTGAAAGCTGTCTACAGATTGCTTAGAGCTTTTGAGTAGGTAATACTTAAATTTTACGCCTCCAGTGTCGGAAATTTTTACAATTAACAATATTTTCCATGTTTAAAAGATATCTAGTCTTATTCTCAGAATTTTCCACGCTTTCTGTAGTGATTAAACCACAAACTACATTATTCCACATTCCACATTTAACAGAAGAGAGCTTTGGTCTCATCTCATATTCTCAATTTTATTTAATTTCAAAAATGTAGTCTGATTACATCAGAACAAGTTGAGACTGAAGTATTGTTTATTCTTGAAACAAAATTGTTGGCAGATCAATTCGACCTAATCTAGCAACGTTGCACAATTTTAGCTAGCTTGGTTGAAGCCTTTGTAGGTACATACATGGGTTTCGTTTAGTTAGCATTTATATGTACAGTTTAGAGGTTTCTCTTAATTCTCTTTACTATCGTGAGTAGTACGGCGTTTTTTATGGATATATCCAGAGGTCCACCTGAATAACGATTTTTTAAAACTCGCCTTGAGAGGAAATGACGCAAGATTTTTTTCTACGTTTGAACAGAGCCTCAAAAAATAAGGTCTTCTCTTTTGCTTGTTTCAAAAGCCAAATTTTAATTTGACGTTTCTTTCTCTAACTTTGCTGTTTAAATGTTCAATAAAGTTTACTTATTGCCTTTAAAATTCCCTATCATTGATCTCTCAAAATTAGCCTTTACTTTACTGCGACGGATGTGTTGTTTTTAGTCTCGGGTTTCAGTGTAATTATTTCTAGTGGTGGTGCCGTTTTGTAGTTTCTTTCTGTCAAACAAATTGTTTTTCAAAAATTAAATGCAAAAAATGTGATTGTTCTAATAAAAAATAATGGTTAAAAAAATCAATCCAAAACCACTGAAGCGCTAAATATACATATGTATTCAACCAACCACTACCACAAGCTTTTACACACATGATATTTTTTTCTTAGCTATTGGACTGGCCACCTTCTATGCTACCTGCATTACTTAACGCATAAAATTAAAAATTATCTCTCCGCATGCAAGGTTCATGTGACTGCAGTTTAAGTTATCATGCGAGCCCTCATATCAGTAAAGTTTATTTCCTGTTATGCCATTATACATATCAAGAAATTGTATGTTGTAATCCTCTTTCAAAATGCGGTGGAAAGCCAGGTGCTAGCACGGCAACAAAAAACAAATTTCCCCCCACTATTTATTCTTCCTTAGTAGCTAGGGTATGACTTTTTTTGCTAAAATGTTTGCCGTCTCTGCTGTGAAATGATTTGTTACCATAGTTTTTTTAAAGTGACGATTGCAATCAATTTTGTCTAAAATGAGTTTGCATTTGTTAGCAGGATCCTGATGACACATCAAGTATGAACTCCTTTTTAACAGAATGGCGGAGCCCTTCAATGAAAATTCCACTGGTGAGTGACAAAATATTATGCTATTTAGCTTAGAATTTCATAATTTAATCCCCAATGAAGAAATGCGAATTTTGAAATTCTTAGTATCACTTTTAATTGATCCTTTACAAATAAATTTATTTAGCGTGGGAACTTTGAAACGGAGCGGGCTAAGGGCTCATTATTATATATATTTGAGCCTAAATCTAATTAGTTGATTGCGAAAAAAAAGTATTAAATTTTACATTATAATGCATGGTTATTTGGAAATATTTTTTTTTATCATTAAGCAATAACTTATGTTGTAAAATTTCAAACCTCTTAATTTTTGTAAGAGCAAACCTGAAATAAAACTGGAATACAACAAAATACTTAATTACGCAAATAAGAGACGCTGCACTTTTGCAAAGAGCAAAGTTGCAAATAAAAATTTACTGGCTTGGAATTAATACATTTTTTGTTATGAAATATTTTTATTTTTTGATAATTATAGTTGCAAAGTGTCTTTATTGATTGTATAATTAAATTTTAATTTATTAAGTTCTGCGAAGGCGTGCCTCACAATGTTCTAAAGATCATTTCAAACTCTTATATTTTGAATTATTTGATTGATTATCGTTAGAAAAGTGACAGAGAATAGCATCATTAAATATCTTGAGCGCACCTGCAAAACTACCACTGCTGAATCCCAAGCTTACCCTGACTCTGATTCGTGCTAAGAAAATATTTCTGCTGAAGTGAATTTATTTGATAAAGAATGAAGTTCATGTTAGTCCCTGTCGAAAAACTAAATTTTTATAATCAATCAACCACTTTTCCAAAATTTAGGACATTTTCTTGAAATTCAATTAGGACAAAATTTTTAGGATAATGTGCGACTATAACTTTTAGGACATTATCTTTAGGACATTGTCTTTAACCTCAAATTAGGACATTTTCTTTAAGACATTGTGATGGTACCCGTTCTGAATCAGGTTGATTAAATTAATACATTTCAAAACTTTTTTAATCTGGAAAATTGCAAAAAGTTTTTTGAAGCCAAACAAATATTAGAGAAATCATGGAAACAAATTCTAAATTTCCGGAGCAGCAAATTAAAAAATTGCCGCTTTTTGTCGTGGTGTTGATTATAGGAATTCCTGTTTCCTGCTGTAAAAAAACGTACCAGCACCTGATAATTTCTATTGACCTTCGACGTCCAGGTGCATATGTTGAAAATAATGGTCGCGATTAATGTAATAGTTTGTAAATCAATTCATAAAATTCAAATTACATTCATTTCGTCATAAGGAATTCAGAAGTCATCATTACCTTTCAACTTGATTAGGCTAGAAAAATAGAATATCCGCCCTTTAAACGACGAAAATTGAAAATCTTATTTCATTCTGCTTCAGGAGATTTGAACGAGGCAACGTCGTTGGCTCCGTCGGTGAACGCGACAGAGTCAGCAGAGGCTCAGAGCGTAGAGACCCCAGCAAAACAAGAGCCCACCGAAAACGCCGCACCAGACAGCAAAGGTAATTTTTTCATTTCACAAAAATTCTCAAATATGCATTTTGAAGCTAGGAATTATACAAGAGCCGCAAATGTCAGTGTACGTAATCTCTTTTAAAGCTTTATTGTTTACGCAATTTTATTAACAATATTTGGTTTCACTGGAATGGCAAATGACTGCGCTGCTAAAAATTTTGCAACAATTTTGCCACAAATACGCAGGGAATATTAAATTTTCTTCTAACAAAGTCTTTGATTCCTATTGTTTGTCGTCGTCGCCGCCGAACTCGGCCTCGTACAGCACTTTGAGAATTTGCAGCTTGGCGTAGGCCTTCTGCTTGGGGTTCAGTCTGTGCAGGGTGTGCACGATGCTCTTGCAGAAAAGCATGTCCTCGTCCTCGGCGGTCTCGGGGCGCCGTCGCTTCTCGGACGGCTGCTGGTCGTCACTGCTGCCGTCGTACTTCAGCATGCGCTGCTGTTGGACAAAAAAAATTGGGGTCACTCAGGGTCACTCATTTCCCACCATATGCTCACCAGTTTGGCTATGTTGTTCATGCTGCTGCGGGTCGAAGTGCTTTGTTCGGCGCTCGGACTCGGCTCTTCAAGAGTCGTCTCGACAAGGCGCGAGTGGTCCTCCCCAATGTTGTCATCCTCCACCACCCACTCGTACATCATCGAGTCCTCGTTGTCGTCCTGAGAGTCGCCTTTGGACTCGTTTTTGATATTACTGTACTCGGTCGAGGGCACCTTTCGGGACCTGAAATTGCCATGCCTATTAATAGCATTTTGTCTGTTGGTTTGAATATATTTGTAATTAGTTCAAATGCAAGGTCTGGCGTAGATTTGATATTTACCCCTCTCTGTGGCTGATGAAGCTCCAGAGGAAGTTCATGTGCTCCACTAAAGGCCATGGTTTGAAGGGTTTGCCGGTGTAGTCAGGGCTGTTGGAGAGGATGGCTGCTTTTTTCTCACGGGTGAATCTGTCTCTCAGTGATCTCCAGCGGGTTTTCACATCTTGAACTGCAAATGGAAAATGATTAATTAAAGTGTGTAAAGTGAGATGAATTAGAGAGGGTCTTTAAATTCTCTGTTGAAAGCTGAGATAAAAGAATAAATTTTGCAATTTTTCTTAAATCAACGCATTACAAAAAAATTAAATAATTATATAAAATAAAAATATTCATAAAGGTTTAAAAATTTTACTTTTTTTATTAAAAAAATTTAATATTTAGTAAACAAGTTCAATTTATTTTTTAATTAAATTTTGAAATCTCTTTTAAAAATTTGCAGATCTAGCAAAATATCCCCGAAACATTTGATAAAAATTTGAATTATTCGTGATAAAAAAACGCGAGCCTTCCGCTTGAAAATGACTGCGTCATGAAATTCAACGCCGAGGAAGCGACATTAGTGCTGTACGTGCAATGCTATTTCCAATGAACTGGCGGCGCGCGCGCAGTTGAAATATTGCGAGTATGACATTCACGCATCACACAACATAAAATAAACGCGCTCCGTTTGTTTTGATGCGGGAGAGGCAACGAAGAAGACTATTACTGCAAAAAGCACGTGGATCTGTGCACACCGCTAGCACCGCGCTCTAAATTATCGATCTTGGGCTTACAAAAGAAAAATGCAAAACGATTAACGGAAAACCCTAATGACTGCGAAAATTAAAAAAAAAAAAAATCAAATTGGTAAATTTAAAAAATGATTCGGTTTGGCTCGGACTTTGACGCACCAGGGGTGCTGAGGTTGTTGGCAATTTCGGTCCAAATGGTCTCTTTGAGGACGGTGTCCTTGTAGTTGGGTCTGCGGGTGTCGTAGAGGTCGGGGAACTCCTTGACCAGGTTGATGAGCTTGATGTCGCTCGACATTTTTCTACGTCCGTCCAGCGCCGCGCTACGCTCGATACTGAGGAGGCGTCGCGGCGCAGCAGGCGGTGGAGGCTCCGCCGGCTGCTATTGCCAGCTCGTGCATTGCACGACGCGGCCGTGAGCGCCGTGGCAAACGGTGCGCCCGCGCCGCGATTCTGGCATCGTCGCAAGCTATGGGCGTAAACGCGCCTCGATCGCGTGTCGGCACGGCGCTCACGAACCCGGCGCCCGCCGCAGCCGCGCCGCAACGTCGCTCTTTCGCTGCCTCGTTCGTTCGTTCGCTCCCTCGCTATAGCTCGCTGAAGGAAAAAAACGAGCCGACGTGCTTGCTTCGTTGCGGGCCACGGCGCGGATGGGAATTTTTATTTTTTCCTCTCTCCGCGCTCGCCTTATGTGTTCACTTATGTTAGGCTCAAGCGTCGTTTTTCTTCCTCGATATGAAAACATAAGCGATGATTTTAAATTTCACGAAAAAAAAGAAAACATTCAATTTTATCTGGATTTTTATGTCGTAGAAAGAAACTAATTAAAAGGCTTTTAAATTAAATTATTAAACAGCAGCTATAATATTAAGAATAGTGTTTGACGTGGTAAATCTGAAAATAAAAATAAGAGATGGAAAAAGGTGTTTCCTAGAAAACTTCATTGTTGGAAATAAATCTGAAATCTGAAATAAGTGCACGTCAAAATTACGATGTAAATTATTAAAAATCCCATTTTTAAAAAATTCTCCCGTCATTCACTTCTTTTTTTTGCAAATTCTTAAATTTTTTTATTTTCTTTTTCTAAAATCACGCAAGCAATCTTTAAAAGAATAATATGAACCTAAAAATGCCCTAAAAATATTTTAATTTTTTACTTTAAGGTGATAAACGCATGAAAAAAATTGTGACTAAATGACACAAAAGGATGGATTGCGTAAGAAGATTGCATTGAAATATCTCCATACTCAATGCATAATAATTATAATAATAATATATTGCACCGGGCTTATCCTTTTTGATTTGTTAATAGGGCGATTGAATAGTTTTAGCGTTTTGTGAGAGAAAATACAAACAAATAATTTACAAGAATTTTTACTTAAAATCCATTTTTATATTTTGCAACATCAGTGTGAGACAATAATTTTTTCTAAAAAATTAAAAAAATTCTTAACATTCTGGAACAGTGGTATACTTACATAACACGTTTTTGCGATCGCTTATCAAGGTCACTAAGGCCAGACACTGCCCACTTAAGACCGATAATTGTTGACTTGGCAGGAAATGATTTTGATAAACTTAAGGGACCTTTGACTTTGACATTATGATTGCCCTTTCTTTTTGGAACTTTTCTAAATCAAAATTTATTTAAAGATTCAATATTTTTGTGGCCAAATTGTTGCAAGCAGCGCAAAATTGTTTAAATTGATTACTTAACTTTTTTATATGTTTAACCTTTCTGGTATCTGACTCTCTCAGCTAAATGCATGGTGAATTTGGGTGGTTTTTGTTACGGTCCTTGTCCGCTCACACAAACCTATATAGTTATGCATTAATTTATCACAATTTAATGTGGGATTCCTCTTGAACGTCTTTCTATTTGTTATAGTTCTTGTCAGATATCCAGCAAAGGAAACGCGATTTTTCGCTGCTATTGGTCTGGCTAGAATCAGAAAGTTGCCTTTGAAGCAGCGCAATTCAGGTATACTTCCCATTTTGCTTTTAACACCACCAATTGCTTTTGGTTCTTAGTGCATGGTTCTTACTTTTGCTTTTTTCATTGTACAGACGAATCTGGTCGAAAGACTCGGTCGGCTATAAAACAGCTTAGAAAGCTTAGGCCCCAAGTGCATACCATTCTAGGTTCGTATACATAATGTTTATGAAATTTTATAATTTTTGATTAATTAAAAAAATTTGTGTAATTAAATCTTTTGCTTTGTTTTGTTTAGATGCTGAAAATTCTCATCCTGCGGAAGAGTTAATTGAGCCGGTCAAGGTTAAGGAAGAGGTTTTGGAGGTTAAATGCAACACTTGCTGCCAGGTTTTCGTTACGATTGGTCAGCTCAGCCAGCACATCAAGGACGTGCACTGGGTTACGAAACGGTGCAAGACCTGTAAGATTGAAAAGTTTGACTCGTGGACGGAATTCCAAAACCATCACCTGCAACACCACCTGCGAAGCTGTTTTGTGCGACTGGAAAGACTTGTCGGCCCGGAATACGAAATTGTCGAACAGGTGGCCAGCAAGGTTGTCGCCAAAAAGAGCACCACCCCTATCCGCGAGCCAATCAAACTCACCCTCCGGCTCACAAACTGCCGCAAAGCCAAAGCTGCGGAAGAACGGTTTGAGCTGGAGCGGCGTGCGTCCGAGGAGGCTGCAGTGTCGGGGCTGCAGAAGTTGGACAAGGCAATGGAAGGACTGCATCAGGTGTCGGACGTGGTCAACAATAGTAGAACGCAACCTTCACCTGCAGTCTCACTAGGGGCTAGTAGCCCTGGCAGCTTTACCTTAAGGTAAATTAAAGAAATAAAAACAATAATTCTTTAAATTAAAGTTTTTTGCTCAAAACAAGAAGTTGGGTAATTTCACATTTTTTTCAAAAATAAATTTTTTTATGTTATTAAATTTAGATTTATGAGGAAGTCGTATTGTTATTTAATTTTATTCTTTTATTCCAGATACGACAGTTCTCCTGCGTCAACAGGAGCGTCCTCCCCAGCGCACCAGACAACAGTGCACCACCCCCAAATTTCAGTTCGTAGTGCTGCATCTCTTATGAGCGAATCTGTTCTCCGAAACATTTTGTGTGAAAAAGACGCTTCAATTCCCACGCAGGGCACTGCCCAGGAGCCGGAGTTTGTGTCCGTCGAGAGACTGTCCTCGATCCTGACGCCCCCGAACTCTACAACCCCCTCTGTTGCGTCCCCACCTGCTCCGGCAGCTCAACCAACTTCGGTGATCCAGCAACCCATTATGCAACAGCAGCTTCCACAACAACAGATCGTCAACCAAGTGCCTGTGACCCAACACTTGGTCCTGGCGCCTCCGATGCAAGCCACACAGATGCTGACCACTTTGGTGCAAAACCAGCAGCAGCCTGCCCAAATGCCCCTGCAGCAGATGGCGGCCATGCGGAACAATTTTGTGCCGGTGGTGATGCAGCCCCAGCAGTTTCAGACTTACAGTTGCAGTGTTTGTCAGTACCAGGCCAAGAGTGCGGAGGAGCTGGACGGACACAAAACCCTCCACGGACACTACCGCTGCTCCCTCTGCCTCAAGGTTTTCAAGAGCAGGGTGGAGTTAAACTTGCACTGCAACACCATCCACAGAAATGTGCAGCCCCCAACGGCCAACCCTCCCAGTTATCAGCAACACATGCAGCACAATGGCCAGCAGCAGCAGTGGAACGGGCAAATGATTCAACAGCAACAAAATCAACAATATCAGCAACAGGTAATATAAATTAATAATATTTTCAAATTGACAAATTTATATTTTTAATTTTTATTCACATATCTACCATATCCATTCAAAAATTGGAAAAAAATTAAGCGTATATTTAATTTATTTATTTAGTTGTTTTTGTGTTATTGTTTATTATTTCTTCAGAATGGAAAAATTAAATTGTAGGACACTATTTTCAGAAAATATTAATTTATTGATCTACTATTTTTAGATCAGAATTATAAAAAATTTCTACTTGAGAATTCAGAATTGTTCAGAATAATTATCATCGGCAGGCATTTTGACATGTTCATATTAAGTTCTTATCTAATATTTAATTCTCATATTATTTAAAATTAGAGGAAAAATGGGGGAATTCTATAGGTGCGCTTATCAAGTAGAGATATCATGGTGTAAAATGCCGCCGGACCGGAAGTTTTAGCTTTTGGTGGAGTGGCACAACACAGTCCAGTGATAACTTTGGCGTTGGTCTGTGCGTGTTCGTGTTGAAATTTGACGATTCCTAACAGCCAACGTGTCTTGATGTGTCAGGATTTTCATGAATGCAAAAGTATAAAAGGTATTTTACAAACCTGCCTATGCTGTTCAATTTTATTTTCAAATGATTCTTTGGTATGCAGCAAAATGATAAATTAGATCAATTATATAAATTGGTTTTTTAATAGAATAATATATAGAAGATTATTTATTTTGTCCTAATTTTCTCACTTTCATTGATATTAGTTTTTTTAGCTCAATTTTATTTTTGCTAATATAACTAATATGAAAGATAGTAATGTGAACCCCGCCATCAACAGATGCTTGCTTCAGATATGAGATAACTGAGTATGTAGAGCAAGTCTTAATTATTCTTGGTTATGGTTGGACTTTCGACTTTCCAACAAAAAGCAAAGCAGCCGCTGCCAAAGCCGTAGTTCCCATTATTCTCCATCTCTTTTGGCTGTAGAGGGAGGGAGGATTGGATTACTCCCAGCATTTTAGAATTTCATAAAAACACAACACATGCTTGTGCTGTCATGGAATCTGACGAAACAGGAGAGAAAAATCGCACCACAATACTGAATTAGTCGCCGCAGAAGTCCAAAGTGTCGCTTCTGTCACAGTTTGGCAGTGCGGCATTGGCGCTGGAGCAAAACGTGCGTTGGCGATTTCCGTGAGAATGTTTATAGTTTTTGGATCAGAGTTCATCGTTCATCTGACCCACGTCGCTCTCTAACATCGAATAAAAAAGCAGACCTTGTAATCTTGCACGCCAAATTCTTATGTTCAGTTTTTCGCTTGAAATTTTAGTCCACAATGGCTGGAACACTGGAAAAAATGAGAAAGAAATCATCGAGAATTCGTCTGATTGCACTTAAAAAGAAAGGGCTGCTGGTGATCCCCATTAATAGGGGAAAAATAATTGGTAGCCATAGTGAGGTGAAGGAGGAGGTAAATTGTTTATTTTTTTCAGCGAGTGATTTACAAAAAAAAACCAGTCTGTTAAATTTAAAACAAAATTAGTCAATAACTTTAAGTAATGTTTAGCTTAGAGTTAATGCGATATTTCATGTAAGTGATTTTACTCGGAATTTCTTTTTTGGTTTGAATTAATTGTCAGATATTAACCAGAAATTATGACATTGACTAAAACAAAGCTTTCTTTACAACCCACACTGCAGTTTTTTATTGCACTAGGAAAATAGAAAAATAAACCAAAATTTGTAACATGATTAAATTGGAATGTTATTGTTTAAAGTTTATTTAAATTGTAAAGTTATTAAATTTCAATTTTGCTTCTTTTGTTTTAGCAGCAAGCCCAGCAGCAGTTTGTTATCCAGCAACAACAGCAGCAACACCTGCAACAGCAACAACAACTTCAACAGCAAAATCAGCAGATTTTCCAACAGCAAATTCAGCAGCAACAACTCCAGCAGCAGCAAAAACAGATTCAACAGCAACAACTGCAAAACCTGCAGCATCAGCAACAACTGCAGCAACAACATCAAATTCGTATGCAGCCACACGGGATGATGCAGCAAAACATGCAGCAGCGGATGGTTTTGCAGCCGAGAGGCGTCCGTCAACCTGCAGTCCGAGCCCGGGCGCGTTTCCCGTACCAGGCAAACACACAGACCAGGCCTCCGTTGCCCCACTTGATGCCGGCAAAGCGGCCGGCGGCTCCAGCAACTGTCCAGCAGGGCGTTCCTCCTGCCAAGAAGACGCCCGACCTAGCCATTCCCTCCGAGCAGCCTGACGACTGCCAAATTATTGCTGTCCAGAGAGGCGGAGACGGCGTGCCTCAAATTACAAGTGTCCAGGGCGCGGCCTCGTTGGCCACCAAGACTTCTATGAATGCAGCCTCTAGTCTGCTGAGCAATACGGACATCTCAGTTTCCATCCAGCCGATGGAAAAGTCAAAGGACAAACCACAGCCAGATGTAAGGGAATTTTATGTTATTTGAAAATGTTAAAAGAAAATTATCTTTAATTTAAAAGAATCACAGAAATAATTTCTTTCCCACTGATTTTGTCATAATTTATCCTACCTTTTAACTATTAAATGCTACAAAGAAGTAAAAATTATTATTTTATTAAAAATTTTGGAGTGATCATTTTGCATAATAAATTCCTTTAAACTTTCCTGCAACAAACTCAGAATATTACCCAGAAAACTCATAATGAAATCTTTCCGATCAATTTTTAATAAATAATAATTTCAATTTCTTTTTTCTTCAGGTGGTTGCTGATATTTTGAAGGACCGAGGGATCACAGTGGTCTCAGCTATTCGTGAGAAGAGCAGTACTGAATCAACTACTGAGAAGCCTGACTCAAATGGAATGATGGACCAAATTCCTGAGGCCCTGAAGAACAACTCATCCATCTACATCACTCCCACCCCCAAAGCAAACGGGGGTGCCAAACCGACTGACATGGCAGCACCGCCAGTTCCTGCTGCCCAGGCGTCTCCAGTCGAACGACCTGCCAGGCCTCCGACTGTGGACCTCACTGCCGAGTCAATGAGGACCCAAGCTGCTCAAGCAGGTCCTTCTACTGCAGCGTCTGCCACTCAAGCTCGAAGACCGTCTGTGCACACATGTCAATTATGCAGCAAGACTTTTTCGACCCCCTCTGCCTTGAACATCCACATTGGAATGGTTCATTCATCTAACTCTGCTGAAAAAAGTGTTCAGAGGTTTGTTTACTTTTTATTTCAAGTAGATAAATTAATGAAAATTCCAATTAATCCCTAGAAAATTTTGTTAATCTAATATTAAATTTACAGATGTTCCCTTTGCAACGCTCAATTCCAAACTGCAGCTTCTCTCCAGATGCATATGAAGCAGATGCACAAATCCACCAGTCCTGGTCCGGCCGAGCTGGCGATCCCTGTGGTCAACATGCAAGACCCTGCGGTTGTGGCCAAACTCGCTTCCATTGGAATTAAACACTTCATTCCCCTGCCAGGTGCAAATCCTGCCTCCGGCATGTTCAGCATCCCCGTCATCTCTGCCGAAGCGGCCCTCAGGAATACCAACACCTACAACCTAAATGCTATTGGTGCTTCGTCCATCCTGAACTTAGGACCGCTGCGAATGCTCCCCCCTCGTTAAAATCGAATCTCAACTTTGTCAAATTATACTCTGTGACCTTATGTCAGTGCAGACTGATGCATATGTTTAAAAAGTAAACTGCAATTTCAGTTTGCATCATTTCAGTTTATTCTCTTGCTGACTGAATACTTCTTGTACCATCTTTGTTTATTTAATTTCAATATTTCTGGGAACAATAACGTCACTCAAAATTGTGTCTGATGTCTGACCATGAGCAATACATGGCACCTATGTAAATTTTTATTCGCACCTTGTGATGTGTGATAAAAATTCAATTATAATAGTAATTGAACTCAATTGAAATTAATGATTCATTTCTTTTAATTTTAAAATTTAACTAATGAATTCTCTTATGTTATCTCAAATGGAACAAACTTTAACATTGATTGAAGATTATTAAGTCATATAAAAATGATAACATTTAAAAGTTTGAAAAAGTGAATTGAGAACTGAGAAAATTTGGTTTCACGACAGACCTGCACAGTCCCGTTATTGCCCCTCTGTAAAACTTGCACGGAGCTGCGGTGAGCCTTCTTCTAAAGACAGCGTACTGATTGATTTAAATAGAATTTTTCACAACATAAGTGATTTATCTTACAATTAATAACTTTGTAATGAAAGAGTATTATATTGAGAAAATTTGTCGAGTTTCACTTGCAACAGATTTAGTGATGGAGGTACAATTATTATAGGAATAGTTGTATCAAGCTGTTCAAATACTAATTATTATCAATTTATTTTATACTTGTGATGCTTCCAAAGTGCTGCATATAACATAAATTTCTACAATAAAACACAAACATTCAATTGAATGAGAATCCTTTATTCATATCAAAATCCAGAGGTTTACACAATGTTACAAAAAAAAATTATAATTTAAATTTAATAAAAAATTTCATGAGATAATTTCATTTGTTTTTAATTAATTTGACTGAAGAAAATAGTTTCTTTTGAAGACGATAGAGGCAACTTTTTAACTCCAACTTTTGTATTGAATTATCGAGAACAAATCGATAGGAAGAATGAGTAATTGCAGGCAAACATTCCGCACCTATTATCATAAATCTTGGAATCACAGGTGTCCAAGCTCAAGCAAGATCAACGCAATCTTGACCAGTTTGACTGATAAGAGATTGACTGCCAATGAACAACCAAGTGGCGCGTGTGTGACAGGTGCTCGCTGAAGCGTTTTATCTTGGCTAAGCAACACCTGTGGGCACCTGCAACAAATGAAATTCACATCTGGTGCGACTTGATTGAGCTTTTGGTTATTAAGAATCAACATCAAATTAGCCAATGAGAGGAAATTATCATCAATGATCGCTTGCATACAATTTAATTAAAAACCATGACGGAATTAAAAAACTTAATTATGGAAATTTTTCAATATTCACACATGATGAAATGGTTTTACTGCCAATATTAATTTAAATAATTATTGTACTTTTATATAATATTTAAAGTAAATAAATAAAACTAGATTTTTTCGCGGATGTGGTTAGGAAATAATATGCCCCATAAAAATTTGGAGTAAAGTGCAATGGCCAATTACAATGAGACAAAGCGAGAGCGCCTCTTCAATAGGATGTCCAATAGAAATTTTGTTGAAAGCGATAAGAGGTGATGCGATCACCTTGAGTGATTAATCATACACCCGCGGTTTCAGCCTTCCATAATCTATTCAAACGAACATACGTTAATCACAACGGGCGTAGTCTTATCTACCTTTTCTACAGTCGTGGGTCCTCGCAAATAGGGACACAATACGTCCACAAGTCGTCTGTTAACCATGGCTCATCACAAAGGTTGGGCTTTTGCTTCAATTGCAATTGGTTTCCTTGTTTGTCAACTCGAATTTAAGGTAAGTTTTTCTCAACAACTTTTTTACAATTTGAATAATGGAAATGGACATTTTTGTGTGTTATATTTTGCTTATATATATGACTTACGTAAGCTTATAAAATGTTTTTTTACTACAAAAAGCAATTGCAATTTTCATAAAATGATAACTTTATTACAAAGTTAGTTGAAAGGTTATTTTTTAAATTATAAATAAAAACTTTCTAACATAAATAAGTTTTAACTGTAGCTCTTATGAAGTTGTACCTAGAAATGGAAAAAATAAAATAAATATGAATTAAGAATTCTTTCTTAAAAATATTTTTAGAATAAAAAATTAAATTGTCGTTTCCCTTATGAACTAAAACATTATGTGGATATTTTTTGTACAGCAACATTAATAAACAATCTGAAATTTATAAAATGGAAAATTAATTGAAAATTTTTGATCTAAATTATTTGATAGGGAGCTTATGCACAGGAAGAAGGTCACTGCATTTGGTATGAACAATGCATAAGCGATACAAAGTACGACGAAAAAAATTGTTTCTATAACGGTTCTGCAAAGCCCGTGGAATCCGCAGAGGGTTTAGAAATTCTACGAAGTCGATGTCCACATTTCATAAATGAGGGTAAATACAATTTAAAGACCTGACTTTTATTGCTAAAAAATTTAATTTGTGTCATAATTATAGATGGAACTGCCGAGACTTGCTGCGATTTAAAACAAATGAAATCGATGGACGAGAGCATCCAGAAAGCGGCCGGTCTGCTCCTCAGGTGTCCGTCGTGCTACAGAAATCTCCTGCAGCAGATTTGCGCGTTTTCCTGCGGTCGCAACCAGAGCGAGTATATAAAAATCGTCGACCAACGACCGATCGCTGGAGGTAGGAGATTAAATTAATTTTAATTGAATGAGAAAATAAAAAATTATCAAATATCCAGACAAAATAGCCATTTACGAGATTGACATTTATCTCACAAGTCGCTACATGAACGAAACTTACGAGGCGTGCAGCGAGGTCATCATCCCTAGCAGTGGGCAACTAGCTTTGGACGCCGCGTGTGGCACTTGGGGATCTAAACAATGCACTCCGCAAAGGTTGCTTTTTGGTTTCAAATTTACTTTTTAAAGAATGGAAATTAAATTACAAAAATGGTTTTTTATTGAGATGAATTTCCAGAATGTTTGACTTTTTGGGTGATCACACAAATAATCCTTACGTGCCTTTCCAAATGAATTACATCCCCACGGAAGAACCCTTTGACGAGTACACTCCCCTGGACCCTTACACCACTCGCTGCAGTGAACCTTTTAATGTAAAAATTCAATTTTTAATTTTTCATTGAATTTATTTAAAGTTTTATAAACAATAGGACGATTCGTGGCCGTGTAGTTGTGTAGACTGTTCGGAATCGTGTCCTGCTGCACCTCCACCTCCTCCTCCGGTAGAACCATGCATGGTTGGTGAAGTGACCTGCAGCACTTTTTCTGCTATAATTATTTTCAGCGTCGTCTCCGTGGCTGCGGCAGTTTGCATTACGTACCTGAAGTACAGGAAAAGGAAAAGAGCCTATTCTAATGGTAAGAGTGAGATACTTTCAGTTAATGAGGTTATCATAATTTTAAAGCAAAGTTAAATTAAAATTTAGCTATCACGTCTTTTAATATTAAAATATTATTTTTAGATTTGTCCCTTCTTATTGTTATTTTTGTTTTATAAAACTTTTAAGGTACAGATTCAGCAAAGTTTTCTTGAATAATTATTTTCTCTAGTTGTTATTTTATTGGGAATTTTTTGTCCTTTTCTCCTTTGACTTTTTAATATTTTATTTCTATTCGCACTAAGAAACAAAATAATCTTTTTTTTTTTAATTTTTTAACATTTCGTGAGCTATCAAGAAAGCCGCGTTGAGGAGTATTAGAGAGATCATTTGCAATTTTCTTGATCTAAAAAATATTTTATCCACAAACTTATAATTATATATTATTTAAGTCAAATCAAAGTTATATAACTGATTCTTCACTTTGCCTTTTTTTTATCAATCTCTGAACATTAATGTCATTAATCTGATATAATTATAATACACAATGGGATTTAGTAAGATTAATCATTCACTTCTCCCACAATCTCTTCTCGCTCCTCAAATATTTGCAAAACAAGTAAATTCTGAAGCAAAAATCTCTCTGTTAATTAAATCAGATACAACGGAAACAGCGAGCTCCACCGAGGGCGACGACGCTCTCAAATCGATGCACAACGCCGGCGACAAAATGACTGAATTCCTCGAGAGAGCCTTTTTCCAATTAGGAATGTGTGAGTTTCTCCAATTAATTATTTAATCCGCTCATCGACACCTTCTGTTAAGTTTGCGGTCGCCATCCGTCGATCGTGCTTGGCTGCGGCGCCGTTTTCGTGCTTGTGCTTCTGCAGGGCATCTTCATTCTTGAGGTCACGACGGACCCGGTGAAAATTTGGGCTTCGCCGACCAGCAGATCGAGACAGGAGAAGGACTTTTTCGACTCGCGATTCAGGCCTTTCTATCGAACGGAGCAAATTTTCTTCAAGGCAGTCAATATGGATGATGTAACAATTTATTTTATATTTTAAATAAATATTCATATTTCATCATATAAAATTTATGCAGGTTTTTCACGAAACTGCGGATGGTGAGGTGATTTTTGGGCCAGTTTTCAACAAAACGTTTTTAGAGGTCGTTTTCAAACTTCAGGAGGAAATCCAACAGGTATTTTTCTTTTAACACTAAAAAAATTTTTTTCTTTTAGTTTTTTTTATAATTATTATAATTTTATTTAATTTTCATTTAAAAAAGGTATGTTTCCATATTTCCAACAAATAGGTTTAAAAGGCTCCAATCACTAATTTTGTATCATATTTTCCTTAAATTTTATGCAAATAATCTTACAAACATTTTTTATTATTAACAGTTGGGTGAAGACATAAACGGTGCGCCATTGCTCAAGGACGTTTGCAATGCACCGATGACCAACGCGTTCACCGGACCACGTGTTGTGGAGCAGTGCCTGATACAGAGCGTCTTTGGCTTTTTCAACAACAGCTGGACAAAATTCAACGAGGTCAAACCGGGCCCAGAGAACACGAATTTGACCTATCTCGATCACATACAAAGTTGCATAGGGTACGTAGAACACATTTTTTCTCATCTATTTTTTTAAATGAGGCTAAATGCGTAAGGAAAATATAAAGGCACTTGTTTGCGGCGGCTCATACAAAAACAGATCGATTCAGGTTTTAGCGCCTGGCTTAGAGAAACTATGCAACTGGCGCAACACAATGGTCGCGCCGGTTTCATATCTTAATGAGCACCTTGCTTAACGAGGTCACAGAGCTGTACATACCAGGTCAAATAATTAACGAGATTCTCTAGAGAAACATCAAGGAAAATGTGGAAAAGGACTGATTTAGAGAGATGAAATATGAAAATAATTATTTAGAGGACTTTCTCAATTTAGACAAAATTATTGGGTTTTTTTCCAAAATTTAATGAGGAATTTTCTAAAAGTGAAATGTTGATAGCAGTAGGATTTTTTTATGGAATATCAGAGTTTATTTAATTAATAATTCAGGAAATATAATTAAATAAATTTTTTTATTTTTAATATAAATAAAATTTCTTAAATTAATTCAAATTCCTTTTTAGAAATCCGTACAATCCAGTTTGTTTCGCACCCTACAACGGCCCAATTTTGCCATCGGTAGGTCTGGGTGGCTACCTGCGTCCCGGCGAGTTGTCCGGCGATGCCAACGACATGATCAAGGCTAAAGCATTGGTGCTCACCATCCTGGTGGACAATTATATTGAAGGGGACAAAGTTGCGCCCGCCTTCGAGTGGGAGAAGAATTTCATCGCGTTCATGCAGAAGTGGGAAAAGGAAAGCAAACCAGAATTTATGGAGATCGCCTTCAACTCGGAAAGGTCCATCGAGGACGAGTTGGACAGGACGTCGAAAGCTGAGGCGTACACGGTGCTCATCAGCTATGCTGTCATGTTTTTCTACATTTCAATCGCACTAGGACACATTAGAAGCATCAAAACACTTGTGGTGAGAAACAACTGGAAATAATAGTAATAAATTACATAGGATTTTTTAAGCAAGTAAAGATTTTTAAATCAAATAATTGAAATAATTATAATTGAGGTATTATAAATTTTAATAAATAGAATATTATTATCCTTTACCTAGTTGTTTAGTGGAGAGGACACTTAAAAAGTATTTTTACTTCTTTACTGTCTGAATTCATAATTTTTAAATTTTCAACAATTAATTAATTTAACAATTATTAATCAATTAAACCAATAAAAATATCCAAAATTTTAATTAATCCACAATTTAAATTTTTCCAGATCGATTCCAAAGTGACGTTGGCCGTTGGCGGAATTTTGGTTGTCTTGATTTCCGTCGCCTGTTCACTGGGAATTTTCGGATACGCAGGCATTCCCACCACCTTATTGGTTGTTGAGGTACGTTTACAAATTTTTTGCTTGATAAAAAATTAAAAAATTTCCTGCAGGTGATTCCATTTTTAGTGTTGGCTGTCGGGGTGGACAACATTTTCATCTTGGTGCAAAAGGTGCAGCGCGAACCGATTCCGAAGAACAGCAAAGAGCCGGCCGAGCTGATGGTGGGTCGCGCCCTGGGCAACGTGGGCCCTTCAATGCTGCTGACGAGCGTCTCTGAAATAACCTGTTTCTTTCTCGGTGAGCAAAGTTAGAATGTCCCTGCGCAAGCCGCTTTTCGCTTCGAAATTACTTTTTGCGTCAATCAGCGGGTCGGTAATTACTTTTTCCAGGCGCGCTCTCAGAAATGCCTGCCGTGAACACCTTTTCCCTTTACGCCGGTTGCGCTTTGCTGATCGATTTCATTCTGCAAATCACCTGCTTCGTCAGTCTCCTCGTTTTGGATACGAAACGACAAATGGTATGTAGTTAAATTAAAGAAAAATTTAAAAATTAATATTGTACTTGAACGCAAATCAGTCAAATCGCGTGGACGTTTTGTGCTGCTTCAAACCTAACCCAAAGAAAAGCTCAGGTGTTCCGCCTCAAAGCGAAAGCAGGGGACTCCTCTATAAATTCTTCAACAAAATCTATGCACCGTTTTTGATGAAGGAACCGGTGCGCCTTGGGGTTTTGCTGCTTTTCTTTGCCTGGATCTGCACGTCCATTGCAGTTGTTCCTGTCATCACTCCGGGCCTGGACCAGGAGTTGTCCATGCCCGAGGACTCATTTGTACTTAAATATTTCCAAGTAAGTTAAAATTTATTAATAATTATGAGAGTCATTCGTCTTTATTTATAAGCTCAGTAAATATTTATATTTTGGTAAAGTGAGCCAATAAAGATAGAAGAAGTTCGAGAAGTAAATTCTAATGATTAATTAATTTTACCATTAAAAAAATTTGGAGATAGTATTTCATGTCTCAATAATTTTTTCCCTCAGTATATGAAAGATCTGCTCGCGGTCGGTCCACCTGTGTATTTTGTAGTGAAGGCCGGGCCAAACTACAGCTCGCCGTTCGTCCAAGATGCAATGTGCGGCGGACAAAGGTGTCGCTCCGACTCGGTTTTCACTGAGCTCTTCGCCGCTACCCGCATCCCCAAAGAGTACGAATTTATCTCAGATTTTTTGATCAAACCTCGGAATTAAAAAATAAATCAACAGCACTTACTTAGTAAATGCGCCATCCAGTTGGTTGGACGACTATTTTGACTGGACGCTGGTCGAGGGCTGCTGCAAATACTTCGCTCTGAACGACTCCTTTTGCCCACACAATTGTGAGTATCAATTAGGGATGGTAAAACTAATAGCTTTGAAAATTAATTCAAATGTGTCAATATAGTCCATTATATAAATAATATCACCTATTTAGAAATTTTTCACCTTTAATCACCAGTCATTTTAAAACATTAAATGTTAACCATGCCTAAAAAAAAGTACCCTAGATTTCAATCTTTTTACCTAAAATAAAACAATTTTAAGTAAAAAAATAACCCATTTTGCAAAAAGAGTTCACAAATTTTTCCCAAGCTTAGCTTGGGAAAAAAGAATACGCAGCCATTATTTTCACACGGTCGGCCGACCACGTGAAAAATGGTTCCGGGATCAGGGCAAATCTCTTTACTCGAGATTTTTACTTTGCAACGGATGTCTATAGATTTATGACCGCCGCACAAAGGTTGCTTTTCTCTGTCTCTCTCAAGAAAAGTAAAAAATAAATTGTCTTTTGCCCTTTTCTCTCACTCCAAATCCTTTGTATTTAACTGCTTTTTTGTCTCTCTTGTTATCCCAGATGGAATCCCACAAGGGTGCACCGAGTGCGAAATCAGCTTCCGCAACGACGGAATTCGCCCTGTCGTGCCAGACTTTGAAAAGTACATTTCCTTCTTCTTGCAAGACAACCCAGACAGCAGCTGCGCCAAAGGAGGTCGCGCTGCCTACGCACAGGTACATTCTTCTTGACAGGGTGCCTTTTCTACACATATGTCACGTGGATTATTTTCTCGTTTGTCTCGATTTCAGTTTGTCTGGAATGAACATGAGTTCTTGAATTTTTCTTTTAGGAAAAGACGCAGCAGTTTAGGAATTTATATAACAGGATTTTTTTTAATATATTTTTTGCCGTTTTACTCATTTGAAATTCCGCATATAAATGGAGCTTCTTTTCGTCTGGAAAAAACCCAACAATAAAGCAAATCATTTCAGTCTATTTTAGGCATTGATTCACTTTAATACTCTTTTTTTTTTGAAAAATGTAAGTAAGAAATTAAATAAAGGAATAAAAATATAAATTTTCAAATTCTTTGTAAAATAAACTCAAGTGTTTATTAATGAGACTTAATATTAATAAAAAGGAGTTGATTTTGTTGCCAGGGCGTAAACTATGTGCTGGACGATGAGGGTTTCGGCACCGTCGGCGACACTTATTTCATGGGCTATCACACGCCTTTGCGAACGTCGCATGACTTTTACGAGGCTCTTCGGTCTGTCAGAGAAATCTCCGCCAAGCTTAACGACCGGTTTAAGGATATTAACGGCACCGCCGGCATCGAAATGTTCCCATACAGGTGAAGTCAAACAAAAAATTCCAAACCACACAACCCGCTGGACTTGTGTGTAATGCAGGCTGCATCATCGCCAAAATTGTTATTTATATTTCCAATAATTTCTTAATGTTACAAATATTATAAAATTTGTTAATTCATTAAATAAGTGGGGACCAGAATTAAAAAATAACCATAAACCTGCAGTTTATAGTCCCGATGAAGACATTTTATGTAATCACCTATTAATTCCAATATAATTATCACTCATTTATAACCGGGATCAATCTTTTCCCTCCGGGGTCATTAACAACAAATTCATCATTTGACCCCTATCTCAATTTGATCGCCTGCGATACAAATTTCCAACACCATCATTAATTCCACTGACCGACTAATTCGACTTTAGCGTGTTCTACGTCTACTACGAGCAATACCTGACCATTTGGGACGCGGCCCTGGAATCGATCGGTATCTCCCTGCTGGCCATTTTCATCGTCACCTTCCTCTTGACCGGCCTCGACATTGTGTCGGCCACTGTGGTTTTGGCCACCATCCTTTCCATCACGGTCAACATGGCCGGAATCATGTACTGGTGGAACATCGAGTTGAATGCCGTCTCGCTGGTTAACCTCGTCATGGTACGCTGCGAAATTCCTCCTACCTGTGTCCTAATCGAATAACCATTATTTTGATCTCATTCAGTGCTCCGGCATTGCTGTGGAGTTTTGCAGTCACATCGTGCACTCGTACACGCTGTCAAAGTTCAAGAACCCCATCGAAAGGGCGCAGGACAGTTTGACTAATATGGGCTCCTCAGTAAGAATTTTGATGAAATTAATTTTACCAACAAAATCCTGCAAACACCAATTTGAATCAATTTACAAAAGAAGGGACGTTTTTTTTTTAAATTTCAGGAAAAAGTTAATCATTAAAAAGGTCATGTAATCTACTCAATTATGCAATATCTTTGTGTCAATGTTTTGTTGCATGTAATTAATTTTATTTTTACCAATTTAGGTCTTTTCTGGTATCACACTAACCAAATTTGGAGGAATCGTTGTCCTTGCATTTGCCAAGAGTCAAATTTTCCAAGTATATTTTTTACATTTCAATCTTTCCATCCGTTTTTAATTTAATTCTTGTAGGTGTTTTACTTCAGAATGTACCTGGGCATTGTAATTGTTGGTGCGACGCACGGCCTCATTTTGCTGCCGGTCATTCTCTCATATGTCGGTCAGTGGTGCAATTACAGCAATTAATGAACTTGCAACACGCAGAGTACATAACGATGAATGTATCTTTTTCAGGAAAATGGACGAAGAGGAAACGCGTGCTCGCTTTTGACGAGGACGAGGATGTGACGGACATTAGTTCTGAAGACAAACCTTTGGGGTGGTCATTTTGATATTAAAACAATTGTAGTTTTAGGAAATGGAACCAATTTATTTATTTTCGTAATTAGTACACGCGAACATCTCAGCCCTTGTACGTAATTACCAATTGCGTTTTTTGATTACAATAAATAATAAATGTTACGTTAACGTATTTATAGGAAATCTTTCTTTTTGTACAGGTCTCTCCAGAAATTATATACGTATTTTGAACAAGATTGAATCGAGTTTAAAAGTTGGAAAGATTGATTAGGGCTCATTCCGATTTACATATTTTAATCCTAATTGTTTAAGGGAAACAATTAAAAAGGTCAACTTAGCCGCTAAAAAGTGTTAGTTTTTCTTCGAATTTATCACCTTTTAGATTTACATTAGCCCAATTTTATTCAATTGCTACAAGCTTGAGCATCTCTAAATAAGTTGAAATAAATTTTTTTTATACTCAAATTGCTGAATCTTTAAAGAGCATTTCAGGTGTGAAATCACAGATTGTAATTCATTTTTTTAAACGCTCACTCAGATAAATGCATCGATCCAAGTTAAAATTGGGAAATTTTAGCTTGGCGTTGTTAAAAGTTTTTTTTTTAATTTTAAAGTGAGGGTACTTTTTTTGCAGAGGTTTGTATTCACTTGTAATTGTATTTAGATAAAATAATTTAGAGCTGTTTAGCGTAAAATTCATTATTATTTGTATATATTATTTCCATATAAACATGACGCATTTTGTTTTTTGACGGGAAAAGGCGAGAGGTTTGAATCAACTAGAATTTTCTACGAATTTCTCGAGAGGAACGTGTCACATAAGAAGAAAATCGCGTGGAATCCGCCAAAGCCTTGCAAATGTTTATATTAATTTTTGGCAACCAACACTACGCCTAGTCTCATGCAACCGAGTAATTAACGTAACGTTCCATTTAAAAGTAATAAGCAACAAGAAAATTTCATGTATCACTATCTTATCAAAGGCTGAATCATTTCAAATTAACAATAGACTGATTTTCCAACCAGACAAACAATCCATTATTGAATAATTCAAAAACTGTTTTATATTCAGTCTATCATTATTAATGTGATAACAACTCTTATGATTACACTTTTTTTATCTGAGAATGAGTATGTCAATGAATGATCTCCTGGTTTTTCGCATTTTTACTTTTCAAATGACGGTTCTTATCATTAAAATTTGATTATTTATTGAATTGCTTTAAAATTTTGACTAATCAAGAAACGTCACTTGAAATCCAAGTGTGCTTAATTATTATACGTCTCGTGCGCCTATAATTAATTATTTAATCAATTATGTGGCAACAATGTGGTGAATATATCTGATATATTTCATCTGCGTAAGTGTTATTAATTTAATTGAAGTAAGTTGCCCGCCTCCGTGCCCGTGCACTTACAAATGAAATTCTCTGGTTGGTGTGTCGTCGAGTTGGCTCCTTTTTACAAAAACATTCAAATAGTAGTTGTAGTGCTTCCTCTCAGCAAAAGTGTGAATTCCATATACCTTAAACAAGTGGTATATGTATTATAGTGTCCCTGTGAAATTGCCTGCTTTTATGCTGACGAAATTTATCTACATGACTTTGAGAGCAACGAGTACTTATCAATTTACGCGTGTGTGTATTAATTTTTCATCAACCGTTTCTACAATCTAAGAGTTCGAAGAGTTATTGCTATAAGAAAAGAGACTATCCGTAATTTTTTCACATTATTCTCGCCTCGTAAATTTCACAGAAACTCAAAGCTCTGAATACACCCTAATTAACTTCGATTGAAGGAAGGTCAATTTATTGCAGAATGCAATAACGCACGAGTACCATAATAATAATGAAATCTCTCGTGCGTGACGCGAGCGCGACACGTGAATGAATTTCCCGAGCTTTTAATTTTTCAAAAGTTTTTCCTTGGGAACAAGTTTTTTAATTAATTGGGTGCGCCAGCGAACACAATGGAAGCAACGGGCCATTCATCTCTAGCAACTATGTGCGCGTTTCAACCAGCAAAAGACGCACATATCACAAATGGAGACATATGTGTTGTACAAGTGAGTCGACTAGCAAAAATCAGCGATTCTAAAAATTTACAGCTTCGGAGAAGAGCTTTTTCTTCAGCTATATTTATTTACATAAATGATCCAAGAATTTAAGGCGGAATCAGTGAGGTGGACCTAGTTTGAAGTCCTGAACGTGAAAATTATTTATTTCCACCTCTTCGCTCATAATTTTTTACTGACTTTTGGTTCGAGCGTAAAATACAAAACTGAAAGAATTTTTTTCTAAGTCTTTTTTAACTTTTCCAGACACAATTCGATTCAAAAGATTTGATGGTTTTAAAAAGTAAGGATTCCTTAGTATTTTTTAAGGTGTATACTGTGAAAAAATGGAAAATTGTTTTAATCAGGATGTAGAAACTAAAAACCCAATCAATAGGAAATGGGTAAAGTTAGGCAAAAATTATTTGAGGGTCAACTTTTGATGGAAAAATGTCACGTCGATCAATAATTAGAACCACACTAATTCCACCTTAATTTAATTTAATTATTTTTATATACACTCTAAATTTTTGATAATTATTTGTATCACTATATATCGAGGAAACCAACAACTCGAAAGGTGATCTCCCTATACTATGCCCTGTCTGTGTAAGAGTGTGTGTAATTTTTTTTCTATCTGTATAAGAAGTGTAAAGTATAGTCTACTTCTTTTTTGTATTTTTGTTGTATATATTGCGAGTTTTTTTTTGTCTCAAAAAACGTATGCTTCTTTTTGTGTGTATAGAAAAACATTTTGGCAGGACGTTTTGACTATTCTTGCTTATTGTGTGTTGCGTGTGTATGTGTTATAATATTTGACTGTTTGTTATTCCAGAAGGGGAATTGTGAGGGAGACTAACAAGCAAATCGTCAACAGAAAACAACACAAAAGTCCAGGGTGGTCGTTTCGAGAGAGAATAACATCTTTTCAAGAGACGCCTCGCGAATTCATCCAACAACATTATACGCACAAACCCTGAGAAAAGGTGCGGAAATCAATCAGGCGTCTGATCGAAAGTGACTAGAAATAGAAATATTATTTTTAATTAATTCTTTTTTTTTAAATTTGCTAAAATCATAAAATTTTTACACAACTTAATTACTTCTTGAGGGCGCTAAAGATCACTTTTTGGTCCTAAACAATCGACTTCTTTCAAAAGCTTTGGAATATTTAAACTCGTGAGTATATAGCGTGTAAAATCATATTTAAATATCACCCCAAAAAGTCTACAAGGCTACGTAAAAGAGAGTACGTGGAATGGGAGGGAACCACCCCAGACTGACATCTAAACGCGCGGAATCAATGACGCTTCGTCTAACCGTGGAATGATTTCTTTCTTTCTCTCGTCGGTAATTAATTATAATTTGACTTTTTGTTGTTGTTGTTTTTTAAATATATCAATAGAGTCTGTCCGAACTCCGGCAACAGTTCTAAAAAACCAACAGCGCACTGCGTGTCAAATTCGGTCTTCGCGTTCGTTTTTTTTTCTTTTGCAAAAGTCCAAATCACATGAGATAATAAACCATCCCAAAATCCACTTTTTTTCTTCTTCAGTCGATTTTTCTAGTTTGCTGAAAATCGCAACAAGTTTTGGTCGAGGAGCAGCGCCACTGCCGACGCCCCTCAGAGGTTCTGCGGCTCGGCCAGCGCCCGGGCCGTGCAGACGGCGTCCTCGGCCATCCACTGCAGGTCTTTGACCGTGGCCTGGTGCATCGAGTACACTGCCGTCACCACCAGCACGTGCATGATGTTGTGCGAGTTGAAAATCGCGTCCAACCGCCCCGGGAACCACTTTTCCGGCACGTGCATCGCGCCAATCGCGCCGCCCACAGCAGACACCGCGTCCTGAAACAAACATTCAACAAAATCGCATTCAATAAGTTTTTCCTTTGAATATTATGTAAAAAACGAAAAATTATATTTTAAAAACTTCGTCAATTTTTTTTATGAGGCGAGAAAATTTAAATAATTGGCATCTGTAAACCTTTAATTTAAATCCTACGTTTATAAATACCAATAAACTTAATTTGCAACCAATGGATTGAAATTACAGGACTAAAATAACAGAATTAGAAAAGTAATTTTCAAAATTATTTTTTAGTAAACCGCTATTATTTTGAAGCATCGTCAATTGTTTTGAGGAACCAGAATGTCTCTTCAAATGTGCCACTTTTTCACTAATTCTATATAGTTACCTTCCTTTTTAATTTGGCAAGTCTTTTGGTACGTTTGAATGTGGCAATTATTTTTTTCTAAACTTAAGGGAAGATAAAAAATCTCATTCTCTCTCTACCATAACAATTCAATGTGCATTAAAATAAAAGTATAAAATCTCTCCGTTGTAAAAACCAGCTCTGTCAACTTCAGGCTTCAGATTTTTTCATTTCAACCCACAGTTTTTTTTGCTCCATTGTTTGTTTTTCACAATCTGTCGAGCTGTCGAGCAATGATTAAAATGTTTGCATTTAAATAAGTCTGCACGTCAGTTTCCGTCATGCATGTAATCTGCAGCAAATGCGTGTCCCAATTATTTGTACGTCAGCAGAGCCGCCGGACGCAGAAGTTGTTCTCTGCCCTTTCTCTCATTGCCAGCCAGTTTTAATGTATTCCACCGCAATAATTATCCGCACCGGTAGCAGCTCACGGACGTGTTCCTCTCGTTAACTCTGCTTTTTTTGCTTTACAATTTTCCGTCTCGGGAAACACAATTTCGTGCATTGCTGCACTCGCCTCTCATTTTCATTTCAATTATCGCCTCTGACATGCCTTTTCACTACTTTCTTTTGACGTCGCGGGTGCGAAAAGTTCAAAGGTGCAAAGATTTGGGCCGTGCACGACCCGCGTGAGGTTTGATTGAGCAAATTTGATGGGAGGAGACGGCGGCACTTGATTAAATTATTATTAACAAGAAACGTGCAGAAAGCGAGATTGAATTTCAAGGCGTGTGTAAATTTAAGCTTTAGCTCTAAATTTCAGACCAGAGTATAGGGATATTTTACAATTATTTTTTATTGATAAACAGCGGCTAGAGACGTTTAAAAAAAAATGAAGTGCAAAAATTGCTCTTAATTTGATAAAAATTTAATTTAATTTTAATTAAAAAAATTTCAGCACGCGTAAGATTTATCAAGAATATTAATTTGAAAAAATAATTTTTAAATTCAAAATAATTCAGATCAGAAAAAAAGAATTATTATAGAAAAAATTAATTTCGTGATAGTATTCAAAGCACATTTTACTTATTTTATTTGCATACCAGTAAAATAAGTGAAAGGGATTATATTTTTTGAAAATTTGTTGTAAGAATTTTCTCAAAATAAAATAGTGGCTAACCTGCAGAATGACGTGCAGGAGTGCGTCAGGACTACCACCGGCGAGACCCAGCGAGCGGAGGCCACAGAAGAAGATCCTCATGAGGAAGGGCAGAGCGAAGCAGAGCCGTCTTTCCCAGGGCGACCAGGCGGTGAGTGCCTGAAAAAGACACATTATTAATTGTATGTGCCCCGTCGGCGGCAACAACGTACCTTGTAGAGGCCCCAGATTGATAGCACCACGTAAAAGGCAAAGAGCGGGCACTTGAGCAGTAACGGCATGCAATGAACAGTCGCGATCACCATTGGCATTGCACCTGAAACACAGATTAGCCTCGCGTTATTAGATTAGCCACGACACACAAAATCGATCTGCTTATTTCGTTAAAACAAAAAAAAGATGAAACGCGAGCTTGGTGGTTAATTAGAGTATGTTTCCTTATTTAAAAATTATGCTCTGTTATAATAAACTTTATAATTTAAATATAGATCACAATGCAAACAAAGTATCTCATCAAAACTAATTTAAATAAAATTGGAAATAATCTGTTTTTAAAAATATATTTCAGCGTTTAAAAATTTAATTACACTTTAATATATTTTAAATATTAGTATCAATATTGATGGTTTGTTTTATCCGTTTTACCTTTAACGAGGTAACGATGCTAAAAAAGTAATTATACCAGCCGTTATTAATTTAAATTAAAATATATATTATCACATTCAAAATTATTGGTACAACCCTCTTAAGAAACGATAGGCTCATCAGGTTGGTTATCCTTTATTTTGAACTAATTCAGGATTTTGATTGAATATTTCTTTGGTTACAATGTAGAAATTGCAGAAAATTATAATAAGTATGATTAAAAAGAATATTATCAAAAATAAGATAAATTCCACTCAAAATATTCATTAATATACTTTTATCGGTTTTTGTTCTTCCAAAATTTTTCATTGATTGATCGCAGAGGCAACTCATTCCTCATTTCCATAATATATACATACAAAATAAATAGTTTTGATTGATGTTTTTTTAGGATTTTCTTCAAACACGTGTTTTTATTTTTATTGAATCGGAAAATCTCATTTGCACGCCAGTGCCTGACAGTTCAATGTTTGAAGTCCCAAAAGACGCGCGTGTTGGAACCCTTCATAACCCTTTGACACGTCACGGGCACCTCTCACTCATCAATGCTGCGTTTGTTACGTAACATGCAAGTCTTTATCGATTCCCAATTGACAGCTGGGCGGCCCGACGGTGCCGTGAATTAGCTGCGAACGAAATCTGCGAATTTCCGCTTTGACCCAAGTGGCCCCTGACATGAATTTGCGGTGCCACGCACCTTCCAAATTCGCAATTAACAGACACGCGAGAGTACAATTGCGCGTTACGCCGGCCAGAGACGAAGTAAGTTTCTGAAGTGCGGCACCACGATTATGATGAAACTTGCTTCCAAAGTGCCATATTTTATTTCTTTTAGCGATGTGTACAGGGGCCGTCACAATTTTCATAAATACATTAATTCATAGCGAATATAATAAAATTAAATTTCATTAAATAATCTGAGCTAAATTTAATTTTGTTTTACTACAAATTACAATTTGCCAAAATTTGGTACACAACAGAAGAAATACAAAGGCGTGGAAATTCAATGCAATTTCCATAAGGTGAACTGGCAACCTTGTTTCTTAAATATCCATTTACGGATATTGAATTATTCATTATATTTAATTTTTGGGTATTTTTGAATAATTTGTGTTTGATTGGAGAAGTACAAAAAAAAAAATGAAATTTTTATGGTAATTTTGAAAAAAAAAAATGATATGAAATGTTAGTTTTGCTAATGTGTGATAAAAAAAATAGTTTGTAGTTCTCGTTTTTCTCATGTATAAATAAATCTAAAATAAATCACATTCCTTGGTCAAATCAAACACCAATAAACCTATCGAACACATACCTTACTCATTGCGAGTCTCGTATGTGTTGATGGCTTTTTTACACCTACGCAACAAAATTTGCAATGACGTCAATAAAAGTTGTGCCAACAAACTTTTCGCTAATCACGTTTGTATGAGCCTCGTGTCGGCCGACCCATCCCGGCCTCCCACCCACCGCAAGACTTTTAATGAAAGGCGCTTACAAAATATATCAAAACCAGCTACTGAATTTTTTATCCGCTTTGTGCGCTGCTCTGTGATTTTAACAAACAAAAAATCAACAAAGCGTTATGTTATGGTTGAGAGTGATGCCTGCAAAAAAGAACAATGCAAATAGAGACGTGCTTTACATCCAATAGAGCTTTTTCTCGGTTGGTATATCAAAGTCTGCAAGAGGTGGTGAAATTTTCGTGCATCGATGAATATTCAGATTCTAAAAATATCTACGGTTTTAACACATGAATTGTGTATAAAATAAAATCATTTTAATCTAATAAACTGCAATTTTGATCAATCTCAATTTAAACAAATTTATTTCCAATTAATAAAATTTCAGATATTTGAAATATACCGTCCATGTATTTTTTATTTTTTTATTTTGAAACATTAAAATTTTGTTCAGTAAATTCACATTCAAGTGTTTTTGTTTTGTTTTATTTACTATTTTTTCCTTTCAATTGAATGAGGAATGTTGTTGTAGCGTGATGAAGTCGTTGAACGTCTCTCTATTATAGAACAAAATTAAAAATAATTTAATTAATAAAACAATTAACAGATTCGTCTAGACCTATTTTTGGAGGCTTGAAAAATCGACTAAATGGAAACTAATATTTAATCCATAAAAAAACTCTCTCTAGGCGAGACATTTCAGATTGTGGCGAAAAAAGATTGAATAGCATTAATTTTGAGAAAAGAAGAGAAAAGGAAAAAGGGACAACGTCCTCTGGGGATGAAAAATGTTCTGAGCCAGGAAAACGCGCACATTCCCGGCCTGCTCATATTAATAATGAGTGCGAATGAATCCAGCTGGCGGAAGAGCCGCAGCGGCAGCAGGTGAATAATAAAATACTCTCGCAGTCGGATTAAACGAATGACCGTCGGCGGCGGTGCGCGAATTCTGTGACACGCACAGACGGACATTTTTCACGGCCAGTTTAAAATAAAAAGTCGAGCATTGCCGAGCGAATTACGATTGTATGAATAAAGAAACAAACACACGCGCATTTGCTTTTACTCTCTAATATCGGAATGAATGACCACTCGGTGCGTTCAAAAAACATTTTTCGTCGGCTGTATTTATTTTTCTCCATGACGGACCAACAGTATCGCACGGCCAGATGTTTAATTTCCAGTTCGTGTTGCGTTTAATTCTGTTCCACCTGTCAGCAGTTTGTTTTCTTTTGAGCAGTGTGATTTACACTACTCTTTTTCAAAGGCCGCGTATCAGCTCTATTATGTTGGCCAAAAAAAAAGATGCCTTCCGCCCGAGCCATAAGGCCCCATGGCTCTGACGGCAGCAGTGTACCAACATAATTTTGGGATGCGCAGCCTTTGCTCTTTTTGTAGCGTTCGTGTATCAACAGTTTGAATAATGCACGACTACAGTGGAGAAATTCAGGTTTCTCTTTGCAATGATTTAGGCTCCAATTTTATTTGAATGAGTCTCACTCAGGTAAAGTGTTGTCACATTACGCAAACATTTTTCTAGGTTTTTAAGCTAGTAATTTTTCAAAATTAATTTTATTGTAATTATGATGGATCCTTTAATTAATTTGTCTTATACTCATACTCAGAAACAATTTATTCCCATAATCATCAATATTTTTCTTTATTTATAGACATTATAATTGATTTTGCTTTGTAAATTAAAGGTCATCAAGTACCACCAATGAGATTGCATTGTATTATTTGTTATTTTACTATTTATTTAAATAAAAAATGAGTAAAATATTTTTATAAATTAAATAATTGAAAAGGCAATTTTACATTCTAATCAATTCTAATGGAAAATAATATTGTGAAAATAATTAATAAACATTTAACGAGACACGTCTTCCAACAATACAGTGTTAATCTAAATTATTATTACACCAGGGAAGTATTAGCCTTAATTAAACCTTGCAGCTTAGGGTGGCGTCAAAAGTTAGGAACTGGCCCAACGCACGTGAACTTGCTCAGGACATACTATAATATTTATTTATAAAGGGTGAGCACACGTTGCTCGCATTAGAAGTTGCAAAGTAAGAATTCGCGGCGTGTTTGGTGCGCGATAATAATTATTCAACGACCCGGCTAATGTGTATAAGTTTCGTAGCCTCCAAAGTGGAAACTTTACCCACTAAACTGACGCAAATAAACACGTCTTCTGAGATAATTATTATGGAATATATCAACTCAGGTGAATATTTTATTGCAAACAAAAAAAGAATAACTTTATCGGAAAATCTTCCATCGATGTCGGTACTAATGAAGCGTCTTATTCTCTCGTCGTAAACTTTGTTAGTTGAATGGGGACGCAGTTAAGCAAGTTTATGCGTTCTCAGTCCCATGTCCGAAGCGTTTCGGGGCGTTCTTGAGACGTGCCATTATCAGCCTGGCATGTCGGTCTTGGTGATAACGGCAGTGCTGCCTCCTTTTATGGCTTCTTCTTCTTCTTCGAGAGGAGATGCATTTTCCTCTCATGTCTCGAGGCGGTGCCCTTTGCCGCCTTCTCGCCCCGAGCACGGTCCAGTAAATCATGCACGCTGCTCGCCATTAAATTTTCACAGTTCTCTGCAGATGAAGGATCCACCGAAATATTTAAGATTTCCACTACTGCAAAGCCTGATTTGGACGTGAAGGTTAGAACTCCAAAATAAAATAATAATTCTTCACCGCTTTTTAATACACTGGTCAAAAAATGAATCTGAGCGAAAGTTAATTGATGAAAATGAGACTAAATAAATTCACCGAATTTCTTGATATTGTGCTGATAATATAATATTCAATATTTTTATACAAACGAATAATTTTCTAACATTCCATTTAGGGCCTAATACGGCGGCCCTAGATAATAAATAAATTATTGCTATTTTAAAGAATTTTTTAATTTGTACAGAAAAAATTAATTATCATTAGCTGATCAATGATCAGACACAATTTTGAAATTATAATTATAAGTCTAAATTCCGTGTCAGATTCAAGTAATTAAAAATTAAACGTTGTTAAAATACAAATTATTAAACTGTATTATTTGGTAAAAAAGTTTTAAATAACTGTATCAAAATTAAAAAACAAAAAAATTAAAGCCAATAAGATTTTATTTTATTAGTTTTTGTGTAACAACATTTTAAGTGTCAACGGCTGGAAAATTCAATTTGGCTAAACGCGAACTGGCCATAAATGGAAACGGTGGCTTTGAAAATAAATGGCTCCACGAGCCGGCAGAGCGTTATGCAGCTGAAAATCGATACTTTGGCCTGACAAGTTAAACTGCGCCAAAATGCGTTTTCTAACCGAATAAGCTTTTGTGTCAGCGCCGCTCGGTGGTCCATGCCATGAAGTTGGAATAACAATAATTCCCGGGGCGTTATTAAGCCCTTGAGTGTGCTCGCGAGGGCGAGTTTGTTGACACTTTAAAATAATAACGAGCCGCGTTTCAAAACAATGGAGACATTCCCTCACATTAGTATATTCTGGACAGTTTTCTTTTTAAATAATATGAAAAAAATTTGAAAATAAAAAAATTCTCTTCTAAAAAAAATAAAATATTGCTTATTAATATGTTAATGAGAAACGATGATGTTTTGTGTTTTATTGTAAATTTTTTCGTCTACAAAAATCCTATATCACAAAAGTATTCATTGAAAACGCACCCACGTGCCGCGCAAGACGCGTGGGAGGAGGAAAATCCGCTCGCCTAGCTTCCAGCAAAATGTTGTTTTTGCAAAGGATCACAGGCGCGTTATTATGCTCTGGTGCGGCGGAAAACAACAAAAACTCGCGCACAAATCCCGACGCAGCGCATGTAGAATATCAGTTTTGAAAATGTCAAAGGTTCCGAGTGTGGCGGATGCAAATTTGCTGAGCGCAAGCGAAATGTGCATGTTTGTTGGTTTCGGGCACACACGTTCCATTAAAGCTGCCCCGGAGTATTGTGTGCGATATGCAAAGTATATCCACCAACAAACAAACCCGTGCCTTGGCCACAATGAATAATTAAAACTTGGTGTATGCGGTGGGGCAGCATCTTCAAAGGCCGACCTGCTTTGACCTCTGCTAATTGAACTGGGTCATTGGATTGGACCACACTGCTTAAAAACCCACATGGCGGTTGCAATTAAATGGAAATTTAATTAAATAGAGAGAAAGAGAGTCCAATTACGGCAAGGCATGTTTTGGAAGCGAAGAAAAATTTCATCTTTCTTCTCTGTTCAGCAGCTTTTCTGCTCTATATTTTGTACCGAGCGCAAATACACGACTAAATGAGTCTTTCTCTCTCTCTCTCTCTCTCTCTCTCTCTCTCTCTCTCTCTCTCTCTCTCTCTCTCTCTCTCTCTCTCTCTCTCTCTCTCTCTCTCTTTTTGAAAGAACTCCTCTGCGAGATGAAAGGACTGTGTGCGCTGCAGTGAGCGCGCGGAAAAGTTTCTTCCCTGAATAAAGAGGCACGTTGAGTCCTCAAATGAGGAGAGCGTCAATCGTGGTACCAATTGTCCTGCATCTGCCAATTAGCGTCAGTTTTTTGTTTTGTTTTGTCGCTATTATACTCTATTTTTTTCTGAAAGTTCGTTGCCTTTGAGAGGACATCATTAGTGAGCGCAAAGTTTTAATTGGGACGAATGAGAGAAATGGTTTAAAAACATAATGATAATAAAAAAAAAATAGTTTGGTTTAGTTTTTTTGACAAGCAAAGTTGGAAAGTCAAATCTAAGAAGTACGTAAAATAGATTTCCTTTATTTGTGGGTTAATTAGAAATGGTACTATCAAACTACTAACCTGAGTGGCTATAACCATAACCGCAATAAAAGCCAGATTTAATTGAAAATTAAGAGATCTCATCAGTTTAAAAAGTAAATCAGTATATGATTGCATGAAGTCCCAAATTTATGGTTTTTTTATATTTTTCTAAATTTTGTAATTTATATAATTTAAATTTTATTAAATTTTAAAATAATTAATTAAATTTTTTGCACATTCTGCAGTAGAATTTTAGGATGAAAATGACTAGAAAAAAATGCATTTTTTTTCTTTAAAAGGATTTTTGCAAAGAAAATTTCAATCTAAAATCCCATATTTTCCTTCTAAAAAAAACTTAAGCACCCGTTGCAGAATCATTGAGAGGGAAAAAAGCAGAATTTTTGTTCTCACTCTTTTGAAATGAGAGATAAAATGCCTCAATCACATGACTGATTGTATGGAATTCATTTCATTCAAGCGCACACCATAATATAGGAACGGAGGAGTCTCTTGAGGCTGCAGCCACGAGCGGCGCAAACCGCAAAAATGCCACCCAAACCGAGTTTCAAACTTGATCCCTTTCAATTGGGTCGCCGCAAACTTCTCCGGCGGAGCTAATCCAAGAGAAAGAGGCGCCGTTTTATCTATCGGCTGCGGATATTCCGAGCGAGTGAACCGAAAAAGGTGTTTGGTCTTTTTATACATATATTTTTTTGGTACTGACCTATGCTTTGGCTCATCCAAATGCCGAGCATGTCCATCTGCAGAAGGCGGTGGTAGAGGCGTTCGCCGCCGCGCTCGCAGTTCATGAAGAGGTGGTAGAAGAAGGAGCCGACCCAGGGCGCCACGCTGCCCACCAGATGACACCAGGGCAGCACGTGGCCGATCAGGCTGTACTCAGGGTGGTTTTTCCAGGGCAGCAGACCGGGCACCGTCACTAGGATATACACAATCGGCACTCCTAAAACATTACAAAAACACGAAGTTGCAATTATCTGTGAAAACATTTTGAATAAATTTTTAAGAAGAATAAAAGAAAGTTGAGACTAGAGGAGAGGGAGAGAGAAAACACAACTAATGCAAAGGATTTAAGATAGGAAAAGACTCTGTTCTTTTTCTTCCAGCATGGTTTTTCTCCTCGCATACCATTTTTTATGCAGAATTGTAAAAAATACTTTAGATTGATAATTTTCTTTAAATTTAATGAAACTATGATCTCTGAAAAAAATTATTCACATGATTAATTTGGAAATTAAAATATTATGAAAGCAGCATAGAATTATTAATAAAACGACTTAATCCGTTTGAGGTCAATGTATCACAAATTTTTAAAGTTTCTAAATTTTATATTTTTCTTTTTCTAATTTTTTTAAATTTTCTTTTTAAAAATTAAAATTTAATAAAAAAATTAATATCAAGTATAAGGTACAAAAATTTTATACTTTAAAGCAAAAGAAATAAAAAGATGATTTTTAATAATTATTAAAATTCTTTATATTGATCAATAATGTTATCATTATCTATTTTTGTTTGTTTAGGTTTGACTTGTACGTCCACGTCATTTACAACAGTTTCAATTTACTTTTTCATTTGGCCAAGCGTGCACGATCCAAGCATTCCAAGCGGCAGGAACGATCATTTTATTACCCTGCACGTAGGGGTGCCGACTTTTTTCATCAAGTGCTGGGAAAATATGTGTTTTCTCGTTGGAGAGAAAAACGTGAGTGGCCGTTCGGCGCTTTTATAAGTAGTTCTTTCCATCCGATGGACGGACGGACGGCCTGAAGGTTTCGCGATTTTGTTTTGTTGTGCAAATACCGCGGCTGATTGCATCTAATCCCCGGGCAGGAAGCTCTTGGCCAATCCTCCACTTTCGCCACAGAGGCCACCGCTTTTCCAGCACTGCCTTCGTGGAAGCAGGCCAACTCCGAAAACAGGGTGTGACCCACTGGTGTCGCATGCCAACCATGATTTTCCGCGGGACTAATTGGATTTGTTTCTCTCTCGGTCGGCTTCGCGCTGTATTTCGACGATTTCATTAAAGCTCTCCAACGGCCATTTGGTTTTTGCATCAATTTGAGTGAGGGTAAAATTTGACCTGGCAGGAAAAAAATTACATATCCTTAAAAAGTGAAGAATTAAAAAATGAGAATTTGATTTTTATTTGCAGTGTGTTTTTAAATTTACTAGAACAAGTTATAAACTTTACGGCAAGGTTCTATTTACTGAACTTTCTCCTCAAAATGCTCTAATCTAAATTTTAAATATGAAGAGAAACATCTTCACATTTGTCATTTGGGGTTCATGAGTGATTTATGGAACACAAAACCAGGCCAAATTGTGCGCAGAATTTTAATATTTGAAAAAAAAAATCAAATTTTGCATAGCTTTTATCTATTTCTTTTGGTGATTTGTCGTAAATTTTTTCAGCCTTATTTTTAATAATGTTTCAAACTGCTATTGTTCCCCAAAATTCAAAAGCTGGTCGTGAGAAAAGCAGCACCGGTGGAGAACAATCGTATTTTATATATCATAGTGCCGGTGGGTGCGAGAAGAAAATATTCTCGTTCGCGGTAACAGAGGAAAATAATTAACACGTGCGGGCAGGTTGCCAGTTTGATAAATTCTCTTTTAAAGCGCGAAAGTTGTATGTGAGTTTAGTACACAATGAGAGGAAGAGGAAACTTTTGTTAGGCCTCGGCAAACTGCAGACATGGCCTGGAAAATCGATAGCCGGTTTAAAGAAGAAAAGAAAGGCGAGCGCGGTGCCGGGTGTTGCATTTTCTTAAGAAGCAGCCCTTTGACCTGCATTTGGGATGCGGACGAATCTGGAGGAGTGGTGTGTGTGTGTGTCGTCATAATTGGCAGCTGTGCAGAAAGAAAGGGGCTTTCTTTCAAGAGCGCGGCGTTTGCATGACAAACGTGCTGCTTTTTCACGCGAAACTTTTCTTTCGAGACACGTTTCAATGTTGGCACGGCTTCGCTATTCATGGGCTTTCCAGGGAAGTAGAGGAAAGCTTGCTATGCTTGATATTTATGTATAGAAAAAAAAGAGGGCGGCTCGTTCTTGAAGGGAGAAAAAAATGGAGAGCTTTTGCATATGAAAAGGTGTATCTTGAGTGACGGCATCGTGAAAAATGGAATTGAATTTGATTTATTTTTGACATGTTATCAATGACAATGACTGATGCAAATTTGCAGAAGGGAGTGAAAACGTCAGCGATTTTTTGAGAAGATTTTGCCAAAAATACAATGAGCGTTTCCGAGTGAATTTGAAGGGCGATTGGATGATTTTGGACTAGACAGAACCTGTGTATGATTTTTATGCATGTTTGAGAGGGTGCCAAGGGGTGTCCACACACAAATTTTCAGACCTCTAAAAAGGGGCGTTACCCAAAATTTCGGGACTTGAAAAATGGGCAAAAATTATTTTGGATTTGCTATAACTTTGGAACGGATAAAGTTATATTGACGTTCTCAACTGTTCCTGACGTAACTTTTTACGCTGAACAACTTTGCTGTTGACACCAAAGTTGTATTGTTAAGGGAAATGTCACTTTCAGGTGACCTCTGACCAAAATGTCAAATTTTGACAGGGAACGCCTCCTTCGATTTTTTTCCAGGTATAGGAAAAAATGTAGCCCATGAAATTTTACATCACATATGTCAAAATTAGAACAAGGTTATTTTTTGTTTTCGAGTAATTAATCGTTGAATAAGAAAAAACGCGTCCGAAGAGGGTCGAAAATTTAGAGGTAAATTAAAGAATTAACAAAAACATAACTAAATCAAGTCAGCAATGTTCCATTGTATCATAAATATTCAAGTAAGGCAAAAGCAACATACACGACACGATTTTTTACAGTTTCCTTCGATTTTTGAAATAACCTCAAAATTTTCGACCCTCCTCGGACGCGTTTTTTCTTATTCAACGATTAATTACTCGAAAACAAAAAATAACCTTGTTCTAATTTTGACATATGTGATGTAAAATTTTATGGGCTACATTTTTTCCTATACCTGGGAAAAAATCGAAGGGGGCGTTCCCTGTCAAAATTTGACATTTTGGTCAGAGGTCACCTAAAAGTGACATTTTCCTTAACAATACAACTTTGGTGTCAACAGCAAAGTTGTTCAGCGTAAAAAGTTACGTCAGGAACAGTTGAGAACGTCAATATAACTTTATCCGTTCCAAAGTTATAGCAAATCCAAAATAATTTTTGCCCATTTTTCAAGTCCCGAAATTTTGGGTAACGCCCCTTTTTAGAGGTCTGAAAATTTGTGTGTGGACACCCCTGGGCACCCTCTCAAACATGTATAAAAATCATACACAGGTTCTGCCTAGTCCAAAATCGTCCAATCGCCCTTCAAATTCACTCGGAAACGCTCCAATAACTTTGCTTATAAAGGTGAATTTCGTCTCTTTTTATTTCCATCATATGTATTTTATAAATTGGTGCTTAAATTTATTAGGAATACTTCCTGTCAAGGGATCATTAAATTATGATGTATGATGGTCAACTTTGATTTAGTAAGGAATTTTTCCAGTTAAATTTATAAACAAAAGATATATCGGTACAAAAGTAAATCAAAAAATCTGATTGGAATTCATAGCCATTATTAAGTTTCATAAGAACTTACTTTGAATTTAAAAAACGTGTCATAAAAATTATTAAATTAAAATTTTGTATTCGAAAGTATTATACCTTTTAGTTTAAATCTTGACTTTGTGGGAAATGTGTCACCATATAAATATACCAATTTTTTTCTTGTTTTGATGTATCAAGAGTTAATCCGTTATTATTTATTTAATTGCTTTTCTGCAAGTAAATCAAGATAATGGTTTACGGTTTATTTATAGGCCTTATACTGACAGGTTCAGAAGCCAATAAAGAATATAATTCTCTAGAAGGCCACGTTGTAATCCCTTTTACATTGCTGTTGCAAATATAAATTACACAAGACGGAGAGTAATTTTTTTTATTCTTTTATTATATTGGATTAAATTTCATTTTCATTTTTCTTTCTTTTATCGGAAATGGAAAAATTATTTATTTAAAATATGAAACAATTTCCCTCAAGTGCTGAAAGAAAATGTCCGGCGATTCAAGATAGTCGAATTCGATTAGCACGTCCTATGAAAATATCCGCCTCACAAAAAAAAGCGCTCTGTATACAAAATATGAGAGCGAGGCTGCTAAACAAACGCGGCGGGAAGCGGCAGCTGCAAGAGGAGTTGAATTTTCGGCGCGTGTAGGAAGAGAAATGGGCCCCGTAGCAGAATCGATCTCACTCTCCGAAAAAGCTTTCACAATCGGGAAAATATTTAATTTGCGGCGTAATTTTCGAGTCGCATGATGGATGGCTGCGAAAGTGGAGAGACGGAGCGGGTGGAAGGCTGCAAATATTTGGGGCAGCCATAACTGGATTGCCGCAGTAGCTCGTCTCTCTTGCGCCAAGTGAGTGTTTTGCCAGCTCCTCTAAGGATTCTCCACGACTCGAGTTGTTTGCCTAAGCGATTTTTTCGTCGCGTGCGTATTTGTTTTACGCTACGAATACGTGCATGCTGCGTGGCAAAAGAAAAAATTTGACCTAAGGACTTTTTAAACCTAAAATCTAAACAGACCTATACTCGATAAATTGATCAGTTTTAGTCTTGACTTTTTATATATCTCAGAAAATTTGTTTGTATTTATTTATTTAGTCATTAATCAAAAATAGCTTTAATGGAATTTTTATTGATGCATAAATCTGAGTGAAATCACGGACCGCAGCTTCGGTTGTACTTGTACAAGCGTAATTGATGGTGCTGGCAAACGCCGGCTGACGAGAGAGAGAGAGAGCGGTCGTCGCAACACCGCGCGCATTGTGTGTGTGTAGTTGGCCCTTGGAGCGTGGGCGCCGCTCCATTCATTCATCTGTCGCCCGCGCCCATCCACTTTTTGCATGATTTCGCCGGCG